TGTTCCGCCGCATCCGTCGTGGTGGTGCGATCGAGCTAGCTTCATGCGGGGTATCATGGGTAGCAGCAAGGTTCTAATCTCCACCGGTAAGTCATCACTCACACATAGCTACCCTTCCATCGCTAACACAATATCGTAGGTGGCGGCAACGAATTCCCCAACTCAGACGTCGCAGAGAACTGGGCTTGCAAGGCCTTAGACCTCGTCACCATCCACTCCTATATGGGCGTTAACGAATTCAAGAACAAGGGCCCAGTTGCGCTGCAGCACGCAAAGAGCGCTAACAAGCTCATGCTCTTTGAGGAGTTCGGAGCTACAGGGGACAGTAAGTCTACCACTGTCGGTCAGCATATAGACGTGTTCAATGGCCTTGGTGTGCCGTGGATGCCCTGGCAGATCAGCAAGCCTGGTAACAAGGCAAATGACTATGAGTTTTGGACTGATGAACCTACTTATGATGTTGTTGAGGATGGTTCGAATGATGCTCTGGCAAAGAGCGCGGCACAGACTTGGTCTATCTAGGACTATGAGGAGCATCGAGTCTGCTCAAGTAGAATGGTCATGGGAAAGGTTAGGTTCTATAGTTCGACTACGGTGGACTTATTCGAGCAAATAATAGCTGGCTATTAGTATGCGCAAGATTGAGACCAGCGGGTGGCAAATACTCCCAGTATCATATTCAGGATATCTTTATTATTCTCAACCCTCACCCAGCAGACTTGGTGTTCGATCGATCATAGAAATACTTATTTCAGTTTCCTGCAATTCTTCGTTTCCAAGTTCAACTGACGCGGAGAAAGCGATTACACTCTATTTAACTACGGCGTGTACTTCGCTATACTAGGTTACCGCTACAAACATTATCCGTTATGAAACAATTTCGTACATCAACACAACTTTGACACGGCACATATGACAACAACCACGAAAACCCCCGTTCACTTCAAACAACCGCTTAGGGAAACCCGCCACCAAAGATGCCGCCACCACCGAATATACCACCGCCACCGAAAGGGTTTGGCCAGTTTGAAGGATCAAGGCCATGCAGAATCTGATTCCCAATGTCTTCAAATTCTCCCCCGAGCTGTTGGAACGCCTGGCCGATCTGATCAGCGCTGAAACCAATATCACCCAACAAGCCGTTAATCTGATCAGCACTCCAACCATACGCCGTCTGAATAGCCGATGCTATCATCTTAGCATCATTGCCGAACGTACTCTGTAAAGCCGACGCCACTTCTTGAGCAGCGAAACCTGCTTGCTGCAAGGTTTGCGCGACAGCAGTGGCCGACAAGCCATAGGCAGTTTTTAGGCCATCTGCTATAGTGTTGGCGGCGAAGCCTGCTTGTTTCATGGTGGAAGCTGCTTCGTTGGCGTCTTGGTTGAAGGCAGTTTGCAAGACGCTTGCGACGTTTTCAACGCCTGTAATGACGCTCTGTTGGACCTTGTTGGCCCAGGCGCCAGCTTGGTTTAACAGGTCGCCGAATATCTGACTGGCGTTGCTCTCGATATTGTTGAGGATGGCGTTGAGTAAGTCGCTTACGCTTGAGATGTTGACGTCAGCTGTGAAATCGCCAAAGGTGCGTGTCAGTCCCTCGAAATCGAAGCTGCCACCGACTGACAGCACGATGTCTGATGAGCTTGTGTTTAGTGCAAAGTGCGCACCGACCAGCGCTTGCAAAGGCAAAGATCCGAGACTTATACCGGCGATTGATGGTAGTGAGATAGTGTCGTTGAGACCGTATTGGAACGAGGCTGCCAGGTTGTGAAAATCGGACAGTGTGCAGCTCATATTGGAAGTCAAGATGCCTCCAAAACCAACGTCAAACTTGATACCACCCGAGGTAATATCGGCATCGAGGTGCCAATTCTCAACCTCGAATAAATTGATAGCACCGTTGATATGTAAGAAGGGCGAAGCCAGCGTCTGGATCTTCAACACAGCACCACCAGGAGGTACCATCTGCTTCATCGTGGCATTTTGGAGCGCCTGCTTCTGTGCAGCCTTGGTGATGATCTGATTATTCTTGATGGGATTGCCATTAGCATCCACCTTCAAGCTAACGCCGGTGCCATCTCCCTTGATCGAGAATATGTTGCCGAGCGACAAGGGAGACATCTCAATGTCAGCTTTTACCCCGTTGGTGAGGTCAAGTTCCACGTCGCCGTAGAAGTCAAAGCCAAAGATGTCGGCTGCTGCGCTAAAGCCGTAGCCCATGTTGGAAAGGGATCCGTCGGGCAACACTACAGGTTCCATGGGGTTCTCAGACCACTGGAAGGAGAGGTCGGAGAACAATACGGGAACGTCTACAGGACATTGGGCGTTTGTGAAGACTGTGTACACGTCCGTCAGGTGCATCTTTGGGACGTAAAAGGATATGTAGAGCGGGTTTGGCACCTCCTCTATCAACTGACAGACAACCACAAATGAGTCATCGTCAAGAGGCACGATGGTGTTGTTACCAGCGTCACCGATGTGCAGTTGACCTGATAAGCCTATTGCAGCACTAGGTGGCTCGAAGATGATTCCGATGCCTACTCCGAACGAGTCAAAGTGCACGCCTTTCATGACTGGTGGCGCCGGTAACGGGCCCTTGTCACCCTTGATGACTACACCAAAGGCAGCCTCAATATTGTCGATGGTCATGGACAAATCAGCCTCAAACTTGTTGTCGAATATGTCAAAAGGCATGTCGCCAGTAACGGTGAAGACAACAAACTTGAACAGTGGGTTGATGTCAATGGTGGCAGTGGGTTTGTTGATGTTCAAGGTTCCCGCGCCTCCAAAGGGTACGTGCATAGCATCAAGGCTGATAGACAAACGAGTGCCAAATATGTTCAAGCCCACGGCGTAATTGAACATGACCGAGACCTGCAGGTGCTGGACGTTGAAAAGCGACCCAAAGAACTGCAGTGCCTCATCTGACTGGGCAGGCAACTTCTTCAGGTCTATCCCGGCTTGAAGAGCGAGGATATCATTGTTGGTGTTGCAAGTGAACTTGGTCACCACAATATCAGGAAGGAATTCAGGCCATGTTGCACCCAGTAAAGTAGCGAGCGTACTGAGCGAGTACAAAGCCTGGTCCATAGGCTTGCCTTTAGACTCAGGTTGCTCTGCTGTGTATGTGATACCCATCATGTAGGTAGCGAAAGTACAGCTCTTGTATTGCTCATGCTGAGCAAAGAACTTGTTCACAGGCGTGACTTGTGGCTTGGATGTGTCTTTCCAGATAGCATTGAAGGCCTGCGTAAGCGGGTCGTTCTTATTATTGGTAATGAAGGTGATGAAAGCCATGGTTTGAGCCATGGCCTTGACATCGGCTTCACCTACGGCAAATGGGCCAGTGCTCACATCTTGCAAGTAGATGATGCGCGCCAGAGGGGAGTTGGACTTGGCATCACTAACGATGAGCACCGAGGTTGGGTGCTTGAGCTGCACTGAAGCTGTAGTCTTGGCTGGTACAGTTGCAATGGAGGTCAAAGTGCCGAAGTAGTTGGTCTTGTCTTGGTCACTGAATGAGTCGTAGACTATGACGCTGACGTCCAAGTGATTGGCAAAAGATATCTTGGGGGCAGCCATGATGAGTGCTGAAAAAGAGAAGAGGTGAAAGGGAAAGGCAGTGAGAGAGTGTTGTGGAGTTCTGATTACTGCAGCGGTGGTGGGTGATATAATTAACTTATGGGTTAATGATCCCAGAATGTTACTGTCACTTACACTCAGTGACATCCAGCCTTCTTGTTAGCCATTTGAGGGTATCAGCTTGTACGGGTATATCCGAACCCGGTTGATACCAATATCCGGGCCGTTCCCTCTGTCATGAGGCGGAGCTCAGCTCTCGTCCTTACCGGAGCTATTGGATCTAGACTCTGCATCTTTCTGCCAATTAAGTCTAGAAGAGATGTCTGTGTGATACAAGATTATTCCACGCAGCCACATACGACCCAATTACGGGGCATGCTACTGGTCTTTCCCCCAGACTATTCATGCAAGGTCAGAATTCCCCGCCCATTGTCCGGTTGTACGGCTCATCGTAAGCTTAGGGCTGACTCTCCAAACCAATAGCGACAATCGTGGCTGGCTAGTTCGAACGGCTGAGCATACACTATCGTTGTGATCGAGGGGTGATAGGCGGCCCAAGCTCCCTACGTGGCGCTAGCTACCGAAGCTAGCTACAATATGTACCGATGGAGAGTTTAGGGCTGCATGTTTCGTATTCAGACCGAAAGTGGTGCCTCGTTTGATTCGTAGCTATACGGCAGGGAGACTAGTGACGAGCTGAATTGGGACGAAAGTTCCGTTTTTCGGCATTTTGCCTCCGAACGGGGGCATCCCAGCTGCGGAATCGATGCTTAGAGTAGCATGGCAAGGGCTGACTTGCATCAATAGTGAATACAGAGCCGGCCAGATTCGACCAATAGCGGAATTGGCGGTCAGATGAGAACGGCCTGGCCGTATAGTGGCTGGCTGAAGATAACTAGAGATCTAACTCTCGGCTTGTGCCGGGGAGTTACCCCTCAGGGAGAGCCCTCCAAACAATGAGTTCGAGACTTGCCGATTGACTCAATGCCGATAGTGTAGGCAAACCGACATGAATTGGTGGTCAGAATGGTGGCTGGCTGGATCTCCGTATCCCTATAACGACTATGATATAGATGCATAAGCTTGTGATAGTGGCTAAGGCTGAGCATATTCAGCGTCATCTGACAAGACATCATTGGACTAGTACGGAGACGGCGGGTAGCGAGCCTTTGAGATAGTTCCGACGGGACGCTGGGCCCCCCTTTGAGATAACTTCGACGGTGCTAGCAAGCACAGCACAAACATTTTCTCCTCTCATATTTGGGTCTATATCAGCCATTCTGGCAGAGGATTATATATATATAGCTCCAAAGACTGCACTACTTACATCTACAGCCGCTCATCCTTACATTCATCCAATACATCAGATACATCCTCCTCACTTAAGCACTCCCACTTCAACTCTTCATCTTGACCAATCATGAGTTCCACAAGCAACCCAGTCGCCTCAATCACCAACAACTCTGGTTCTTCTGTAGACATATATGATGTCTTCAACCCTAGCACCGACCCCAAGATGCAGGGGCCGTTGACATACACCAAACTGGCCACTGTGTCAAGCGGCAGCACCCAGCAGGTGCAGACAATTCACTTTGCCAGCCAGCTTCAGGCCATGTTCACCGGCAACGTCACAGCACTGAGCGGTACCTTCTACCAGCAGTTCCCTGTGGCTGTCCTGGCAGTCTCCCCCTTCGCTGATTCAAACGCCTTCACTGTTACCAGTGACAATCAGCAGAGCATGGTGGACTCATTCAAGTTCATCAAATACACCCAGGCGAACCCATCTTCGCAGCTGGCCACGCAATTCCGCACAGCTCTGGGTGACACGACTAACCAGAAGACTGCGGTCAACAAGTTCTTTCAGAGTACTGGTAGTTTCAAGCTGTGCACGCTTAGTACCTGGACTGCGGTCTTCACTTGGCAAGCCCAGTTCACAAACCCCTGGCAGGGAACCTACTACCTCTACAGCCTTGACAAAGTCCCTGCTTTGGTTGCGACGCTGGCCATTACGGCTAGCGCTGACAATAGCTCGGCTGTGCTGACCATGGCTGGTACGAACAACGAGAACACTGCGGTAGTCATGGCAGGTGATGGTACCATGTCGGAGCAGAATCAAGGCACAGGCAACTTGTCCGTTGCTCTGACACCCACTTGGCTTAATGTCGCCCAGACCAGCCAGCAGGATGGCAAGACCGTGTCCAACTATGTCATCGGAGCTGCTTTCACTGGCACCATCAATGGGCAGAAGGTAGCTGGCAATCTTAACCAGCTGGCCATCCCAGATCCCTCTGATACCTCCAAGAATGCCAGCAACAAGAACGCGGCCAATGGGTTCTCTCTGAACATGCTCGAAGGCTTGATTGGAATGCTGACCAGCATCGGTATGCTGTACTACATGGCCAAGGGCCACAAACAGGCCGAGACCCAGAAGAAGAACGATGTCGAGAAGGACGCGACTAGCAAGAAGGATGCAGAAAACAAGGTTGAAAAGGTTGAGAAGGACTATCAGGCAGAGTCCGTCCCGGAGGTTCAGAAACAGGCTGAAAAGGTTGAACCCACTGTGTCAGAGGTGTCACAGGGCTATAAGGAGGTCAATCAAGCTCAAGATATCCAAGGCAAGACCGACACCATCCGCCAACAGGAGCAATCTCTAGAGGAAGTCTTGGAAGGCGGTGCCCCATCCGAAGCAACCGAGAACACGGCCGTCAACCTCTCCAAGGCCAGCAACGAAGTCTCTCAGGCAACAGACCCGAGCAAGAGCCCAGAGGAGCGTGACGCATCTCTGAAGGATGCCACGACGACTCTGAATAAGACGAGTGAGGATATCCAGACCGCGTTGAAGAATGAAGCTGAGGAGCTTCCTAAGGAGGAGGCGCAGAAGCTGGAGGATGCTAGTGAGGCGATTGAGCAGACGCAGAAGGAGGCTGATGCTGAGAAGGAGGTTCAGGAGGAGCAGGAGAAGGAGAATGAGGAGAGTCCGGAGAATGAGGTGGAGGACTCTACTTTTGATCCGCCTGAGGGACGGGAGGCACCTCCTTTTGAGGGAGGGATCTGAGGAGATTAGCTTGTTGAGTTTGTTAGGTGCTTGTTGTAGAGTACCACTTGAGATACTATCATTTAGTTGGATAATCTAGGTACGATCTAAGGGTTTTGTTATTATAAAGTCTGTCTACGGTTCATACTCTGATATTTTCAATGCTGCCTAGCAAGCTGTGACATTTCTATCGTGTATATGGAGCAGTAGAGGGAAATACTTCTAAGACCAAGTAGACGGACCAATACTCCGTTGAATGCAGAAACCCGTGATCGGGAAGTGGGAGGCTCTATCTGGCCTGATCCTATCACTTCAACATCCCTATCAGAGTGTTCCTGAATATCACAATTTACAACGTGACACTCGGCAGTTAGACCTCGTCAAACCCGTGTCCCCTATGCTCAGGACTCAGCCCCATCGAATAAAAACAACCAGACCCATGTCTATCTAAATTGCAAGCGAGCGCCGATCACTCCAACGGTTCTGGATCCTCATGGATCTAAACCCTACCAACGTAACTATCCGCCCAACTACAACCTATCAAAATAGTTTCTACGTAGTATTCAACTAAGTCGCAGCCGGGGAAGCCGTATAGCTCTTCCTGGCCGTTGGTTCCACGAGAGGGGTATTTAGTCAGTTCATACAAAATTAACCTTAGTCCACTTCAATTGTTTCCTTTCCTTGCATCTTAAAAATGTCTGGTTTCAAGGTTCTCATCATCGGCGCTGGACCAACAGGTCTTCTTGCTGCTCTTGCGCTGCAACGAGCAGGCGTTGACTTTACGATTTTGGAGAGGAGAAAGGAAGCTGATTTGAACTGGGGAGCTTCGGTATGTCTTTGGCCGCAGAGCGCGAGGGTTCTGGATCAGCTTGGTTTGCTTGATGAAGCAAAGGGGTTACATTTGCCGATGAAGAAGAAATGTAATCTTAGGCGGGATGGAAGTGTTATGAGTTGGAGCAATATGATTGAGAACATCGGCCACTAGTAAGTCTGCTTCCTTTTGGCTGTTTGATGAAAGCTGACGTTTGAAGCCACGGCCATGAATGGATGCTCTTCCAGCGCGGCGATCTAGTCAATCTTCTCATGGGCGATCTCTCCGATATAACGAACCAACTCCTCGTCGACAAGCAAGTTACCTCCATTGCCTCGGGTGCCGATGGTGTTGAAGTCAAGTGCGCAGATGGGCACTCCTACAGCGGCGATCTCATCATCGGTGCAGACGGTATCAACAGCACAACACGAACCTTTGTCGACGATATCACCCCCGATGCTACAAGCGGCGACTTCACAACAACATTCTACGGCTTCTACGGTCATGGTACCACCGTATCCAAAGATCTCGAACCAGGCGTCGATTACGAATGTCACTCTGCGGGTTTCAGCTCACAGCTCATCATGCCGTCGCACGAGAAATACTTCTTCACCATCTACCTCAAACTCGATAAGCCAACAAACTATCGGTATTACATCACCGCCGAAGAAGCCGATGCACTTGCAAAGAAATACGGTGATATTTACCTCGCCCCAGGCGTTACCTTCAAAGAAGTCTGGGCCGCAAAGAACTGGACTCACACAGCTCCATTCGAAGAAGGCGTCGCAAAGAAATGGTTCAAAGACCGCGTCGTCCTAGTCGGCGACTCCGTACACAAAATGACACCCAACATTGGCTTTGGCCTAAACACAGGATGGCAATCCACCGTGGTGCTGATCAACCTTCTCCGCGATCTTCTTCGCGACAACCCAAACCCTGATATCAAAGAACTCACCAAGACGTTTGAGGAGTATAAAAAGACAAGGTTCAACCATGTTACTAAGGATGTTGAGCTAGCGGGTACGTCGACGCGGGCGGTCATGTGGGATAATTTTCTGTGGAAGTTTTTGGATCAGTATGTTTCGCCGTATATCAATGGTGATACTATTCTGGCGAAGCTTATGTGCTCGCCGACGGTTCAGAAGGCTGTTACGTTGAACTTTTTGCCGGAGCCGAATTATAAGGAGGGAGAGTTGAAGTGGCATAATAAACCGGTTGTTGTGAAGGAGTAGAGGTAGCTGGGCTGTTAGGGGGTTATTTACATAGAATCACATAGCATAGCATGCTTTTCATTGAGTTTAATACATACTGTCTCTTTTCGGTCATCGATTATGCAATCTTGGCGTCTTTGCCGTAGCTTGAACCGAAGTAGCTTATCCTACTTCCTCAATTCAGCTGTCGCCTCTCGCAAAGCCTCATCCAAAGTCGTCTTCCCATGGATAACATCAACATCACTCGGTTTCGAAAGATCCTTCTCCGCAATACCACCTGGCAAAAAGCATGTACTCATCTCAACCCACTCATTCACAATATGCGGCGCAAACATCTTGCCATAATATTCTGCAAGGTCCTCCCTCTCAACAGCCTTGATCTCAACATCCCTATCCAGCGCTTGCGAAAATGCTTTCTGAACATCCAGTGGGGAATATGGCTCTGGTCCATGGAGTTCCATGATATAGGGTTTGCTGGGAGGTGTCCAATCGCGAGTGAGTTGCGTAGCCAACGCTTCACCTATGTCTTTGATAGCGACCATGGCGATGTTGAAGTCGAGTGGCGTTATGGTTGAGAAGAAGAAGGGGTTTGGTCCTTTGAGTGTTTCAACTGACATGGTCCAGTTTTCTATAAAGTATGAGCATCTGATGATAATGACCTCAAATATGTCCGCTGTTCTTAAAACTTGTTCAGAAATGTGATTTGTTTTGAGCTCACCCTGCATACTCGTTAGCGCAATTGATGAGCGATCTTGAAGGGCAAACTCACCACGCCCTCTGAGTATTCCGCACCGACGCTGGATAGCAAAACAACTCTCCTCACACCACCAGCCTTCTCAATCGCTGTTTTGACATTGTTTGAGATTCTTTGCGCATGCTCAACAATGTCGCGACCGTCATAGGCTGGAGGGAGGACCATCAAAACGGCATCAGAGCCAGAGAAGTCTAGGGTATTCACGTCTCCAACATCACCTTGCACCGCCGTGAAATTGTCGGAAGAGTTGAACTCATCGGGGACTTTCTTCAAATCACGGTACAAGCCTTTAATCTGAACCCCGGAGTTTGGCGATAACAGCGAGCGAATGGCTGCTGTGCTTGTTTTGTTACTTGCCGGTGCGATTGTAACCTGCATTTTAGTTCAATTGGGACAGCAACGGAGAAGATAGGATAGAGTGGAAACAGTCGGATATTAAGGTTATAATAAAGTCGGGAATCATACGATCTAACTGACGAGTTTGATGATTCCAATAGTTAGTCAGCAAAGTGAAGTTCACGATCATTCAGCTGATTCTCCGCATTGTTTTGTGAACATTCTCACGCCAAACCTCATGTCAGTGGCTGAATAATGACATCATAGTACCTTAGCTAACCTCTTTCACACTTAGTTCTCCCCGCTTCGCTAAAACAATATTTGCTCCACATCACCATCATCCTCATGCGCGCCCTCGCAGGTGAGTGATGATGAGGTTATTAATATCGTAGTAGTCGCGATCCAGAGCTATATCCGCTGTAGAGCTAGTTCACTGTATGGCCGGCTAATCAACAAGTCATAGAACAGAAGGTTAGAAGCATAGACTCGGTAACGTTGTCTGACTCGCTTGTAGCGTTGAAGATGAGAGTCGCAGGTGAGCGGTAGACAGAGTCACGCAGTGTCCTTCCGCGAGTATGAATGTCAAAGAATCTGCGTTCCATATCGTCGTCAAGGCTACGAAGGAACTGGTCATGATCGCAAGTAAATGGCCGCCGATCTTGTATGAACTCATGAAATTGGGTAGTGCCTAAGTCTGCACCAGGGAAAGCCATTATGCTTGGTTGACCAATGACGCTACTTAACCATAGGTTAAATATTTATTTGCTATCAGACCAATCGACCTTTTCAAAACCAGCCCAAATGACCCCACCGGCTCTACCAAACTTCATGGCTTTACACGGTATACTGCTTCCTAATGTTGTGACATAGAAGGCACCTGCCGGCGTGATGCCTAAACACGTGTTCTAGTGAGCCTGAGATAGTGCGCCTTGCTATCAACTACCAATCAAAGCTCTTCACGGTGGTCACACAGCCTGTCAGCGGCTAAATTCAGACCCAGCTCACAGATTGAACAGCTAGCAACACAAACTTTCATCTCCCCTCTACAGATACACAAACCTCACTCGCTTGAAATTCCCTTTCGGGATGCCGTCCGAAGAATACTTAGCATCTTTGGGCTCGTACAGCACAGTCGTGGCTGCCATCATTAGCCTGGCTGCCCTTCTCCTCACAACGCAGGGTTGGTCGCTAGTCAGCATTGCTTCTCGAAAGGCTTGGGCAACCATCCGGCCATCAGACGCCCAATGCGCGCGCCATCGATGGGAGGATATACAAGGCTATGAACTCCACATCTGCACTTCCATGTGGCCTAAAGACTGTCATGAGAGTGTGCATTCGCAGGACAAGGCTTGCTGGAACCAGACCGTTCTCAAGGTCATCAATTGCTGGCAAGCCAATGCTTCTGAACGTGTTGTCGAGAAACCCGAGCAACTTCCACTCAGCAAAAACTTCATTCAAGTTGATTACAAGGTCATTCTTGCATTTATCTTCATGTGTTCGACTTGGGAAGATGATGCATACGACGCTATCTATGCCAAGGAGGGTGGACTTTACGTCGCGGGTGTGGAGATGAGGCTGCAAGAGCTGGATTCTGGCACTCTGATCGTCCATTTGAAGGGGAACTTTACTAGGAAACTCACCAAGCACTACGTGGATCGATTGGCCCGGGGACATCCACCTTTGGTTGATGATCCTTTGGGCTACAGTATCACGAAAGAAAACGACGAAGCAAGAGGTGGATGGGTCGTCGCGCTTGGGTTCGATCCAGAAATGACAGAAAAACTGTTCCTTCCCGTCTACTTGGACTGCGTACGCCACCGGACACTGAGCGGCCACGTATTTTGGCGGTCAATGGATCGTGTGCTGGACATCATGGTCAATATCTGGCTGAAATGCTTTTCAAGCGATTCAGAATCAAGCAGGCGAATCGCCAAAGCAATAAGGGCTATCAAATACATCAAGACGGGCCGAACCATAAGTGGAGGGGACAGCATATTCAATGTTGGTAGACCCACAGTGCCTCCAACTGGATCACAGAAACGGAAGATCATTGAGCATTTCAATGGTTCACCAAGAATATCAGAGGATATACAAGCTGCGTTTCAGGCTGAGTGGGAACCATTGCTGACAAATGTCCTGGTAGCTGCTGTGGAAGGCTGCATGACTTGCATCGCTTACCTCCAAAAAGATGGCCGTGAGCTAGGAGAAGCACTAGACATTGATCGAATGAGAAACTCGACGATATATGTGAGGGGCTGCTAATGAAAGGTTTCATCCTAGAGGATTTCCTTCTGGCCTAAGCAATTCGATTGGATACCTTGGTATGAACTTTTCATTCAATGTATGGATGGCTTGTACATTTTCGATTCGCTTGGAATTGATATAGTGTTACTAGATGTAGCTCCGCAATTCAATTCATTTAGGGTTTCTTTTTGTACGCACTGTCGTTTATAACCTAATTCAAGGAGTTTTAAATGTAGTGCTATAACGGCCTTCCGGAGTATCAAACGCTACCTAGCTCTGAGGAGCTTGCTCACCCTGGAGTTGAAACGACTGAAACGAAAACCTCAATTTGTCAGGAAATGAGGCAGATCCTGCTCTGTTTTGGCCTTCTAACGTTAAGTCAACATGTCGAATTTTCCAAAAACGGCAACCCGCTTCACCGGAGATTCTGCGATCGGAACTGTTCGGTAGTTATCGCCAAGCAAAAAAAGCCTCAACACCAAACCATCATCTCGTGATGTTGAATCAGAAGATTTTTCACGACGTTTTAGGCAAGAAAGGATCCACTGAAATAGGCAGCGAAATAAAAGTTGTTACCCCGTGTCACTGAATCCACAGATGCTCCGCTGGGGAGAGATCCCCATGGAGTAGAAGGCCGAGAATTGGGCCGATGGGAACAGGAGAACCAGAATGATCACGATGTCTGTTGTCTGAAACAGCAGCGGGACAGTATTTACATCGAGACAGTTTCGCAAGCCAAAGGTCTCAGCGACATCACCTTCCAAGGTGTAGAATATAAATGCCCATGAGGCTCAATTGACGCGTCAGGCAAACATTCGTTGGGACGAATGCAACGCCCTCGCGCAGATGAAACGTTTCCTCGAAGGGAACTAATTTAGTCTCCATAATCATCGCAACATCTAACTAATCCCCATTCTAGAAAACGAACCGGCAATAAGAGACCATCGTGATACAAAAACAGCGCCATAAACTCCCGGGACTTAATATCGTGATGGAGGCTCTGCGGTCCGTCATACACCGTGCCCTTTGGCTCTGGAGCGAAAAAAAACTTGCAGGTGGAGAATCACGAGTCGTTCCCCAGCGGAGCCCCAAATTGGGTCTGTCGCGTGCCAAACAGACCCAGTTCAGTTGGCCTCCAACTCAGTGATGACAATATTCCAGTCTGTTAATTCCGAACCCGCCAAGAGAAAAAGCCGAGAATTCAGCTGCCCAGACACAAAATGATCGATCGCCCAGGACGGCTTCTTCGGGATCTCTTCTTGGCCATAAAAAACCATCAGCAAGCCTGGCAAGTTAAACCATCCGAGCTGTAAGGGTTACAGGGATTAATTGGAGATGGTGCACTGTGACGCAATAAACGCGGGAAATAAGCAGGACCTAAACTAAAAAACTGCGAGCCTCCTTCGATGAAGTCATGTCATTGTGGGGACAAAAGTTAGTTTATCAAGAATTGTGCTGCCTGGTTGTGGACTCTGACGGTAAAACCGATTGGAAGAGCGTAAACGCTTGAACTTATTAGACTGGTTGGTTCAAATCCTTTTGTTTGGTACGACGTCATTGCTGAACTGACTCGGCCGAGTTCAACCAGCTACATTCAGTGACCTTTTGTTGTTGGATGAATGATGCACGCACCCGATCAGCGAATTAGCCACGTGATGGAATAACCACATCACTAAGCTTGTCTCCTCTCGGCCATCTAAACACTCCGTGCTACATGCAAATCTCACCCTTGACTGCTGATCTCTTTCTTTGTATCGGCTACAACGGCACACACAATCCCAAACTCCACATGCTCTCTCCATCTGGGGGATGCATCGGTGATGTCAAGAGTGGATTCTTCCCAAGTTTTACTCTCTCAAACTGGTGATAACCCAGCTTTTTAAATATGCACCGTTATCCCCAGCCCAACAAGCTTAAACTCTCAGTACCATAAACTCGGGTAGTTTGTTCAATATGCCGACTCACTTCTCAGACGATCCTCCGCAGGTCATCAACGCAGATGATCTGCACGTCGCTAATTCAAGGCTCCAGCAGAACTTGGATGGTTCTACGGACCATAGCGGCGATGAGAGAACGCATAATGCTAACGGTGCTGGGCTAGAGAAGCTGGGTACTTATGATAAGTATGAGATCACTGAGGATGATTGCTACGATGAATTGGGATACTCATTCCCCAAGTGGAAGAAGTGGTACATTCTCACCGTCATCTTCTGGGTAAGCTTTATTAGCATTGGTGTTTTTAATTCCTGGCTAATGGTTCATAGGTCCAAGTCTCCATGAACTTCAACACCTCCCTCTACTCAAACGCCATCCCAGGCATCTCCGAAGAATTCAACGTCAGCGCCCAAGCCGCCCGCTGCGGCGCCATGATCTTCCTCGTCCTCTACGCCTTTGGCTGCGAGCTCTGGGCCCCCTGGTCAGAGGAATTCGGTCGATGGCCCATCATGCAGGCCTCTCTCTTCCTCGTAAACATCTGGCAGCTCCCCGTCGCATTGGCTCCCAACTTTGCTACAATCATGGTCGGTCGTGCGCTCGGTGGTCTTTCATCAGCTGGTGGTTCTGTCACGCTCGGCATGATCGCTGATATGTGGGAGTCTGACCACCAGCAATACGCTGTTGCATATGTTGTGTTTTCTTCGGTTGGTGGTTCGGTTCTTGGACCTATTGTTGGTGGTTTCTGTGAACAGTACCTTCATTGGCGATGGTCGATCTGGATCCAGCTTATTCTTGGTGGATTTGTGCAGATTGTTCATTTCCTTACTGTCCCTGAGACACGAAGCACAATTCTCATGAACCGCATCGCCAAGAAGAGAAGAAAGGAGACAAACGCCAACTTCTGGGGTCCTGATGAACTCGTCCCCTTCCGCGAGCGTTTCTCCGCCAAAGAGATCCTCATCACTTGGACCCGCCCCTTCAAGATGTTCCTCACAGAGCCCATCGTCCTTGTCCTTTCTCTCCTCTCCGGTTTCTCAGACGCTCTCATCTTTATGTTCATCCAGTCCTTCGCTCTGGTTTATAAGCAATGGGGCTTTGATGCTGTCCAGATTGGTCTGACATTCCTGGCTATCGGTGTTGGGTATGTCATTGCTTGGTTAGCGTTTATTCCTGCTATCAAGAAGAACGTCAAGGAGCGACGGGAGAAGCCGAATGATGAGCGTGCGCAGTACGAGTCGCGTCTGTGGTTCTTGCTTTACACTGCACCTTGCTTGCCTATTGGTCTGATCGGCTTTGCTTGGACAATTCAGGGTCCCCCCATTCACTGGATTGGCTCATTGATCTTTGCCGCCATTGTCGGTATCGCCAACTACGCTATCTACATGGCTACCATTGACTACATGATCTGTGCCTGTAAGTTCACCCACCTTTACATTCAATACTTCAACTGACAACATTTAGACGGCCCCTACTCTGCTTCAGCTACTGGAGGCAACGGTTGGGCTCGAGATTTCCTCGCTGGTGTTCTCACCGTCCCCGCCACGCCATTCTTTAGCAACATCGGAGCTTCATCCGGCAAGAACCTCGAATACGCTTCAACCATTCTCTTCTGTATTTCATTCGTTCTCGTGGTCGCTGTCTACGTCATCTACTGGAAAGGTCCAGCTCTTCGAGCTCGTTCACCTTTCGCTCAGCGTCTTGCTGGTGAGCGTCAAGAGAATGTCGAGCAGGGACGTCGCGGAAGCGTTGCCTACGACGCCCGACGAAGGAGTAAGTCAACCAAACCTCACGAGCTAAGATTTAATACTGACGACTTCTCAGGCTCCACTGCAACAGGAACTTCTGACGTTGAACGTCCCCCCGTTGCTGCCCGTCCAAGCCATGGACGCCAGTACAGTAACTCCAACCGTTTCTTTGGTGAGAGTCGTGTTACGCCCCGTGCAACTCCTAGAGGTACACCTTCGGCGAGTCGTCGCAATAGCAAGCATTATTAGAGTGGAAGTGGCTTTGCCGAGGGAGCTAAACTCCAAATGATACCCTGTTTTAAACGAGTTTCATGAATTGTATCTTGGTATTTATAGCATACGCGTACCCAATGACTGATGATTTATCCTGAATGTCCCTCTGCAGTTGTAATAACTATTACTCTGTGTCAATATCGCCACTACTGCTTCAATTCTGAGTTGTCACGATGCAAAGAGTACTACACCAGCATCAAGAATCGTGCCGCCTTAGTCCGTCAAAGAGTAATACGTCATTTCCGTAGGTACTAGCTATTTTGTTAAATGAATTGGCGTGTCAAAGATTTCCGAGCTCGTCACGCTGGTTGCATGGACTACGTCAACATGATGTTTTGTTGACGAGGAAACTCCTGTAGAGCCAAAGTGGAGCGTTTCAGTAAACAATTTGATGGGATTTGCTGATAAAAGGCTAAACTTGGTGACTAAGATGTTAAAATCACCCATTTCCTCAAATGTCAAATTGATTGATATAGCTACGTATAATATCAGCTTCAACGAGACGTCAAATCATGGACGTACATGGCTAGACTTGCTATGGCCGAGACTCCAAAGGTCAAAAATTCCTATGCCATGCGCTCATGAGATGCATGAGATAGCTGTGCAACGGTAGGCATCGCCGTAGTCGTATCTAATTGTCTTGTTTCTGTAGGCGGTGGCACACGACTCGCCTTCTTCTCGAAGAGTATGTTAATCTCTTCCAGCGTCTTCCCTTTCGTCTCAACCCAAAAGTACAGCTAGTAGATGTTAACCAGAATCTTAGACCTCTAGAGTACAAAGCTCACAATAAATACAACCACGAGAACATCCCACGATGCGTTGATGATATATAATTTCCACCCAATGTTCCTGAAAGCTGTTGGCATAATAAGAACAAAGATAACACTAAAGTCACGTTATTAGGTGAATAGATTCCAGGGGAGAATGTTCCACCCAACCTTAGAATATTCAGTGCAAGTTGCGATAGACCAACGGTGTGAGCACGCATTGAGAAGCTCGCGATCTCAGGCGGATAGACTGTAAACAGAGGTGTCCAAGCGATGGAATATATTCCCTGGAACAGAAACATGATGGCCACATTGGCATAAACCAAACCTGTTGAGGCATTCCCTGGGTCATCAGCATATAACTTGGAGAGAATACCAATCAACACAAGACAGATTACGAGCAGTGCCTCTGTGACGGCAGCAGTTGACTTTCGACCCCATTGAGATATGACCTGCGTTCCGACAATAGCGCAAGGGAAACACCATGCGTTGAGTGCGATGTTCTAAATACAACGTATCAGTCAGGCCTCGTTGGTGAATAGTGGCATGGAAGATGTTACTGCTTTGAGTTGGGACTTTGTTTCCGTGACTCCCGCTGTCTCGAGCGCGGTTCCCAGGTAGAATGTCGCAATAAGATTCCCAGAAATGGAGGAGAAGACTCCGACTGATGCGCCGATCAACAGCCGCCTCCTAGCTACGGCATCTTTCATGATAGACCAGAAGGCTGTGTTGGGGTTCTTGGAGTCTACCAATTTAGATCCCTGAACAATCTTTTCATACAAAGAGTTGGCCACTGGATCCTCAATATCGCCATTGGAGACCACAAGAGCCGCGGATAGTCGGGCTGCTTCACTCTGGTCATGGTGTATCAACCAACGAGGTGATTCAGGACTACAGCATCAACTTAGAGGTGACACTGTTGCGGATAACGATGTACGTACATGAAAGGGAGGATGAGGATGCAGAGTAGCGAAAAAACGGTTTGAGTGATGGACGGAGTCCTCCATGCCCAAGTTGAATCCCAAGAACTTGTAGCAAGAGTCACGACGGCAATGATAAGCGCACCAATGCTAAAGTATTCAGTATTTTATGTACCATGACCAGAAGTACACTTACTAATAAAAGTTATTCAACATGCTTACTCCCCACGATCTCCATAGACTCGGAAAGGTTTCAGAGAGATATGTTCCACTCGAAATGTTCGCAATCGCAGCGCCGAAACCGATCAATATCCTCGCTATGACAAACATGGCGAGATTCTGGGCGACACCCTGCAGTGCCATACCTGTTATGGCAATGATAGAGCCCCAGAATATGGCAGGCCGTCGACCCATGCGGTCGCAGAAGATGCCGGAGCAGGGTGTTGCTAAACAGCCGCCAATGAAGATGGCTGCGGTACTCACGCCCATGGTTGTCTCGTTGAGCTTGAAGTACCCGGCATAAACAGGCAGAATATTAAGACCGTTGACCATAGAGCGGCAGACGCCGTATGACTGTCACGATAGTGTTAGATAGGATATGGGATAGCGAATGGGAGAACACACAATTGATACAGTCATTGAACAGGCCATGAGGAGGGTTACTGCTATAGCTGAGGAGTCTGGCACGTAGGCGGGGAGCCAAGTCCCCGTGGGAGTCTTTCTCAGCATGGCGCCCGGAGTATGAACGGTGATGCTAGATAGCTCACAAGTCCTTTATGTGATGTTGATAACTGCTAGAGCCAACTATACAGGCCAAGACTTACGCGGATAGTGATAACTGCATTTCCACGCGGAAGAATATTACAAGTTAGGAAAGTCTTGTAAATTGATTCCGGGTTTTATTCAGAAGCAGCTTTCCTGCAACACAACAGTCAGTTACTTGCTCTACGGGGCTAATTAGTCTGTATTACACCATAAAGAGTATGCCAATGCGCGGGACAACATGCCGAGAGCGCTAGCGTTATCATAGCCTGATTCGGATTAGACACAAACAAACCAACATACAAAGTATCATCACGGCCAACAAGCTACTGCAAGCCTCATGCTATTATTATATAGAAGAACTATACCTTATCAAGACCGGATCTTTGAAGAGCTATCACAGAGCTTTTGTGTATCCGATACAGGTCATTTGGTAAATTCTGGCCAGTCAGCTAACCGACGGGCGCGCCAGCCGTGATGAATATTGCGAGGTTATGGTACTACAACATAAGCACACAGGTGTTTGCGTCTGCTGATGAACGGTGACATGATATCTCGTCTACCCTAAAAGAAAATGCAAAAACTGCAGTACCATGACCAGCCACCGCTACTATCGGCCACCTACACTTTGTCTCCGAACAAATTCTCTCAGGACATTTCCCGTAATAAGTGCAACGTTATTGTCAAACCGGTTCCAGCCGAGAGAGCATAGCCAATTCATACTCCCAACGCTAAACACAGCTCCCCCACCACTCGTTTCATAGTATGTCATGTCAGACCTGACCTCTCTAGTCTGTGTGCCAAGTACATTCTTGAAAGGAATAATCACATCTTCAGGAAACATTGCGAACTCTTCAGAGTGTCCTGTGCTGGTAGCCAGAATAATCGTGCCAGCAGGGCTCCCAACTTCGTAGTCGCATTTGTCGATCTCGTCGCCGCTTGCACCACCCCCAAAGCCATATTCGCCTAAAAGTTCGTCTTGCTGTATACCGTCGAACATCCATGTGAACTTACTCTCTTTGCTGGCTTCTGTTCGCTTGTATGGCACGCCGGGGCCCTGTGGTCCGCGCGCGGTGATTAGATTTATAGTTAGCTGTCAGGTGTGCGGGCAGAGAAACTTACTGGGCCAGCGGCACAACTTCCAACTCCGAGAAACGCATTGGACGGTAAACCACGAGATCGCCATAAGAGTCCAGACTGGCCATTGCTGCTAAACACACGATCCCCTCCAGCGCATGTAAATGGCCTTACGCCTTCTCCGCCTCTTCGAATCTCAACTCTGTGGATGTTCTCTGAGGTCGTCGCGCAAGACCAGTAGAATCCGTTGCCTCCTAGGTACATGACGTTGCCACCAGATTTGATGAAGTCCATATACGCTTTGAGGCTCTCTGTGGTATGGTACTCTGGATGGGAGCCGGTGATGATTGTACCATAGCGGCTGATACTGGAGTATCCATGGGTATGTAAGTCGTGATCGCAGACAACATCATATGGATTGCCACTCCTTTCCAGGAACTCCAGCATGAGCAAGTCAGCACTTAGACCCCGAGGGCGGTGTAGGTTCCAGCTTATGTAGTCTGGTCGCATGTTCATAATAGGTCTTTTGGCTGTGGAGTAGATTACTCCAGACCGATCGTTGTGTATATCATAAGTGGAAAGTCCCAGGTCATTCCGTCTTACTGTCTTCTCCGCGTGCGTATCCGGTATTACCTTGTATCTTGTAGACACCCTATCCTTGATATGTCCTCTGTCATAGACGTGTTCATTTGCGTAAGCAAGATACTGGCGTACAAGTTAATCCGAGATCCTGAGTTTCTCAAGCGTTGCTTACTGTGAAGGTTGAGAGGACGTAAACGATTTCGGGTCCTAGAGCCTGGCTCGTTGCAGCAGTAGGGCGGATGAAGAAAGGTATTGAATCCTTGGCAGCGCCGTTGACTGCCTCTAGCTCCACTGCGTAAACACCAGATCGGAGGGTGTCAGGAAGCTGAATAGCAAAGTCTGTCCCCCAAGAAGCATCGTCGAGATCGTCCTCGTGAAAATGAATGGCCCCATATCCGTACTTTGCCTTTGTCCAGTCAGACTCTAACCCATCCCAATCATGCCCTGTAACCGCTCTGGTAGGGCAATTCACCAATCTTCCATGAGCACCGTTTCCAGACACGTCAATAATTTTGTCTGTCGACATTTCAAGAGAAAAGTCCCATTCAGCAACCTTGCAGCTTGATTTCATGACTAGGCTATCGAGCCGACCGTTGAAGAAGTTTGTTGGGATATGAGATGCCTGGTCAGGGGATAGGGCAAAGCTTGCAGCGAACACAAGACTACTTGGTGTAGAAAGATGAATATCTTGGCCAATTCTGCTGCTACCCATGACTGGCGACTGAGGAATGCTTGCGAAAAACGGATGCGGGAAAATGCTGAAGTTGAGTAACGATCCCTGTATAGTAAAGGTTACCTTAACCCATTGTTGGAGCTCAGGCTTGAAATGCGTAGGTACGACCTCCACAAGATCACCAGTACCGACCCAGAACTCGAGGAGCCCTTGGTCGGTGAGCACAACAGCATAGCCAGTCTTTGCCTCGACATCGAGGGTGGAAATGAGAGTTTGATAATGCTTTGCCTCGACAAGATGTGGCTGAAAGTAAAAGGTAAATTCAAGACCCGTGTCGGGTGTGATGTTATAGTCTCTTTGATTGATGATGGCATAAGAGCCTGGATGGGCGATCTGATACCGGCCTCGGCATGTACCAGAGGGAATAGCGTTCACTGCCTCTTGCTTCATTCCAGACGTGTCCGAGCCTTGAGGTCCATGGATTAGACGAACGACACGATACTTGAGCTTTCGTTCCGTCGAAGAAATCTTAACCGTGAATTTCAGCATCTTCTCCTCACTTTCGATACAACAGGAATTTGGGATATCTCGCAGAGTAATCTCTGCAGACTATGCACTTACCTTGACTTCCACACTATTACCAGGACTCGCAATCCAGGGATCAATATAGCCAGTGATCTCGGCGGGGTATCCATCTGGGGGAACTGCCTGCGTACCCATATCCGTTTTCTCTAGTAGAGGATAGTAACTTTGCGATATTGTATGTGTTACGAACCGGTTTTGTGCATTATGATTACTCCGGATATCAGTAGAGGAGCTCCAGGTAATCAGGATCAAGTATACGACATTAACGACTGTAGTTCGCTAATCGGGGTAAACATAGCCGCCATCCAATTCCTTGACTATTCTATCGTAATTGCATCCACATTGATATCCCACGTCTAACATGACGTGTCATATCAAACCTGAGCCCCGCATACGGAATGTTACATTTCCCTGTGGCCTACTGCCATCCAAAAACCTACATTTCGGCCCGAAGTATAAGATGGTCGAATTGAGCGCCGACGGCTAAGGATTCTCTCTTGGGTCATGATTTCGAGTCTTGTACACGCGGCGTGCAGGACACTGAAGTGTTGAACACGAATTGAAAGGTCGTTCTCTAGAATGCCGTCCATCTTGTTCATCTTGATCATCTCAACCAACGCATGATGGAAGTGCTGAAAGACTTCTGCTTGCACCGACACCACCTGGCTATTGATACTGCGATAATCACATGCTAAATCTATCTTGTGTCACAATGTTTGCATCCAACTCAGCCTAAAGCTGACATCCAACAACGTAGCAACGCTAATGCCGAAAGAGCAAAGTTAGACGCTCAGAGCATGCATGTCTGATCCAAAGCTAACACCTTTTGAGAATGATTAGCCGCAGCAGGACTGACTTTGGAAAGTGATGTTAACCGAGTCTGACTTGTCGTTCTTGCAGCACCAATTGGATAAAGCCCAGCGGTGAGTCTTGATAGATTCAGATAAGGAGTTTAGAGAAGCTTATTGCAGACGCTTCAGTTGCCAAGCCGATTTTGTGATAGTGATGAAACCAAGGCAACAGATTTATTAAATCATAATCATCTCATCGATATAAGGGGCGAGGACAGTCAATGTCCCGATTCCTCTCTACCCCGGTCCATCAAGGGTCCTCTCTTCTCTCGCCTATATACTAAAGACTAGCTATGTCCATATCCCCTAACTAGAAACCTTACGGTTCAAATCTTGGAGCTAGAACCAAAAGTGCAAAGCCTCATTATCGACTGTACTGCGGAACTCATCGCAATGCGTCTCGCTGTATGCACTCATTTCTGCTCTCGCCCAAATGCCCTCAACAGAAGTCATCAACGACTCTCTCGCGCGATCACGGTATGTATTTAGCATGTCCGTATGCCTTTTCCGCACCCAGCTCTGATCCGCACTCGTCATAGCCTCGCAGGCGGCTATATAAAATGGAAACGGCAGTGACGAGTCCGGGCCGCACCCGGACGCAAGACCATCCATCAGCCGAAACATATGCCTGCGAATCAGCTGCACACGTGTGGAGTTTGTAGGATCTAGGAATACTCTCCGCAGAAGGACAATGTGGGCTGTCCAGTAGAAGCATTCACTTACAACCTCAAGATCAGCCCGGCTGTTGGTTTCGTCTCCGGAACTTCTCGGGAACGGGTCTGGTTGTTTCGACTCTGATGTCATTGCCGAACAGTAGTTTCGACCCCAGAGACGCATCTCGGTTTCGAGGTCATAACCTGTGGCTTGAACAGCAGACTTGCGAGATTCAGACTCAATGAGTTCTGCGCTCAAATTCGCTATCTGAGCCAGGTAAGACAGGACGCGCCGATTGCAGCCATGCATCTCTAAAAACGATGGCTCTTGGTCAAGTTCATCTCTGCTGTCTTGATACATGTAAAAGTCTAATGGGGCGCGTGGGCGCGTTGATTGCACAAAGGCAAGGACGACATCAACCATTGCGAACCGATAAACCAGCGTTTTAAGAAATGGTGATCGAGGAGGCCGAGACATGTACCCAAGGTGCTGAATAAGATACAATGCATACGTCATATGTGTCCCGATGTTGCTTAGGTCCATCATGAGTACTGACGAGGTCTGCATCATCATAGCAGCCAGGGTGATTTCTCCAGGAGAATGGAAAGCGAAAACTCCTTCCACTTCAATAGTCTTCTGGGTATCTGGGCCCTGGTTGTCCTCCAAGTTTAAGTACTTCAAAGCTGTTCTTAATGACTTCAATGCTTCAGATTGTCGCGAATACAGTATAGATCGATTGCTTTGCCCGAACATTTCCATATGTGCTGTTGCCACAGCCAATATGCTATGGAGGAGTACGGGGTATGATAGAGCAGCCATTGCTAGCCTTCGATATGGGTTGTGGTCGCTATCATATGCAGTCGTGCAAGAGGATACGCGTCTAAGGTCTGAAGGATAAGCAATCAGTCATGGAAGCATTGTTGCGGGAGCACTGACAATAGGTGAATGTAGCTTCGTCATTGGGGTATTGGAATACCTCGACAAAGAGGCTACTCAGGGCATTGACAGTGATATTCCCACTAGAGCCGCTGGAACGGGACGCGTGCTCGGGGGTATGTGATGTCTCCGTTGGTTCTGGAGGAGTTCTATCGGATATAACTTCATCTGTATCGATGTTTTCGGGCAGACTATCCTCTATTTGTGAATCCTGATGATTGCTGCTTTGTTGTTCCAACGTTACAAGATCCTCATTCTCTAGAGTATCCCCTGAGAGACTAGGATTTGAAGTCACGCATCCGAGATGTTCAATCTCAGTATCTACAGCTGGTTGCAGTGCCTCAGCTGTATGCACAAGCCATCCAGCAACCTCAACACCCAACTGGAAGCGAATCGGCGATGACGACACTAGGAGACCCTGCGCCTGGGAATTATTCGCGGGCACCTGTTGGTGGAAGTTTGACGAGCTGCACAAGCCAGTCCATTTCAATGGTCTCTGGTAATCGCAAGCAGCGCCACGGATGCTGCAGGCACTACAAGCAGGCCGCTGCTCGTCACACTTGCGATGCTGGCGACGACACGCCTTGCAGCCTTGGTAACGTCAGTGGCGGTTATAGGAGGGCCTGGGACAGCAAACCAGTGCGAGATCTTCTGCGAACGTCCGGCGGCATCGTTCGGAGAGCGGGAATGGGATTTGACAGGGTAATGGGTATGTAAAACGGCCGGACCTTGGGCTCTTGGGATGTCGTCTAGTCTAGTATTGCGATCGAGTGAGGGTACCACCGAAGAGCGGGGTGATAGCCAATGACCAGACAGGCCGTCAGATGTCAGATCAGCACAGTCCTTGTTGTATCCAACCGAACTAATCAGGTAGCATCATTTCGATGGCGTGGCTGTCAATACCGGCGCTAAACATACTATACTTATTAGATACGACTCAGAGTCGCACTTCCAGACTGCCAGGCCTTTGGGCCATTGAGGTTCTAAACCAACAGTCTCATAATTTGTTCCTCGCCTATTTCACAGACAGAGTACAATACAACCTACTGCAATGGGCACACATCCTTCAATCCATCCACACAACTGCCTCTTGAACAAACGTCGCAATCAAGTTCCCGTGCCGATCAAAACAGGACATATTCCCCAATGCGGTCCCGCCTGACGCGGCCAATGATCTGATGCAAAAGAGATGCCAGTTGTTCAAGTCGCTCTGCCGCATCAACCATGCACTATGGGTGAGACTCGCCGTGAATAAGCCGGCCGTCCTCCAGGATAGTCCGTGTCTGAGTAAGCCTGCCTCGAGGATGGGGTAGTCAGACACGTACAAAAGTGCCGCCGTCTGCAGTGCTGAATTGTTCTCCAGGTGTCTTTTGCTCCGTATCCAAACACAGATATTCTCCCCGTCGGGTTCCGAGGTCCATACTGCTTCAATTCCTGCTGGGACCGGTCTTGGATGCATCCCACTCGTGCTGTCAGTGTCATATTGGGCCGGCAGCGATACCTGGGGCATCTTATCAGATGTATGTTCAAAGCCGAGTCGAGGCTTTCGAAATGAGACCTTGGCGGAAAATATTTCCTTGTCGTCTTGGGTTGCAGTGACATGGCGAATGGTGAAATTGTTGCCGCTCATAGCTTCAGTAACGTTGAATTGCGTTACCAACTCAGGTTTGGCTCGTCGAACAAAAGTAGCCTGTACTGAATGACACTCCCGGTCTCCGATACCATTTGCCGCTGCAGTGACAGCTCGGCCCATTAACAATCCGCCATAGACAGGGTCGGGAGTGCGGCACGGGCCGGTTGAGCAGATCTCTGCCGAATCCCGCGACGTGTGCAGTGCAGATGACAAGTCAAAGCGGTCGTGCTCCATTCAGCAGCCAATCCGGTATTCACGGGGGCTAAAATGACGTGCTGCTGGCAAGATGGAGGAACCTTTGAGAATGAAGAGTGCAACACTTGTTAAATATATCATGGCATGCTGACTAGAGTTACACTCATCTCCCTCGGGAACGGTCCGGGCTGCCGAAAGGGTGTGCACTCCATATGCATCTGAGGAGTCATCGCTTTGCCGGTTTTCCGTGGTTGGATTACTGGACTTCAGCTGGCAGACTCTAGAGAGTTCGTCTTTGAACAAGAGCGTCGCATATGACTAATTTATGTACTAAGATCCATCCTCAATAGCAAAGTTGAGTTGCATCAGAAATAAAGGCTTCAACTACTCGTAGCCCGCTTGTATAGACCGATGTTGAAGTGACTTAGCCTCTCCCAAGAATCCGTGAAGAAAAATAAAATTCATCATCTACTGCATGCCAACCATCACAACCCTAACAGCATGCAAACAACCCAATATTTGACTCAAGTGAAAGGCGGATGTGCTGACCCTACACCGACCCCCCAGCAACAAGGATGCCGTCCAACTTGCGGTGGATACTCTCCGAGCTATCCTGGGACTCTCTGGGCTCTCGAATTACACTATGATTATGATCCAAAACTGTCAAAGATCGCTCAATCTGCAGCTCATCTGTCAAGGGTCTTCGGAACTCTGACCGAATCTTGAGCGTTGCTCGGTCTGCTTTCTCAATACCCTCCAAGTCTAGGTAGCCACCATGACGGAAATGCTGCGAAAACACTTGCATTGACTTGATGATGGACACGGAATACTCAACCGGGTGCAGGTATTCTGTGCCGCTGCGTCGTTCCATCAACCAAGCGTTGATAGGTCCACGGGCCTGGAGGTTACAGATGAGCAGCACATCCTCGCCGGCGGAGTTGACATAGTCACAAACAATCAGCTTCAGGTTCGTGCGGGGGTATAAAGGTGACTCATTGTCGGGCTTTGAGACCATGAGGGCAGCTTTGACGTGGGAGTCGTGGATACCAATTCTCGTAGCTAGGTCGCTTGGGACACCACTCCAGCTCGCAATCCAGCGTGTCGGAAATGTCTGCGAGCCTACCTTGACTGGCATTTTGAAGTCGACCATCATCTCAGCCGGATCGCAGCCTGGTGCCTTGGCATCGAGTGGTGATAGCGGTGTCCCGTTAAGTGAGGTGAAGCACAGATTCGTCGCACCCTCTTGAACACGAATATCATATGCTATCTCTTGAACTTCTGGTGTGCCAAAATCTACATCCGTAGTACCAAATAGTGCACCGGATGCTAAAAGATGCACATCGTGAGAGAGTTTATCAACAAATGCTCCCCCGACAATGTCTGATCGAGCCTCCGGATTCCTCAGGCGATCGAGGGCCAGGGAATTAACCCGAACAAACGAAAGGGACCGCATCTCAGCAGCTTCGCCTGCCAGCTTGCTCGCCAACGTGTGAACAACTGGATTGAATGCTTCAGACATGCTCACTGAAGCAATACGGCGATAATTCCCGAGAGAAACCTCAACACCAGGAGAGGAGAGCGGCTTCTCGAGCAGCACAGATACGCCGGCTTGATGAGCCAGGCTGAGAAGTCGAAGTCGGCCATTTGGCGACGTAAAGTCTTTGATGAAGGTGTTTGGACCAGAAAAAACCTGGAGGGCTTCCTCAATGTCGGTAAAGCAGGGTATACTGGGATGACGAGCCTCTGCTGCCTCTCGGCGATGAGGGTCTCGCTCCACAATTGCAACGACCTGGAAGGATAGTTTGCCAATGGGCGTCCATGTCGCTTGGACACGGCGAGTCCCTTCAATCAGACCGGTGATTCTTGAGCCTAGGTAGCCATATCCATGTATGATACACTTGTCAAGCATCATTGATGAAGACGATGAGCGATCAGGCGTATACATGCTTGAGTAGAGTGACGTAGCTGCAGCTGATCAAAAGCAGAATAAAACAAGTATGAAAGCAAGAGTCAGTTGGTGAAGATAGTTTAAAAGGGACTATTGGAGCTACTGGCACGAGATGGCTGTTGCAGCACATCGAGGTTGTCTACATTTATACGAATTAAGTAATGAATCCTACATTTCGCTTGCCTGAACTTTGACCGATTCACTGTTCATCATGCACCCTGGGAATTGTCGGTAACAAACTGTTCACTCTCTGGCCCGGTCAAAGGTACTTTGCCGCTTGAAGGATCATCTCACTAAGCTTCTCGAGACTAAAACAGAATCGCAATAATCGAGACAGACTGAAGAGGATGGGCACGTTCTGTAGTAAGCCCCGGGTTCGTAGTGGCACGTCTGAAGTAAAGGTTACGAAGGTAACCGTAGCAGCAGGAGTGGGTTTGATGACTGCGCATCATTACTGTGTTCGATTACGGAATCAAATGTGATTAAGATGTATCCAATATTGGAAATGTTAAGCGGTGGCCATCTTTGTGAGCTTAGGCACCCTGCCATGTTGTCAAGTTTGGTGGAATACCTACCCGTACTCCTATAACACAAATTGGCTATCTTGATAGACAAGCCGTAAAGGGACTTTCGTATGTAGTCATGTGGGAAAGGTAAAGTTTATAAGAAGCGGTTGGCATTATCATATGCATACGAAAAGTGGTAGGCGCAGACTGCCTGATTATCATGGTTATTGTATCCTTTTGGGCACAGCAAAATTCCAAAGCATATCATAACAAAAATTATATAGGGCTTAAGGTCTGTTCTCCTCCTTTGTCTTGGTTTTGGACAGATCACTCAACTCGCATGAGTGACAATCAAAGTTACCAAGCAGGGGAGTCAGAACATGGTGAGAATATGACAGATTTGAGGATCCACAAGAGATCTACGATGAATACAAATAGACCTAATTTAGGAAAGCACACGCGCGTATATTCTACATCCATAATGATATAGTCTGTATGCAAGCTGCGTCACCCTATCAAATATACCATAAAGTTCAATGCTGATCAGCGGGACAGCTTTGATACTACGTGGACTGAAGACTTATTTCTATTAAGACAATTGGGAATTGAAACTAATTACACGGCATGTTTCTTCAGGTACTTTGCCTCAACATCTACCTTAGTCCAGATACGTCCTTACAGTGGATCGCTGTCGATGACGCCAACTCCACTGCTTGTATCAATCTCCACGTAGAACTGATCAGGAACCGCGTTATCTTGGTTGTAAGAGTATTGGGTGTAGTCCTGCCCATTCTGAACACCAATAGTCGCACCTGAGCCATGCCTGGTTGTCGTATAGTACTCAAATCTGACCAAGCCGGGGTAGTCTTGATAGAAACTGGCCGTGTAGTGCTCATTGAACCCAGTGTCGGAATTACTGCCAACAAACCATTCGACAGTGAGCGTCTGGCCTCGGTCAGTCTCGTAGACGTCGTAGAAGACTCCTGTGTTGCAAACATCTCTGCGGAAGTATTGGTCGTCCCAGTAGGGGAGGATGCTAACAGCCGGGATGTTCGAACGAGGTAGTGCGTAGTTGCCGTATGCGTTGGATCCTGTATCCAAGGACAAAAGGCCGTTTGGAGACACAAAAACAGATGTTGAAGAACTTCCAAATACCCCGATCGGGAAAGGTGCTGTGAAGCCTTGGTTTCCATCATCCGTGTTGACTAGCGGATCAGTAATGATCGGAGTGGGATTAGCTAGGACTAGAGTTTGGGCACAGACGGGCTCTGCGGCGGTTGTAGTCGTGGCCTCTGCGGTAGTAGTCTCGGCCTCAGCAGTGGTTGTCGTCTGAGCCTCTGTGGTGGTTGCCTCCCCTGTCGTAGTTCCAGTCTCAGTGGTCTCAACAACGGTCGTGGTAGTCTCGTCGGCCGTGGTTGTTCCCTCTTTAGTTGTAGTAGTGTCAGCTACAGATACAGCGGTAGTGCTAGTCAAAAGCGTAGTAGCAGCCTCAGTCTCGGTGTCGCTGGTGACGATAGTTGCCACAGTAGTGTCCGTGGTGGAGGACACAGGGAGGGTCGTGGTTGTGGATGCAACGAGCGTGGTTGATGCCGCAGAAGCTAAAACAAGTCAGTAAGGGTTCTCAGGCTAACACAAACACCTGGAAGCTGAGGGACGTACTGGCAGAGGTTGTTTTCGGTTTGCACGGGCCAGCAATGACCGACTCCACCACGAAAAGGCTCAAGGCCAAGGACAAAAGCCTCTTTGAATACATTGCGTTTAATGAGTGACGAGAATCTAACGAGTGGCAGCCTCTCAAACAAGAGGTCATGGAGGACGAAGAAAGCTAAGAATAGAGCCGATGGGCAGAAGATTCGTCTACATGACTATAAATACCAGCCAAGCGAGTCGTTGCTAATTTACTTTAATCTTTAAGGGGATCGATAGTCTGCTACTAACTCAACTAGCGCTCTACTACGGGTCCGTTGGGTGGGCCAAAGATAAGCTTAACTATAGTTAGAGTAATAGGGACAAACCTCGAACAAGAGCAACTAAAGACACTGGTTGTAATCATCACTCACTTGTGAATGTTTATCGGATCTTGACCACATCATTTCCTTGTAATCACACCATCATGATGCAAGACGAAAGAGGAACCGCAAGAGACTAAGTTGGACTATTTGTTGGCTCGTCAAGTTCTCAAGTAATCCCAGCTGAAAGCGAGCTGCCGCTAGTCTATTCTTAACTACCTGTCACTCGAACTATCAACGCCACATGCAGCCACCAAATTGCGATTGGCAAAGTTTTAACAGAACAACCCTTTTATCTGTAGCATGCGCATAGCCATTGAATGATTGATGACCTGACATAGCTTCAGTAACCCGCGATAACTACTCCCGTTCGTTGCCTGAAAGACCAATGCAGGTTTACAATCATGTGCTGTTGGTGCAGCAAACCAGTTCACGTCGTTATAGCCACGCGAGATGCCAGCTCAATTGGTGAGTCAGGCCATTCTACTCTCAGAGTTCTTCCGTCAATATGATGTTTCTTTGACGTGAGGCCTGTTGAGGGATTGAAAGGGGTCACTTAGTTATGCGCGGGCAGCTTTCCTGTCACAAGTGATCTGATCCACACGAAGTCTGCTACCGTAGATTCCCACATCCCAAACTGTAACGTCAAAGAAGAAGACATCATCTCCATGTTCATTGACTTCAAAGTCAGATAGAGTAAATACAGTCCAGAACTGAATCAAACTATACACCGTACTCCTAGTATCCCGTTGCGTTGCCCTTCGCTATAGCCTAGCAAGCACCTTCTTACAGCGGATCGATGTCGATGATGGCAGCTCCACTCTCTGTGATGGTTATCTACCCGCTTGTAGTTTGAGCCTCGGTCGTAGCTGTAGTCTCTGCTGCTGCTGTCGTTGTTCCATCAGCGGTAGTGCTAGTCTCCTCAGATGTGGTTGTTCCCCCTTCAGTAGTGGTAGCGCCCACTGATGCAGCTGTGGTGCTGGTTGGCAGTGCAGGAGCAGTCTCAGTCTCGGTCTCGCTAGTTTTAGCGGTAGTGTTAGTCTCCTCGACTATAGTTGTTCCCTCTTCAGTAGTAGTAGCGTCCACTGATGCAGCTGTGGTGGTGGTTACCAGCGCAGTAGCAGTCTCAATCGCGGCCTCGCTGGTTTCGGTGGTAGTGCTGGTCTCAGTTACTTCAACGGTAGTATCCGTGGTGGAAGACATAGGGAGGGCCGTGGCCGTGGTTACAGGGACCTCATCTGCGATTGGATTGTGACGTGTGGCTAATTGCTCCTTCCGGCGGAGAGCGAGAGAACTTATTAGATCAAATCGAATATTTGGAGCATATGGATTATAACCTTGATAGCCCAGAACAAGTCAGTGAGGTTCCCGGGTCAAAACAGCAGGGTCTATAAACTGGGGGACGTACGGCTACTGGTTGAAGTGGTTGAAGTGGTAGTAGTGCTAGGTGTCTTCCACTTGCAGGGATTGGCAAATACCGACTTCGCTACGAAAAGGCTCAAGGCCAGGGACAGTAGCGTCTTTGAATGCATGCTTCTTATAGAATGTGTTATCTGGCGAAAGAGCGACGAGAATGTGATGAGTGGCAATCTTTCGAGCAAGGACGAAGGAGAACGAAGAATGCCAAGAATAGGGTTGATGGACAGAAGAATCGTCTATAGATGACTTTAGACACCATTCGGGCTAGTCTTTACTAATTTCAATATTGAAGAGTTCGGGGGGTTGTCTGGTCTTTTGCTGCAGCCATACTGAAGAGAACACAGCCTGCTTATATGCCTGTGAGCATTTGGATGGTCGCATCATAGATAAACTGTAGAGTTGATGGCTTGTTTATTAGAGTTAATATTAATCACAGGAAAAGTAGAGTCTATTGTACCTGAAAGAGGGGAGAAGCTAATGTGTTAATTTGGCCGAGTGGCTTAGAGATCTATTCTGCGAAAAGTTGATTGAATTTGCCAAAATGAATGAATTTGACAGAGCCACATACAGCCACCATATTGCGATTGGCACGCCAGAACCCTGTTCAATTTCGACACCAAGCATTTTTCGCAACTTTGGGCTTGTGCCGCAAGACTGCTCATGGCTGAGCGTGCGAGCCACTGACGCTATGGAATGGCTTGTTTACCTGGCCATAGACCCTTAGATATTGTCCCTTAGTTTCCTTCTTTACAACGATTTAAAGTATTATACAGCAATACCTTCCTAGCATCTCATGCAAGGGAAGGAGTACGTTATAGATATAGATCATGTTATTGCCTATAATGATAGAAGTCTCTTTATAGCTGATATAGAAACTGGAGCTTAGTAAACTGGTACGCAAGGTTTTAACTCTCTTCGTTCCTACTGCTAGGGCCCAGTTGGGGTCTTGAAGGCGCCGGCAAGGTAGTTATTTAAGATGTTATTGTCGAATTTCCGTAATTAGGAGCAATCGACCTCCTTGCTGCACCACCCGATGAACAATGATGTCTCCGACCTGCAGCACTTTCTCAGGGTGTTATGATGCGCTGAAACCCTGGCACATCCTGATATCTACAACTCGAGCTACAAGTATAAATAGGAGTGTTAAAACTCAGAATAGAGGGCATCAAGAAGCTGTTTGTTGCTGGGAGTCTTGAGATCGGATCAATGATCATCCGTCCCGCAAGTAAGATCTTGATTTCAGTCATGACATGTGTAAATAGTAGCTTATTTCCAATTTCATCCTTGAATTAACATAACATTTTCATTCAGATTCAAGAGCCTGGGGTATGGCGCGACCAATATCCGAACTAATCAATACCACTGATCCTGGTATTAATCTGGTCCACGAATGGGCACGAGACAATAGCGAGCTGTGTGAAATTCTGCCGCCTGATCAAGGATTGCGCAGCGACATTCTATTGCAACTGCAGGTCACGACACGCTCAATCCTCGGCGCCGTGGCCTACGAAACCGGGGGTATCCTCGCGCTCAACAGACGGGTGCGAATACTCGGATCTGGCTCAGACCGCTCTCTCCTGACTGCCAATGGGACGATTGGAGGCCATAGTGGACTTCTTATTGTCGGCGATGATATATTGGGCGGTGTCTTGGCACTCAATGGTGGACACTTTGGCAACGAGACGATTGGCGAGATCTATTATCTTGCTGCCGACGATCTTGTCTGGACCTCCCTCGACGTGGGCTACACGGATTTTATCTATTGTTGCCTGACCGCCGACCGCAATCTGCTAAGTCGACTCTTTTTAGACTTTGAGTCATATGTGCAAGAGCCTCCGCCTTTTACTAAGGCCCTCTCCATCATTCCTTTTCTTTGGTCTAAAGAATCACGCAATGGTCCCGTGAGTGTCGCGGTTATTGACGCTACCGAGGCAGTAAACGTCCACATTGATATCGCACGCCAACTCACTGAAGAAGCCTCATAATAGGGCGATGGCGCTGGTCCTATTATCTGGATGAAGAAATAGGTGAATAGAAGAATTTTTTTCTGCTTACTGTGAAATTAGTTGTTTGCGGATTTGAAGTTACCAAGAGGTCCCGTGAGGACTTGAGTCATGTCAGCAAAAGATTGCGTACAGGGCATCTTTCCTTGATTTCAGGTAGCTGGGCTTATAGGCCGTCAACGGTATTGGCTGGGTTGTTTGAAGCCATGAGTCATCATACCATAAACCAACAGAACTATTATGCCCTGAGTCTCTTCACAGTGATTCCTGGATTTCTACGGCAATAAGTGGGGTTTGGTTGATGAAACTTGTTGTTGATTGAAGCCTACAAGTTTAAAGCTTGGAGAAACATATGTGAGCTCTGCGACCCGAGCAAGATGTATATTGCCACAGTAAGATGCCAGTACTGAATCCAGCCCTCACCTGTCCACCTTCACTTTCTCAAACTCTGACCTTAACCAATAATGACATCAAGCTCAAGGTTCTCTCCCTCTTTAACACGATACTTGGCAGTAATATTCCTACGGTCAATGTTCAAAACCGACTGCTCAGTCAATCTAGCCTCACGCCTCTTGGTCTTATCAGTAGGATCGCCATAGTACTCAGGCAGAGACTGAGCACCGGTGATGTTATCCGCAAGGCCAGTGATGATGTCAAGCCAGGGCTTGTACATGTGCACGCCGACAGCAACGGAGAAAGCTTCCTTGCCTTCTTCGTTCTTGAAGCGTAGTAGGCCTGCGGTGCCGCTGTCGCCCATGTAGAGGGACAGCACGCCGTTTTGCTCGCTCCACTCGCAGCCGTCGGTGTAGTGCCAGCAGGCCTTTTCAACGACGTGGAAGTAGGCGTTTTGGTTGGTTTGGTAGACGCGGACTTTGACGGTGTAGGGCATTCTGGGGGCGTTAGTAGGGGTGACGAAGAAGGGAAGAAGGGAACGGACTTGAATGGTTTATTGGGGAAGGTATAGTAAGATTTTAGTGCTTGGGTGTTGGGTTGTTTGGTTGATGGCGAAGACAGTATTAGTGGCAGTAGCCAGGACTTTTATACCCTTTCTCAACCTATCTTCACTCTTGGCTCTTTGTGAGGAACTATTTGTCTTCTCATCAGTACTACGATGTCATTCTTCCTTGCGTCAACTTGAGATGTTGGCGTCTTGCGGTGAAGCCATATGCATGAATACCTGACGAATGTGCCGTGTCTCAGTCTTAGATCTTGCATCACTGGGCAGTAGAGGCGTTCAGTTGCAGTCTATGTAAGATCTATGTAAGACATCCTACGCTGTATACACTTTCTCGGTTGTGTCTGTAAGGGATGTCCGATGTGCCGCATAGGGCTTGCTAATACTTCCGCAAATTTGACGTTCTGAGGCCCGAAACACTGAAACGGAGGTCAACCAGGAGTGTAAAGGACAGATTATTAGCACTGCTAGGGTACTCTACGCATGCAAGTTGTTTCGCTAAAAGTCAAATTTACATGCACAGCTTTTTATCGCATCCAAGTGACTTCGGAAATATGATTTCACTCGTATAGCTTACTTCAATATCACCACGTATGTCGCCAGACAGATCAAGAATCAAGGGACGGCTCATCGCGCTGTCTCACTACGAAGCTTTCAGCTGTCAAAGTTCATATGATCGCCGTTTTATTTTCCTAACGGCGTGAGACAGCTTCCTTAACCCCCTCTTTACCCCTCCGCTAGATCCTGAGGCTTATGCATGTCGTCCAATGGAGACTGATGCTGGAATGCGGCCCGTTCCTACCCGGGGCTTGGGTTCCATAGCTTTCTACCATGACGCGGGGGCATATGCGTGTTTCTGGTCATTGGTCTTGACACAAAGCTTGATATTGTCGGTCAATGCAATTTGAAACAATGACCGCATATCTTGTCCCAGAGACCATTGGCGTAAAGCCCCCGATGTCGGATGAATTCCCTCTGATATTCTACCAAGGCTCAATGCACATCAACTTATGCGAGTCGCTGGAGTTGTGCATTGGATATAATCATGAGGTCATGAAGACTTGAAAAAAGTTGATAAAATAAACGCTAGATCTATGATTAAAAAGCTAATACAAAATATATTCCTCGATAATCTTCAAAAATATCATCTCCAAAGTCCCCATACTAACAGTATAATGCGCAACACCCATACTCCTCTTATGACGCTCCAAAGTCTCAATCACCTCAACGACCTGGCCCTTTCTATTCTGAGACATAGCGAAAGCTTCATCAGCAGTGCTATTCGCCGGAATACTGAAGCGGAACTGTCCACCCAGACTCAACCCTCTAAAGTTGGCGCCTGGAAACGTCTGGCGGATCCATGCCTCGACCTTTTGCATTTCGACTTGGTCTGAAGTTGGTGCTGATTCTAGCACCAAGTGTACTTCGTAGGAGTTGCTGTGTCTGTTGCGGAGTTCTTGGATCGTGCCGGCGGCGAGGATGCGTTTGGAGAGGATTGCGACGCGGGTTGCTAACATGTCTGCTTCTTCCATCGAGTGCGTCTATAAGCTATTAGGATGTTGATACAATACGAGGAAGCAGGTACTTACCGTCAACAGCACTGAGCGACTTGATGAAATGCCCGATAGCATAGCCCACATGTCTCGTTTCGCTATAGGGTCCATCGCTGAACTCGGTTCATCAAGGATGAGAATCGGTGGGTTGCCTGTACTGGTCAGTCTTGTTCAAGGGTGTCAAGCGATGTAACGTACCTAGCAGCGCAATAGCCAAACTCAGCTTTCGCTTGTTTCCGCCAGATAATCGAGATGTCAGCTTATCAGCATGAGGCCTAAGCCCGACCTTGGACATGACCAAGTTGACGTTCCGCTGTACATCTGCGATACCCTTCACGCGAGCATAGAAAGAAAGCTGTTGGCGTACGGTGATATTATCCAAAGCGTCAAACTGTGGGCAGTCTGTCATACCATCAGTAGGTGAAAGGGTCCAGTAGATGTCGATACTTACAGCCTATGCTCTGTCGCCCAGCTCGGGTATCCTTCTGCATATCCACGCCCTTGATGTAGATGTTGCCGTAATCTGGACGAACCTCGCTTCGCATCATATTGATGGTTGTCGTCTTACCAGCGCCGTTGGGTCCCAGAAGTGCTAGTCAAGCGTTAGTCACGGGACGATAAAAGGCGGAGAAGAGTATTTACCAAGTAGCTCTCCTTTTGCCATGGTGAGAGAAACACCATCAACAGCAACATTACCACCAAAGGATTTGTAAATCTGATCAACATCGACCAAGTTCCCGCTCATGCCTCGAGACTTGGCCATCGGCGCCATCTCAATGTGAGCATCTTTTCCGTTGTTCCTCTTCCTTTGATACAGTGGCATGATATTCTCTGCCCACAGACTTCGAAGCGTCCATGTCCTTCCGTCAAGTAACAACAGAAGGGCAAACAAGTATGCGACTTGTATACAGAGGAGAAGAATCGGGCCACCGTAGGCGTGGATGTTGCCGGGATAGCTTATCACTGCATCGCCACGACATCCTGCGGCCCAGACGTTGAGGCCTACTACCATAGCGCGGAAGAGGTTGGCGACGGGGAAGATGAGACCGAGGATGAAGACAGCTGTGTCCATAGAGGAAGACCTATTGCCTGGACTTTGGTTGACCGAGGCAATCTGGCAAGTCAGCATTGGCTTTAGTGGGATAGGTGAGGTGACATACCATAAGTCCTGCGACGGAGATACCAAACATCAAAAGAGAAACACAAAAGGATATACCGAAGGAAGAGAGTTCTGATCGCGCAAAGAGGGAGATGATGTAACACCAAAGCATCATCGCGAAGCCGTATAGAAGCATTACAGGGAAGAGATGCCAAGCGCCGTACCACTTTAGAATGATCAAAGAGATAAACAATGTAGAGAGGCAGGATATAATAAGAACAAAGACTAGGTCGATGATGATGTGAGATGTCCATAAAGCAAGAGGTTGGATCGAGTTTGAGTATTGTAGGGTTCGAATCTTTCGAAGTCGTTTGTACGCGGGGTAGAGAGCGAAGAAAGCTGGGTATAGGACGTGCAAGACGGTGAGTAGCTAGTATAGCGTCAGTACTTGTCATGGATCGAATGAGATCAGAAGTGACTTACGATAGCGAGAAACATGCCAGGGCCAGGGTCAGACTGTTTATATTGTCAATTGAGCCGAGCAAAACAGAACATAAGGTTACATACCGGTATAGAAGAGCTGAAGTATGCAAAGGAAAGCGAAATTGGAGTCTCACTCTTCAGCTGACTCCACATATTCAACATCAACATCGATCCATCAGCCCCATGCTCAGCGTTATATGCAAGCGTGTCTTTATCCTTCCCATTCATGTACAGCGCTCCAGGTACAAGAGCTCTCGGCTTATCACGGACTTGTTTCAAAAAAGCATCATAGTCATCTTGGAATTTGAATTGATCTTGATAAGACTTCATATCATACTCCTTGCCGATGGGATACTTTGACAATGAGCGAAAGAGAGTCTTGTTAAGAGAGTTCGGACCGACGAGCATGGTAATATTGTCGGAACCTGCGAGGTCGTAGTAACCATTTGGACGAAGAGCTATGGGCCATGGTTCGTCGAGGATGGATGAGTCGGTTGATACGCAGGGTGTTGGTTGGAAGGGCGTGGGGTCGTTGGCCATGGCGCTGAAGACGGGTGTGAAGATTAGTGGGATTGCGAGAGCGAGGACATACCACCAGAATCCCCTCTTCAGAACTAAAAGGCGCTTGAGGAGGAGAGCTGCAAGTTGTTGGAGGAATGAAGCTTGTGTTCCTGAACTGAGTTGATTGTCCGGTGTCTCGCTACCTTCAAGAAAAGGACTCCGGTCAGAAACTCCAACATCGTCGTCATCACCTTCATCTGCGACCTTGAGAAAGACATCTTCCATAGTAGGTCCACTCAACGACGTATCAGAGTATCCCGCCGTTTGAAGAGCAGTCAAGAGCTGTGCAGCAGATGTCGAATCAGGAGTGTTAAACACAGTCTGCCCTTGATGTACAGTCGTAGCATATGGTGTATCCGGTGGATCCTGAACTCCAGGTAGATGTACGCGATACCCTCCTCCGTGCAGATTCTTCAATGCTGCTGTTGAACCCTGACACTTGACGTGGCCATGCGACACAATGACAACTTGGTCGGCTAAAACTTCGCATTCGTCGAGGAAGTGTGTCGTGAGGATTAGACTTCGCTTCTGACGTTCGGCGAGGATGATGTTCCACATTGCTCTTCGAGAGACAGGGTCCTATATTTGTTAGTGAGTAAAGCGTCGATATGTGGAGTGCTTACCATCCCAGTGGTGACTTCATCCATGAGACAGATTGAACTACCGCCTGCTAACATACATAGCATTTGGACCTTTCTCATCTGACCTCCGCTAAGTGTACCGACAGGACTGTACTTCTTTAGGGATAGATCACAGGATTCGACGAGGGTGTCCAGGGACTGGGGATCTGTTGCTCCGCCTTTCATCATGGCCCAAAGTCTACCGTGTTCGAGGACTGAGAGCTCGGGCCAATGGATGTTGCGTTGGGGGCAGATGCCTTAAGAGTTAGTTAAAGAACTAAGCTGAGATGATAGACTTACCAAGGTTTGAGCGAGGGGCGTTGACGTTTATCGAGCCACTTGTGAGCTTTTGTGTTCCAGCGATCAGACCTAGTGTTGTTGTCTTGCCAGATCCATTGATGCCAAGAAGACACAAGACTTGCTTCCTCTGCATAGAGAAGCTGAGTGAGTTGACAGCTATCGCTGGGCGAGCTCTCCGGCAGCATCTTCTCCAGAGAGAAGGTTTATATGTTTTCGTGAGGTCGACGATCTCGAGGGCTGTTGAAGAATCCGTCGTGTTGGCGCTTGTGAACTTTCTGCCCTTGTTGCTAACACCATGAGAGCACTTCTCAATAAGGATAGCAAGCATGGGATAGAATACTATTGTAAGAAGTAATAGGCCCCATAACATAGATACTGTAACTTCGTATATGCGAGGTTGATGGGGAGCCGGTTTCGAGATGTTCGTTGAGAGACCTTGGGCTTCGTTTCGACAAAGTTGGTTCAGGAAGAAAATGTAACTCGAGCTTGGGAAGATAGCGGATAGAATTAGGACAATAAGCGCAGGGACGTTTTCGGGTTTCGAGTCGAGAATTTCGCACAAGGCAGCGAGGAGCATAAGGACGATGACCATGGAGATGGCGGTGTATCGGATGTTGATGGTGGCTGCAAAGACACTCATGCTCGTGAGGGATAGACCAGAGAGGATCTGCCAGAGAATGACGATACCAGGGTTCGAGGTTGGGACGAGTAGGGCGGCGTACACTACTCTGATTAGCAGATTAGACGAGACAATTGTATGTTGGACTTACAAGCTCCAAAGATGATCCAACTCGGCAAGTAAATGGCATTAAAAGCAATAAGATAACTCAACACCCTCGCCGACGCAGCACCACCAGTCATAACATCAATCAACTGCGCCATCCCCGCCTCTCTCTCAGTCGATATCATCCCAATGACATGAAACACCGCCGAAATCATACTCAGAAAACACACGATCCCAAAACCACCAACCATAGTCGCCGCAAAGTTACGACGCTTTATCTCAGCAGCTTCATCTTGCGATATCCGTGTAAACATGTAACTATTCGGTGTCGTGGTTGAATTCGTGATGGCGTTTTCGACGGCGAGTTGGAGTGGTGCGTAATGGTTCTTCGAAGGCGTGGTGATGTCGAATTTGGTTGATGCTCGTGCTGAACTAACCCTGATGGTATAACTCCACGTCTTATTACCCGCTTTGCTAAGAGGTGAATCGTTGAAAATAACAGCAGCGTAACAATCTGTTACACCGCTTAAACTCGTAGGACATCGTTTTCGTAAATCAGCTTCACTATCAGCAACTTCAACAGCCCCCTTCAGCCCATCTCTAATCTTGGTGACAACACCATCAACATCAGACCCCGCATTTACACCCTGCACAAAAATAAGTTTCGTCCCGGGGGGCAGAGTCTCAGCAAGGCTTTGAATGGGAGATGGCTCTCCAACGCCATACCTGCTTCCATCGCCGGTGAAGTTCTGGATTTGGAGGACCAGAACGAGAATCAGGACGGGGATGAGGAGAGCTCGGAGGAGTGTTGAGAGCCAGTGCTTGACGAGTGTAATCAGGAAGATTTTCCTTGTCAGGGCTTGCAGTTGCCGGAACCATAGTCTTGTGGATGAGAACATGATTTGGCGATGTGAAGGATGAAGATATTCGTGATATGATTATGTTAGGTACTATATACAGATTCATGACTGCCTGGGCTGCCTCTGGACGAATTGGAGGGCATAGTGTCAAGGGGGGTGAAAGAAAACATGACAACTGGATAGGTATGTGACCAACCAATCTTGTCTCACAGGCGTCTCGTGAATTTTCTTCACAATGAGGCCAGGTACATTATCACAGTAAGTGCCTTCTTAAACGAGTTAGCAGACTTACGTGCCTCCAGTTTCATCGAGGTCTGTTTACATAATCTCACCATTGCGTCTATAATAAGAAGGTTAAAGGGAAATTAAATTGAGTAGTGGAGACAAGGCTGATTTTCAGTTAGGCATACTTCACTCAAGCTTCACTCAAAGTTCCTGCAGCCCTAAGAGCTGTAGTCTAGATCGTGACGACGACTTTCATCCTGGAAAAAAAAGACATTCTCGTATTGAGAGGATGTGAAACTGGTGGGTACGTGCACCTTTTTGCTGCTCAGCCACCACCTTGACGTTTGCGGTTCCACTATCACAAGCTAAAACAAACAGGAGCAGCCTAGAACAGAAAACTATTGAGGAAGGATTTGTTTTAGTTCTATCAGATCATGGCTTTGGGGGTCATTGGTTGGAGGTAGTTCGGTGATTTACGGTATGGGCTTAGCTTGCGGGTGTCGGTAGGTGAACGTTGCATTCAGGTACCACCAAGCGGAATTGCTGCCGTTGGAGTCTAGACATGGTTTCCACGTTGCATCTCATGGTTTGGGGAGTTGATTTGTCGCCCTTTTACGATGTAGGATTGACGGTAGGGCGGACTGTCGGCAGTGGGAGTTTGGTGGTGCTTGGGCTAGCCGAGGGGACCAGTGGCGTTGATCATTGATGAAGGGGGAGGCTGTGAAGGGATAAGGATACACGAGAGGATTATTGTAGTTAGGCGTGGCCCCTGACTCTCGAGTTTGTTGTCAGAATTCGGTCAAGACCATTCAAGGATGATATTCGCATCTGTTTGGTGGTCAACCCTGTTCAAATCTGATTGGTTGACTGTCAATTAACGCGAACTTGACCTCCCAAACATAATGCATCATAATAGACTCTAACTGTCAGACGTTATCATTCTTACAACTATCATACAAGTCAGATCCAGCCAATTGAATTTTATATGCAGTTGCGTCTTAGCACATCAATCTCACCAATGATCTCGCCTTACAAATCAACGATTAGAAATCACAATGACACCATCTCCAACGCCAACAGCATCATCTAAACATATATAACCCCCAAAAATAACCCAAGGCTTGACCTGAAACAATAAACAAAACTTAATCTTGACTCAAGACTAACTCAACATGGCCCCAATCCGCACAGCCATCATCGGCCTCTCATCCTCCGCCAAAACCTCATGGGCCTCAAACACCCATCTCCAGTACCTAAACTCCCCCCTCGGTCGATCAAAGTACCAGATCGTCGCCCTCCAGAACTCTTCCCTCCAAGCTGCCAAGAACGCTATAGCGCATTACAACCTTCCACCTGAGACCAAGGCTTACGGCACTCCAGAAGATTTAGCTGCTGATAAGGATGTTGAGTTAGTCGTTGTAGCTACGCGTGTTGATGTCCACCATTCAAGTGCTCTTCCGAGTGTAAAGGCTGGCAAGGACTTGTATGTTGAGTGGCCTCTTGCGCAGGATGTTACGCATGCGAGGGAACTTGTTGATGCTGCGAGGGAGAAGGGGGTCAAGACGATTGTTGGATTGCAGGGACGGTATGCGCCGCCGATTAAGAAGTTGCGAGAGATTGTTAGAGAGGGGAGAATTGGAAAGATTGTTAGTGCAGAGCTGTATGCCTCTGGTGGAACGAATGACAGGGAGATCCTGCCCTCGAGTTTGGAGTATTTTACTCAACGAGCTGTTGGGGGTAATATCTTTACCATTGGTCTTGGACACAGTAAGTCACCTCACTACTGTCATAGAAGCTATTAGCAACTAACAAGTCAGTCTTTGATCAGTTCCAGTACATCACCGGCGACATCACAAACCTCAAAAGCACTCTCCACAATCAACGTCCCAACATCCGCATCCGCGACCCAAAAACCAACGAAATAACCCACACAACAACCTCCGACGTCCCAGACCTCATCCTCGCAACAGGTCGTCTCTCTGAATCCCCCACCGCTCAAAAAGACGCCGCCGTCCTCGTCCGCTTCCGCCGCGGCCAGCCCTTCCCCGGCGCTCCTCACCTAAGCATAGCCATCGCCGGCGAAAAGGGCGAGATCAGAGTACAAGTCTTTACCGGGACTACACTCCATGGTGCTTCGGCGTATGAGAAGCCTGTTGTTATTGAAGTACATGATTTTGAGAGGGATGTTGTGGAGGAGGTTGAGTGGAAGTGGGAGGAGTGGCAGCAGGATATTCCGCTGTTGGCGAGGGGTGTGGCGGCTGTTTATGAGGCGTTTGCGGATGGGGAGGAGGATGGGGATGGCTTGGTTAGTTTTGAGGAGGCGTTGAAGAGGCATGAGCAGCTTGAGGGGTTGCTTGGGCAGTGGGATGAGGATAGAGGCGTTTGAGTTCCGAAGCATGTGTTTACATTGGGCAACAAGGTTCTGAATGGACTGTGGCTGGCTATATCAAAGCCAATTTATGACGAAATCATCACCATACCAGACGCCACCACTAGCACCCTCATGATCTTGACCGTGTATTTTTCAAGATATCATCCGATATCAGTATCAGCTATTCTAAAGTCATCCTAAATTTAGCAAACCATGTAAATCTTTTCTCATTCTACGTCACTCCCATATAAATTATGTAAACACTCATCATAAGCTTTTCTATAACGAAGTGTAACAATCATGAACTACCGCCAAGGTTGTCAGGCATTGTGCCCAATACCCGAGAACACTGCCATTCCCGCAAGCTCAGCAGCCTGTCTCTCGACCTCAAGTGCCACTACACATACGCAATTAGCATATATCCTCACGTCAAAGGGTAGGCACTTACCGTGAACTGCCACCGCGGCTTTCTTCCCCGTAAACATCGCATGCGGCACATTAGGTGCACCATCAGAATTCGCATCCCCAACCGCATATATGCCGGGCACATTCGTTAGCATGCCACCGCTGGTCACTCCCAGTTTTCCAAACGTCAACAAAACGCCCGCTTTCTCGCCAATATCAGACCTCTGTTTACTAGCGAACCTCGACAGAAAGGCAACGCGCTCCACGGGCTCGCCCTCTGTGAAGTGCACACTGAAGAGATCGTCTTTAGGCACCGACGGTAAATGGGGGCTCTTGTCATTATCTTCCCCCTGTTTAAGTCGTTCAAGCGACGTAATGGTCCGATTATCGATCGTCACGTTATGAAGCTTTAGATACTCCTCCCACTGAGGCAATTGTTGGTCCGCAAGCTTCCTCATGTCCTCGGTATCAGTGCCATTAACGAAAGCAACGATGTCGGTATCCAGTGTGAGGACTTTTCTAACATAGGCCGCGACTTTATCGAGCGGACATAAAAGACCAAGTGGTTGATCGGCGTACTCGTGGCCATCGCACCAGGGGCACGAGTAAATCCCCCTGCCCCAGTTTTCCTCGATCCCGGGCGTGGACGGCAGAATGTCTTCAAGACCAGTTGCGAGGACTATTTTGCGCGCTGAGACTTCCATGGGCGATGAGCCGGTATCTTCAACGGAGACCATGAAGTGCGTGTTTGTGCCGGGGAGACGTTTTATGTTGGTCACCGTTCCGTTCATCATCTTGACGGTTTTGTAGTACTTGAGGAGGCGGCGGGCTTCGTAGCGAAAATAGGCTGGCTGAATACCTTTTGGAGGTCAGTACTTGAACATGGCTGCGCGACGGGTTTGGTAGGTAGCTTACCATCCCAGCCGATCACATCATGCATATGTGTCGTTTGAGCATTCCTATATTCCCCAGAGTCAATGAGAAGAGCCTTTCTGCGCACTCTTGCGAGACCGCTCAGAGCCGATAGGCCAGCTGGACCGCCGCCGATAACGATGACATCGAAGTGTGCTCGCGGGATGATGGCGAGGGCATTGATGAGAGACAAGAGCCCTAAGAGGCTAGCAAAGAACAACATCATAGGGATGCAGAGGGCGGGCATAGAGAAACAATCATTTTCGGTAGGTATGATACCTAGATATAGGTGCGCGACGTGGAGAGGCTCAAAGTTCTTGGTGGTCATATAAGCTCTCAGCCACAAGTCCCAACAGAAAATTGCCCGTTCAAAACCATCTATGGGCGTCAGGGATGACGTTGAATAAGGCACCTTGATGCCCAGGCACAGTTAGCATCTACGCCCGGCTACAGGCGTATGAGAAACTCATCAGAGTTGGCGAGTGGTTTAGTGGAATCTCCAGTTGCCCGCAGCGAAGGTTGAGGCTGGATGGGATATCACATACAAAGGAATTATTGTCACCTCGCCGCTGCCCCTCAAGACCGAACAGGTTGTATTCTGTGTATTCATGATACTGTTGGAGACTCTGTTCTGGTGTAAGATTAGGATTTTGAAAGAAGCTTCAGCCCCCAATGCACAGAGGCAAAGGACTCTGCTCAGTGTTGATCTTTCAAGCAGTAGGTGCCCCACAGACGGTCTGGCTAACTGGTTTCAACTCAATTGAGTGCCTCTTCTTAACTAAATCATGTAAAGTCGTATGGAACCTCTGCTAAGATTTTATTAAGATTTATAAAATATATACATACTGTATAGACGTTGACATATCTCTACATAAATTTATGATGACTTTAGGGTAGCCGATGTCAAGACAAACATCCACCCAAACACAAACCCCGCCTAACGAAGAGCTTACAGAAGATCTAGATTCAATCCCTCCGTGTCAAAAATAAATAAAATATGCTTTATATGAATGGTATATCTCAATGCTACTCAAATCCCATGCTAAACACCAAACACAATGCTTCGTGAGTATAATCTCGCTCTATGCCTCATCCTCCCTTCTACCATCCTCACAACACCTCCCTCATCTATTGCCATCCTAATCCCAAAGGATCCAACCCGCCCTCGCAGCCGGTCCATTCGGTTCATCCACACTAACCGCCTTGTTAAGCGTACTCGACAACTGATGCACCTCAATCGTTTCCGGATCGCTAACATCCGTGTCTTCCCGCCCGTCGCTCGAGTGAAACACTTCACTTGGCTCTGCCTCTGTAGCGGAAGTGACGTTGTCTGGCTCTGGTGTCGCAGCCCGTGACTCATCACCCTTTGGGCTTTTCGGTGGTGGAGTGATTGGTTTGGAGAAATTGAATGTTGGGTTTACTTCTTCTGCGTCCGCGACGGCGGACAGGGTGGCTCGTGTGTGGAGATGGATCTGGGATCGGGATGCGCGCTTGAGGCGGGGTTTGCGCTGTGCGACGGGTGACCCAGCGCGTCGACGGGATTCCATTTCGATGAGCTCCTCTTGTTCGGTCTCGTCATCGGTGATAGTGCTCGTGTCGAGTAATAGCCACTGTCGAGGTTTGACGTGCAGACTGCTTCCTGACTTGCGGCGATGTCGCTTCTGGTTCTTAATCTCTGCGGGTGGTTCAATAACTGCTTGGCCCTGCTTCACTCTGACCGGCATCTTAAGCGGGATGTTTCCAGCAGTCACGTTCAAATGTCTAAGATCGCGTTGACTTTGCGAGAAAACAACCCGGGCGCGAAGTCTGTGTACAGCCCGATCCAATGCCAGTTCAATTGCACACCGATCGCGTACTCGGCTCAATTTGGGCCATGTTGCACGCTCACCCATGAGACATGCTCGCATCATGAATTCGGGGCTTGGGTTGCTCAATAGCCGAGGCAAGTCGTTTATACTCATCTCGGGAAGAATGTTGATGTCACCGGAATATTTCTGGCTGAGAACACTCTGGAACTTGGTCGCAAGGTTGGGCATGATACCGAGTTCGGCCAGAAAATGAAGCCGATGCAAGGCCTCGTCACGCGCAAGAGATGTCATAGTGTGGATCCAATCGTAGTCTTCTCCATTTGTCTGTTGACCTCGTTCTGGCTTTCGAAATGGTGACAAGTGGTCATCTTTTGCGAGGAATGGCACGACGTGCGGATTGACTTGAGAAACAATAAAATGGTTGACGTTGAACATTTCCGCAAGGCGTGTCATTGGTAAATCGTTATCCACAGACCCATCGATCCATCTTTGGGGCGTAGGGTTCCAAGGCTGATGCTCGCCAGTAATCGGATCCTTAACGAGCAGCGGTGCGGCGTTGAAGACGAGAGGGACAGAACATGACGCAGCGACGGCGGACCAGATCATGACATTCGGCGCAGTGACGTAGTTGAGTAGTCGCGGTAATTCGTACATCGAAGCCGTGGAGACACAGATGTTGAGAATGCGCCGCGTCCGGTTGTAAGCCTCTTGAAACGTCATGTCGCCCATCAATCCTCTCATCACCCGTGTCAGATGCTTGATGTCAGACCAACTTCCCTCTGTCAACAACCGTCGCAAGTTACTCCAAACACCATCCTGACCGCTAGGATCCTCGAAAACCGCAAGATCCCCATACGGAAACTCTTCAATAAGCTTCGGGATCTCCTCGTCGGTCCTGGTACACATGGCGGCGCACACGATACTTCCAGCGCTTGCACCAGATATAATACGCGGCAATAGTTGAGCTTCGAAGAGAGCTTTGAGAACACCAATATGCGACATGCCAAAGGTGCCTCCACCGGACAAGAGTAATGCGCTTCGGCCATAACTCTGTCGAGCAAATAATATTCCTTCGAGTAGATCTCTGTTCTCGATACTGTGGTCAAGCCGGCTTTGCGTGACAACAGCATCAATAGTCTTTATTGTAGATTCGACATATCGCTCGATAAGGTGTTTCGTCCCGGAGTAAGAATGTCGGTATAGGTCAACGTTATCCATACCACCAAGGTCGCGCGACAAAGCGGTACGGATCAAGTGCATCATTGTATGTACGTCGCATTTCGTCCGCGCTTCGTCGAGATCGTGTAGTCGTTGCTCAATTAATTCGGGGTTATAGTCGCCTGACGAAGAGTCGCGCTTCCATTCATCGTTGCCTTCAAGGCTGTCGAGTTCTTTCGCAGCACTCTCCCACTGTGCATAGGACTCGGCCTGGATGGTCAGTTGAGGGTTTCAGTACAGACGGGATGACGCACATTCTGCATGGACATGCATAGCATGCGCTTCCTCTCCTCCAACTGCTTGATCTTCAAGCGCTGATCTTCTGTCAAACCATCTTTACACCACTGCCATGTATCGTTCGCCGATTTAATCGCTGCTTGCAGCGTGCCGACAACAGGAACTGAAGATACCGGCGGTCGCTTCGCTTTGGTATTCGATTTAACTGGGGATTTTGTAGATTTATTGTATAGGCTAGGGACCGCGCGGGCAGGGAGAATAAGGTCGGCCATGGTGAAAGCCCGCGCCGCGGAAGCGCAGGTTCGGTCGTGTGCGAGGTCGGAGGAACGAGGTTATAGCATGGCAAACGGTATTGTGTACGTGTAATATTCGAGTTGTAGTGTCGCAAGGCGTCGGGGGTTAAGGATATTGTATTCGGGCAGACAGTCGGACAAGGAATCGTGGTCACAAGTTGAGAAGCATTTGTAGGTGCGGAAGGGTCAACGGAAGTGGTGGGGGTTAATGGAGGGGGCGCTGAGACATGAAGAATTGGAGGTGCAATGTCGAAGAAACGAGGAAGGTGATCTTGAGGTGGTGATTCTGAATGATGAGATTATTGTATCGTTGGATTTAGAGTTGGAAATGAGGAATTTGCTGGTTTAGATTGGAAGGGAAAGGCGACGAAATGACCATTTGCTTTCGTTTTCGCTGCCATTCCCAAATTGAATCTGAATCCACTTGCCGAGCTGAGGCCCCATTCCCCACCAATTTTTGACGTGGAGGAGCATGGACCACTAAAATGCCCTGTATTCCGGTTCCTCTCCAGGTCTTGACAGCTGATTCTCCCCAGCTAGAATTACTTTTTTACCCAACAAGTTTAGTAGGTTATTGATTATTTCTGACAAAGGTCATCTCAGCAAAACACAGACATCTGACTCTTGTGCTTCCAGCTGCACACCGCTTGGAAATTGTTGGTTGTACGGAGTAGGAAACAGTCCAATCATGGTGGAGGTGCTGGAGGTGCACGTGGTACAAGTTGGCTGTCACTAAGCCAGGATGCGTCATGAATCGGGGTTGGGCTCCCGTTCACATGTCAACAAAGAAGCGGGAAGCGGAAGTGGCTATTGGACTCTCCAGGTTTTGGAAAAGCCGATGTTCGGCAGGTGATTACTTTTCTGAGTCTGGGGAATTTGCGGGGGAGACATGATATGATGGCTTACCACGGCACGCAAAGAGGCAATGTTGAGAGAGAAGAGAGAATGCAAGACGGCGAGCTGCATCATGGCTTACGATAATTCCTCACCGTGACCTCTCTCTCCCTCATGCACTCTCCCGTCTCGTCCCAAAACAATGCCCGACCTTGTAACTGTGGACAGCTGAAAAAGAAAAATATGAGACACGGGCTGACGCGAGCTTTTCTTCCGTGTCACCTGCGTTTCCCGAGGGTCGATCCTCCAAACGATCGAGATTCATCTCCCTCAAGATCTGCACCTCAAGCCAAGGCAGCAGGGAACAATTATTCTTCCGTCTGAGCAAATCCTCCGGCGTCGGGTATTTGTGGTACCGCAAAGTTTCTAGCTCGACATGGAAAGACAAAAACACGAGTCTAGACCTTTTGTCGATCTTGTTTGTGACGTCTGTGGTACGCGCTGTGTCTGGGAGCTCCATGCAGAGCTTCACGATCATTCCAGCTCCAACAATTACAGTAACAAATTTTAAAAATACAACAGAATCGCTACTGAACTGCAACATAAATATGCATAATTTGTATCGTTAATGTTCCCAATCATATGACAGAGACATACCCCTCCCATGATTCGCTACACAAATTACGTATTCGTGACGCCTCTTACACACGATGGCCTCGCGTAACCTGAAAGCGTTCATTCCCCCGCATCCTAAATACCTGCTTTCACTGTGCAAACCCGCGCAGTCTAACATGTCATTGATGACGTTTTGTTTTCATTTACGAAACGTCCAATCCAATCATTTACCCATTGACTCACTCACGGTCTGGAAAACGCCTCAGGCAGATGCGGCGTAAGCTCCCGCCTCTCTTCTTATAAGCTCCGCCGCCCCCAGCCTCGAGCTTCTTTCTGCTTCTTCATCGCTTCGAAACTTGAAGATCTTTCAATTGAGTAGCTTTTAAAAGATTTTTGTCGATATGGAGGCTTTCAAGACTCATGGAGGGGTTGCTCCCATTCCCACCGTCGTTCGTATGTTTCTTTCTTACCCTGGTGTTAGAGCTTTGCTGACGATGATGTTTTAGCTGAACCGACTCACTACCAGACCATCGGCCACAATGGCGTTCGCGCTCTATGGGTTCTCTTCGTCGCTATGACAGTCGTATCTGCCATCTTCGCCCTGCTATCATGGAACGTCGCCGTGCAGCGTCGCATCTTTTACTTCCTCACAACTCTCACCACCATCATCTCTGCCCTCGCCTACTTCGCCATGGCGTCTGGCCAGACATCGTACTTCAACTGCACCAGCGTGAGGGACCACCACAAGCATGTTCCCGACACGCACCATGAAGTCTGTCGCCAGGTCTTCTGGGCCCGATATGTTGACTGGACGCTCTCAACACCGCTGCTTGTCGTTGAGCTTTGTCTCCTCGCGGGTGTTGATGGTGCGCATACCATCTTTGCCGTCATTGCTAACGTGATCTTTGTCCTCGCGGGTGCTTTCTCCGCTGTTGGACATGCCAACACTGCTCAGAAGTGGGGATGGTATGCTATCAGCGTCATCGCCTTTGTCTTCACCATCTGGCACGTCGCTGTTCCCGGCTCCCGAACCTCTCGTGCCCGCGGCACCAAGATCGCTCGCCTCTTTGGCTCCATCTCCGTCGCTTCTCTCATCCTCTGGCTCGTCTACCTTGTGTAAGTTCCCTCATCATTCTTCAATTGAACAAAGCTAATGTCCACAGTGTCTGGGGCGCTGCCGGTGGCGCTTGGAAGGTCAAGGTCGGCACCGAGGTCGTCATCTACGCCGTCCTCGACGTCCTCACTAAGGCTGTTCTCGGCCTCTGGATCATCACTGCTACGCGACAGAACCGCGACACTACTCCCGAGATTGGAGGTTACTGGACCAACGGTGCTGGTGCTGAGGGTACTATTCGCGTTGGCGATGACGAGGATGGAGCTTAAATGCGCCTCCAAAAAAAAAAGGTCAATCGAGTCCACGGAACAATTCCGCTTTGGACGTCACCACTTTACAAACTTTCCGCTCACGATTTGACGAGTGGACTTTAAGCCCGAGCCAGCCGGTAAGGAATGAATGATCAAGATTGTATGTTTTGGAATGAGCTGGGCAAAAATGCAATGCAACGCAACGCGACAACATGCTCGATTGAAAGGGAATTGGGCTTTTGGGGCGTCAATACGAGACATGTACCTTATGATACAAGTTAGTTAGTAGCTTTAATGTGACGGGACACGAATACGACCTACCCCTCTTGACTGTGACACCATTGTGAGTTCCTGCATGCGTACTTTATGCATCAGCATCAATCATGCAATGTTGACGACAGAGATGATATGATCTCTTTTATGATGAACGGCATTTGCATGCACTGTTTTGTCTTCCGAATGCAGATGACAACACCCACAAAAGTCTCCGAAAGGTCCCGTGTCTCGGCCGCCGTCATCCTGCTGTTCTCAGCCATTTCACGGAGCCCGAACAAGGATACGGATTACAACAACGCCTTTGCATCAATCGGTCCATCAAGGTCCCCACAACACGGCGTCTATTATTGAAGCATGATGTAATTAAATGCGCTTTCATCTATATGCAGACTGTGATAAAGCCTTGACTCTCTTCTGAGCTCTCAGCAATAGCTGGACTATACTTCTGAATGCGCTTAATAGCCAACATTGCCTTTGTCTCAGCTTGGCCTTCCCGGTGAGCGACTCAATTCTTTGATCAAGGGAGTCATGCGGACGGGTCGCTGCAAGCAAGGTTAGTGATAGGTTACTATGATAAACTCGGCTCCTGAGATTCGCCTCATGAGATATGGCCCGGCCTCGCTCAGCTTACAAAAACACAGAATCTCAACCAGAGGCAACCATAAGTCATCATGGCCTAAATGAATAGTCTGCAATGCAATTTAGCCAAGTCATTACACCCAAACTGGCCTGCCACTTAACACGTCGATCCTTAAATAAAGTAACCATAGCACTTCTTCTATATCATTATATATACAGCCAGACTGGCAAGGAACCCAGAATCATACCTTTGCCCACGGCGGCTTATACAAGGGGAGAAGCAAGAACTTGTAGTGAATGTCAATTCCTCAATAAAATTTTGCACGCCCTGCTACTATAGATAGTACTATCTCTAAGCCCATTGCTAAAATCCCTATCACTTGGCCGATGCCGCCTCACTACCAGTTCCATTTCGCTCCTCAGTCTGAAGACCAGCGAGAACAGCCCTTTCAGCAGCTGTGCCCTTGTGAGCAGTAATCTTGCACAGCAGAGGCAAAACAGAGGCAAGAATCGCACCCGCTCCGAGAAAAGCAGCCGTGACACCAAATCCGATGTGATACTCTGGTGAATCCTTCGTAGGCCAGATTCGACTTCCATAGACGCTGGAGAAATTTCCGAAGGCATTGACGAGCGCAAGGACGATGGCGCGCTTCTCTGGAGGAAGGCTCACAGTTGCGCTGGCCCATGAGAGAATCAAAGGGAGTGCGGACCAGATTCCAGAGGCTACCAAGCAGATCATCACGTATCGCACGATGGGATTCTGAACGGCGGCGCAAACGACGCTGCCAACGCAACCGAGGGCGAGTGCCGATGTAATATGCCAGCGGCGTTCGATATGGCGATCGGAGGACCAGGCGACAAAGATGAGCACTACAGTAGCAACAGCGTAGATGGGCACCGTCATGTACTGAGCTTCAACGGAGTCGTAACCAAGAGTCTTTGTGATTGTCGGGATGAAGTAGGAGATTGTTCCCGCGCCGACGTCGAGCATGAAGAGGACGATGAAGATGTAGGTTCGGGGATCGGAAATAGCAGCAACGAAGGCTTGCCAGTGAGTGAGTCGACCGCTAAGACTGCTCGTCGAGGCGAGGCCATCAGCAACGATGCGAATCTGAGCTAGTTGACGCTCCTGCTCGCTGAGTCGCTTCGAGTTATGAGGATAGTCCAGCAACACAAAACAAGCGATTATACCAACACCAACAGTGGCCACCCCTTCAATAATAAAGAGCCAGCGCCATCCGGTGATACCATGAGCATCATGCATACCAGATGTGATACCACCAGCAAGCAGACCCCCAAAAGCACCCGAGAGAACCGCAGCAGCATAAAATATGGCAAAACGCTTGCCCAGCTCAGCACGCGTATACCACGAACTAAGTAGGTATAAAACTCCCGGAAAGAAGCCGGACTCGATGCAGCCGAGGAGGAAGCGAAAGGCGAGGATGGTGCTATAGTTCTTGCTGACGGACATAACGGCGGAGAGGCAGCCCCAGACGATCATGATGCCGGGGAGGAAGAGCGAGGGTCGGCTGCGGGAGAGGATCATGTTGGAGGGGACTTCGCAGATGAGGTAGCCGAAGAAGAAGATGGAGAGAACCCAGGCGTACATCTCATCTGTGAGCTTAAGGTCGTCTCCCATACCGGCGATTTTTGCGTTACCCTATTGAAGCACGTAGGTCAGTATGTGTCTTGAAGTTTGTAGTTGATAATGCTTACAATGTTGGTACGATCGACGTAGTTCAGGATGTACATAATCCATAAGATGGGCATCAGGAAGAGGTCGATCTTTCTGACGAGCTTCTTCTCCTCAGGGCTGCCTGGGGTGTAGTTGCTCAGAGCATCGGACAGCTCTTGCGAGATACCGACTTGCTCATGATGCTCCCCAGCTTTGGACATTTCCTTGTCGTCGCTCATCGTGCCAGACTCTGGGACTTGTAGAGACTTTCAGAAGGACGAGCTGTTTAGACAAGCAGTTGTTTTGTGTGCTGGAGTAATCCAAGAGTCTGAAGAAGAGGTTTGTAGCACATGGATAGAGATTGAAGCAAGCGAGAGGGCCATGAACGACCTTAAATACGAAAACCCACCTGATCCCCAACTAATGCTACGCTGTGAACCTGGGGAACTAACCCGAAAACCATGAGTAAGTGTTCAAACAAAATGTGGATCGCCCCATGGGGTAAGGTCCGGGACACGAAGAAAGGGAACTTATGCATTGTCACCTCCGCAAGACGGGAGAAAGAAGAAAGATTCTAGACTGTTGCTCAATGGCGCGGCGCGTAGGCCGCTCTTATGCATGGGGTAGGGCGGTCTTCGCGCCGAGTGGAAGATGTAGTTCGGCACCGGGAGGAGCTAGTTAGTCATGGGTCGATGGGGGGTTCTTGGCAGAGGTTGCTTTCGCGGCGATAAACCGATAATCGCCTGGGGTCCATCGGCGGAGTACCGAGAGATGGAACAAGTTTGGCAGTAATTAGTCTTTTGATTATTATGGATGCTAATTCATTGCGGTATCTACGATTACTCTGCCATTTGCGAACCAATGATCCCGAGCAGGTCTCCAGGATAGTATTCTAGTCCCATCCCAAGCTGATCCCCCATCATCCAACCGTAGCTCAGATCCCAATCCTGTTGCTGTGCTGGTCGCGAGTCTTGAGGCACTTCCAACGTCCTGTTGCTAGCAGTTTGCGGCATGAGTACCTCATTCGCCGACTCTCCTGACTTAAGCTTGTCGAGCATGGTACTAAGACCCTGCCCAATATAATGCGCTACATGCCTCGCATAGGCCTGTGTCGCATTCAGCATAGAGATGATGGGGCCGACAAGGTTGACTACATCGTCTACCGAGAGGTGTACGACAACAGCCCTCCATGACGAACATACTTTGATCAGAAAGATGGACGAGTACGCGATCGTGGTGAGGAGATATAAAGGGACTCCCACCACGGCGCGACGCATGTCAGAGTCTTCGAGGATTAAACGCAGTGCTGCACATGCGCTCTCTACGGCGGTGTTGATAAAGTCTTGTCTCTCAAGAGATATGAGAAAACCGTCGGTTGGTTGGAGACCCTGTAGACAGACGGAGAACAGAAGAAGTCGGGCGAAGTGGTAGTGTAGCACTACTCCTTTCTTTGGGTAATCGCCGATCTGCTGATCGCAACCTGTAGCATCACATCAGTTACTGATACACTTTTGAGAAATGCAGCCATATGAGACAACATACCTAGCTCTCCAAGTCGTGCCTCCCAAGTCTGCTTCCACTGCCCCAACTCGCCATTGTAACGCCGTATCGCATCAAACTCATCATTCGCAACAACCCGTGATCTATCCAGTCCAAACGTCCTATAAGTTCGACTCAGGATGATGAATATACTGACCTGACTATGAAGCCGCACATCAGAACCCTTTGCCCCCGGAAGACCAAGGAATCCCTCATGGTTGATCAAAGTCACATCCTCAGCTATAACAGGCGGTCTCCCGTACGCAATACTAAAGTGATGATCGCAAACATAAAGAAGATACCACAGCCTTGCTTTCTCACAATGCGAAGTCTCCCCACGCAGAGCCCTAGCACAATGTTGGTGGATATTAAGTTCTGTGGCGATACGCACAGCGAGCCCGGAGAGCTTCCAGCTTAGGTCTGAAAGCCAGAATGCACCTATGCAGAGACCGCGGATGTCGTCGAGAGTGTGATATCGTTGGAACATGGCTTGGCTGGCGAGTTCGGCGAACACGACGTAGCAGCGGTCGAAGCTCTGACCATCGTCTTGGGTGTGCAGGGCGGCTACGGCTAAGATGCCTGCGACGAGGAGTGACGATGATTCCCTGGCTGATGAAAGGGTATCGTGGACGAGAGCGACACCGCCCCAGAGATAAGCGTTAAGGGTGCCCTTGAACGCAGAAAAGAGATCTTCTGCCTCAGCAAGAGTAATCCGTCCTTGTGAGATAAAGTCTGGTTGGCGGTGGCGATCCATGGCTGCTCTACCGTCGCGACTGGGATCACTTCTGATATTGCGTAGCTTCGTCGCTCTAAAGAGACTCACCATAGGAGCATCAACAATGGCGCCTTCGTCTCTAGAGACACTCTGGGTATCAGGTGAGTTCTCCCGAGTCATTGCGGTCAAATGAGGCGTCGGAGCTGAGAGACGAGAGACGGTCTCTGGGGAAGTGGTCGCGAGGGCCATTTGCTGCTGAGTCGATTGCAGGTTGTCGAGCTTCGCCTTCATGTCTATCATAGAGGCACGCATGGACTCCATCTGTTGTTCCATGGTCTTTTTCCAGTCATATTCCCCTTCTAGGAGATCTTGTAAATTCTTGTTCACGACGCAATCGAAGCCATTCTTGGTGCAGCGTATGCACTTTGGGGCCCCATCCTCTGTGACGCAGCGAATCTTGCGCGTATGACATTGCTGGCCTATTGGGTCTCAGTTAGGCTCACTATCCTATGACAGTGGAAGTCACTTACAGGCTCGTATCTTTCTGGACACTTTGGATCCACGAATGGCAGAGCCGGAAGCGTCCCCCGGCCCGTACTCGTCCACTTCTAGGGCATTGTGGGTTCTCTTCATAGTAGCTGTATTCTCCACGGGGAATTGTGAGTGTCTGGGGCGGCTGACGATCCGGGGGAGAAGATAGCTCGGTATGAAGACCGCGGTGCTGGGGCAGTATGTATATCACAGGGCGAGGTGGGGTCGAAGGCGGCTGGATGACCGCGATGGATCTCGGAATGGACCAATGAGTGGTAAGAGGGGGTGCGGACTTCGCGCCGCTTTCGCCGTCCGGAGAGACTGTCTCTAACCGTGTTGGGACAGAATTGCCTGCCCAGTGGATACGCGGTTGTAAGTTACCAGTCAAGGGTATTTACGTACGGCAAATGCAGGACTTGAATATGCTGAGAGGGAGGGCAATTATTGGGAATGGACGCCGAGGTAGCTCGATGATTTATAAGGCCGTTGCCGTTGCTCATATTGTTGTGAGTCGAGGCATCGTCTATCCACATCACAGCCATCAACCATGTCATCTCATTCTTCCATTGGGTTCATCGGGTTTAGCCCAGAAAAAGCCAAAATTGCATCGGCTTTACAATTACACCTCTCCGGTACAACCAGAGTATACGACACCTCATCAGATAGTGCTGAGCTCTATGAAGCTGGGCAAGTACAACGATCAGACTCAGTCCATCATGTTGCCCAGCACAGCCAGATTATCTGGATTGAGGAGAAGGACGCTGAAGCTTTGAGTGAGATGCTTCTGGGATCGTGTTCTGGTCTTATACACTGTACGTAAAGACAAGATTGCATACAAAGTGCATCTCGCTGACAAACTTCAAGCATTGCCCAAGGATGCATCCCTCATACTTGAATGCCTGACTCAACCAGACTACTACCAAGACCTAGCCTCTCGCCTTGCCAAAGCTGGTCGACCTGACATCAAAATCCTTGACTGCTCTGTTATCGCACCGAGCAGTAGGACCAAGAGTTCCATCTGGATCTCAGGTTCAAAAGCATCCCTCAAAAGCGTATCTTTCCTGTCAGAGGCCCATGATAACGTGCATGTCATTTCCGGTGGCCTTGGAGCAGCGAATAAGCTACGCTTGACAAGCTGTTTATTAGAGGCGACACATACTGTCACTGCTGCCGAGGCTACTGGTCTTGCGTCGAAAGCAGGCATTGACGCGAATGAGATATACAGTATCATCATCAATGCTGCAGGGAATTCCTCTGCATACGAGGAGCTTGTCCCTCATATGCTGCAGGGAGATTCGCAGTTGAAGCCGTCGATTGAGTCGCTGTTGCATAAATTTGTAAGTTGTTCCAATGACAGCCGTGGTGACAGAGGCACTGTTACTTGCTCTAATGGGATGTGGCGCTCGCTTACACAGATCTAGAACATTGTCACATCTTCATCCAAAAGTCTCAACTTCCCTTTACCACTGTGCTCTGCCAGTGAGCAAGTCTGCCTGCTCGCCTCCGCCCAAGGATATGCCCTCCAACATGTCTCCAGCCTAGTCAAGCTGTTCAAACCGCAGAACGAGAAGCCTACGTCCATTGACTCTACTGGGAACTATTCCAACAAAACCTCCATCAACGTTACTCCACCAAAGACACCACCATCAGCGGCAACGATTGGTATGGTTGGCCTTGGAGCAATGGGCCAAGGCATGGCACAGTCCCTCGTACGAGCCGGCTTCTCTGTGCAAGGCTACGACGTTTGGGCCCCCTCAGTCGAGAAGTTCGCAGCCAGTGGCCCGAGTGGTATGTCCATCGCTGCCACTTCACCAGCTGATGCCGCGAAAGGTACAGCTGCGCTGATACTCATGGTTCAGAACGCTGTGCAAGCGTGGGATGTGCTGTTTGGCGCTGGCAAGGCTGCCAAGGAGCTGTCTGATGGCGCGACGGTTATACTCAGCTCAACTGTTCCACCATCTGAGGCTCGTCGCATTGGTGATAAGTTGGAGTCCTTGGATAGAGGTCTTAGCCTTGTGGATGCACCTGTCAGTGGAGGTGTTGCTCGTGCAGCAAAGGGTGATCTCACGGTACGCAGCGCCCATCTTCGAGTCAATACTGAGCAACAATACTAACTGAGTACAGATGATCTGCTCAGGAACAGTTTCAGCACTCTCATCCGTCCGCGGGATCATCCTCGCCATGGCCGGCAAAGACTCCAACATCTATAACGTCAAAGGCGGAGTCGGCGCAGCATCTTCAGCCAAACTCATCAACCAGCTTTTAGCAGGCGTCCACATTGCAACGGCAGCTGAAGCACTATCATTCGCATCCCGTCTTGGTCTCGACACGCGACAAGTATACGACATCTTCAATGACTCTCCCGCCTGGAGCTGGATGTTTCAGAACAGGGCTACGCAGATGCTTGATGCCGATTGGACTCCCCACTCGGCTTTAGCAATCTTTGTCAAGGATCTTGGTATTGTTTTGAATGAAGCGAAGAGGCTGGCTAGTTATACGCCCATGTCGGCGGTGGCTCATACCCTTTATATCGATGGAGCTGCTCGTGGGTGGGCTAGAGAGTCGGATGCGGGCGTGGTAAGGCTCTGGGAGGTTGCTGGGTCAGACGTTAGTAAGAGTGCGTCTGCCAAGGTATCACCGCCTGCTGCTGCCTGCGAAGACTGCGTCAAGCCATTGGCTGCAAAATCCACATTTGCTGCTTTTCCAGCCGAATGCACCGCCGATCTGATTGAGTCAACAAAAGCTCGCGTTGACAGCGGTGCCATGCCTGTTCTGATCGCTCTCGACGATGACCCCACGGGAACCCAGACCTGTAACAACATCGACGTCCTAGCCGTCTGGGATGTCGACACTCTCAAAGAGCAATTCGCAACAGATTGCCGCGGCTTCTTTATCCTGACAAACAGCAGAGCTCTCCCACCTACCGAAGCAAAGGAGCTCATTATCGAGATCACGACAAACGTGAAAAAGGCCGCCGAGGAAAGTGGCAAGGCCTTCGAGATAGTTTTGCGCGGCGACTCAACGCTGCGCGGACATTTACCCGAGGAACCTGAGGCAGTTGAGCAGGTCCTCGGTAAATCCGACGGTTGGGTCTTTGCACCTTTCTTCCGTCAGGGAGGCAGGTTCACTATTGACGATGTACATTACGTGCAAGAAGATGACACGCTCATCCCTGCGGCGCAGACTTCCTTTGCAAAGGATGCTACATTTGGTTATAAAAGCTCCGACCTTCGGGAGTATATCCTCGAGAAATGCGGATCGCGATTCACAGCATCATCCTTTACGTCCATCACCCTTGAGGATCTACGCTGCGGCGGGCCTGCCAAGGTTGAAGAGAAGCTTTTGAGCGGAGAGCGCGGTGCTGACCGTGTCATTATTGTCAACGCTGTTGCGGACTCGGACATGAACGTCTTTGTCGCTGGCCTTTTGGCTGCTGAGGAACAAGGGTACCGCTTCATCTACCGCACTGCTGCTGCCTTTGTATCGTCGAGGCTTGGAATCAAAGAAATTCCACCCAAGACTTGGGCTGAGGTGTCGCTAAAGGCTGATGTCAACGCCCCAAGGACTGGTGGTCTCATTCTGGCGGGGTCGTACGTACCCAAAACAACAGCGCAGCTCAAGGCGTTACGTGAGCGCAGGGGTGCCGATCTTGAAGTCATTGAGCTAGATGTAGCTCAGCTCATTGAGTCTGCTGAACAGGAGCAAGGGATGGTGGACCACGCTATCTCCGAGACTACCAGACTTATCGGCGCTGGCAAAGACGTCTTGGTCATGACTTCACGGACATTGATCAAGACCGATGAAGCAATCTCATCGCTGAAGATCGGCTCCAAGGTGGCTGCTGCACTTGTCCGTCTCCTCGTCAACATCCAGGTGCGGCCACGCTATATTATCGCCAAGGGAGGAATTACGTCCTCAGATGCAGCCACCAAGGGTCTCAAGATGAGGAGAGCTTTGATAGTGGGCCAGGCTGCTCCGGGCGTGCCTCTATGGAGGTGTGATGAGGAGACTAGTCGCCATCGGTCTGTGCCGTTTGTTGTATTTCCTGGAAATGTTGGTAGTGAGACAACTCTGGCTGAAATTGTTGAGCAATGGGCACTTTGAGGGATGCATGGGTTGACATAGGCCAGGAACAGAGGAACAGAGCAACATAATGTTGTTACTGGGTAAGAGTACTTGCTAAGTAAGGGGAATTCATAGTTTGCATGGCTGAGTGAAGCAATAGCAACAAACGAAGCACAAAGATTTATTACTCCTAATGATTCTTCCATCAGTCCCAAGACTCTCCATTGCAAATATGCTGCACGATTATTCAGAACCTCTGACTAAGGCTTTGATTCCAACTGTCAAGATATGTTCGTCAATTACAACAAGCAGATCGATCTTCTCATAAGCAAAATTGAAATTCCAGTCTAGTAAATATTCCCCCGAACATCAATTTGATCCCTACCATTCATCACATCTCAAATAAGCAGTATCCAGTCCATCCTCCAGATCTTGATCCAAACTATCCCTGCCACTTAACACGCTTATCCCTAAATAAAGTAACCATAGCAATAGGCAACAACTCCGTGTTCACAATATTCAACCTCCCAAACCTCTCAACAATCTCATGCCCATAGAACGTAGCAACCCAGGTCCAATACGCATCCATGTTATTCCACCACCCCGTAATACCCTGCAAGTTCGACTCCCCACGTGACTGCTCCATCGCAGCTGATATCTTTCCATCATCGGTCTCAACCTTGCTCTCGGTAGGTCTCTTCATGAGCGTGCGGAAGATGCGGTGCAGTCTGTTGGTAGCTGTGAAGTGCTCGAAGAAGAAAGCCTCGCGGTAGCGGATGAATTCCTCAAAGGGCATGAAGGTTTCTTTGTCGTGCTCGGTTGCTGGTTCCCAGTCTGGTTCGTCGAGGGCGTATCGTTCATGGCGAGTTTTGCCGTTCAGGAACTTTTGCTTGTAACCTTCGTATGCGTGACGCTCATCTTCTTGGAAGTCAAGCATAGGCTGAGATGGGTTCTTGAACACCTCGTCATGAATTTGCATAAGAGAAATAAACGGGGACTGTAGGTCAAGACCGCCAAGTTCCATGGGGAAGTAGAGGTAGCCATCGGGAATATTGTTGATACCGAATCTCTGACTGATTTCCTGCTTCAAGAACTCAACCACGTTCGTAACTTGACCATCCGAGAGTTTTGTGAAGACCTGCTCCTCAATCTTCTTGTGGGTTGAAAGCATGTTGTTTACATGTTCACGACCAAAGCAATTGGCTGCTTTACCAAAGTTGGAGGTAAAGAAGGTCGCAGCATATGTGTTCCAGGCTTGGATGAACCCAAGAATGCTCTTGCGCTTGTCAAGTAACTGTTTGTGAAGTTCGTTGATATGAGAGTCGACCATTTTCTGATCAATCTCGAACCGGCCCGTCTTGGGTGACAAGCGAAGGAAACCCCAACGGATTTCCCCTTCTGGCAGTGAATCATCGATGGGAAGGGTCACGTTACTATCCTTGGAGATGCGGACAGTTCCTGTCTTGGTAGGGTTGACACTAACACCGGTGACGATGGTGAACTCATCAACAGTGTCCCAGGCCTTCACAGCGACCTTGTGATCAGGCGACCAGAACCAAAAGTTGTCATGCATTCTCCACAAGTTGTTGGAGGTAGCCTGGTTGACAGCAAAGTCAAGGCAAAACAGTGTCGTCTCGCCAAAGACATCGCTCAAAACATGAGCTGCTGGAGTACCACGACGTCTCTTGCGCGCAGACGAGTCGTCATCGTCGACAAACTTTAGAGGTGCCTCAAGGAACTTCTTGAAGAACCCAAGCCACGTATCCGAGACACCAAGGAACTTGAGGATCGTAAAGACAGTGTCATGAGGAAGCTTCGGGTTCCAGTCGTCAAAAACGGAATGGAATGCCGTCATCTCGCCATAAAGATGAGTGTTGATGGTGATCTCTGTAGACAGCAGATGAAGCAAGGTCTGCTTGAGTGCCATTGGGCTGCGGGACTTGTCGTCTTCGTCATCATCGTCGTCGTCTTCTTCCTCCTCATCAGAGTAATCAACCTCAGCAGCAAAGTTGCTGGTATTCATGACCCTGCGATGTCTCATCGCACCACCCTGTCCCACACCTCCGGTCGATCGTGCCTTTCGGCATTTTTTGCTAGCAAGCGGTCTACGAGGCGCCTGCAAAGCCTGAACTACAACTTTACGTTTCTTGGTGTCAGCAGCGAAACGCTCGTACTCAGCTTCTTCTTCACCATCGGCAGTGCCTGTGATTTCGCCCACATGGTCCATAAGTTGTGCCATGAAATATCTCTGTTCATTGACCTTGACACGTTCACGCTGTAGGCACGGCGAGTCTGAAAGTGGGCCAAGGTAGTAGCCAAGTCGTCGCCGGTCGTCTCGAGGGATCTCTTGCCTCTCCGATTTCCAGGCCGCAGAATCACGGAATCTTTTGAAGGCTGTCTTGAAGAAAACACTCCATTTAACACCAATATACTGGAGGAAGATGGCTTGGAGTAAGTCCTCATGCATATGGATGTTGAAGACGCCACTGATCTTCTTCTCCATCGAGACGGGGACAGGAGTCTCAGAGTTCCACGTCCATGATTCGAGTGCATTGATGCGCATGTTGAGGACGTCTGCGATCTCTTTCAAGATCATATCATTGCTTTCAAAGTCCTTGAGCACTTCTCGTTTCTCATTGGAGAGGAGATCTGACGAGTGAAGGCCGGGAATGATCCACTTGAGGGAGCCCACGGTGAACTGATTAGGCGTTGAGATGGATGCTTCATGGTCAGAGACGCATCGCCGAAGGACCTTGAGACTATTAACCATGGCCTTCTTGTCCTGGTTGTTACAGCCGAAAAGATGTTCGAGGTAACTGTTGAGGGCCTTGGTATCAATGTCGGCGGCTTGGAAGACAGTGTCTTCCCAGTCCATCCTGGACTGAAGTTTTGCCTGGTCGCCGACGTCCTCGAACGCCTCGCCCATCTCGACGTCTGCCTCTGGATCCTTGTCCTTATCGCCGGACAGCCATTCGGTGACGAGCTCGCCATAGAGCCAAGCATACTGATACTGCAGGGCTTGCATGTTGAGCTGTCGAGTGAGTGACTCCTCCCAGGCAGCCAGCATCTTCTGCGACACGGAAGGATCAGTCTTGGCCTGACCGAGGAAGCGGTCGAGGTTCTTGAGGTCGATCTCAAGGCGCTTGTGACTGCTGAAACCTAACATGACTTTGTTCTCCTTGGTAAGCTTGATAGAGAAGCACTTCTTGACACCATCGCTCAAGATGACAAGACGCTTGACGGCATCCTTCTCTGCTTCGACGGAAGAAAGAATCGCCGCCTTGGCTTCTTCAAAGCGAGAGCGTCTCTTGGACAGCTCCTGGAGTTTGGTGTTGGTGATCTCTTGAAGAGTCTCAGAGAAGACACTACCAGAGGAAGCCATGGTGTAAGTGGGCTGAGGCTTAGGGGTAGTAGCTTTCTGTATTTGTGTTGAACGTCTTTCTGTTTGCTTGATTCTGGCCATTAGTGATGAAGGACCAGGTTTGGAGGATAACGTGATGATGGAATGGATGAAAAGAAAGGAGGGGAAGGAGTCGAAGGAGGAGGGCAGTGTGTGGTATATATACCAGCTAGGAGGAGGATTTGGTGTCCTCAGGCCACAAGTTGCAGGGAACTGTGCCGTCTCGGCCATGTAAGCCAATAGCTTTGGTGGATGATCTGATGTCAATAAGAGCTTATACGATACAGAACAGAACAAAAAAGTAAGATTTGTCGTACTAGCTAAATCAATAATTGTGTATTTCGCTGTCGCACTTAGATCGCTGACAGTAGCATGAGTTGTAAGTTGTTGATGAGATGAAGTGAGGTCAAAGATGAAGTGAAGCCAAGGATGAAGCTAAGATGTGCTGACTGTCCCTATTGACAGAAATGATTCGTCAGATTTTAGAGTATAGTGGGTCACCCTTAGGCTGCAGCCTCTCGTGTTTCATCATTTTCAACTCCATACCTTGAACCCTCGCACAAGTCATTGACTGATGGAAAAAGTATTAGCAAAGATCTCGCCATGAGCTGTATCAAACAATACCTACGCCTATGTCTTTAAGATGGTGACTAACAAAAGATCTTATCTTCTTCTCCACTGTCCCAACCGACCTGTAGTAAGGGCCAGAACAAGACTGTGAAGCACAATATTGTGCATAGGCTTTGCAACCGCCTTTTTCAATCAATCCATCGATCTATTGTTTTGTCCCTCGCATGTCCGTACACCCCAATTCTCTCGCAGTCCATATAGAAAAGCAACTGCCCTTCATTCGATCATCTCTAGCTTGTCCATAAGTTCTTCAAATGCCATCCTGCGGCTCTCCTCGTCATCCCTTCTTACTTCATACACCCTAGCACAGACTTCTTGTTTCTTCTCTTCCTCGATCCATAGAGTTACCCCCAGGTCTTTCAAAGCCTCGGGGTCAGGATTCCTTGTAGACGCCAAAGTCTGCTCAAATTGCCCCATCATGGAGGGCAAAATGTGATCCCAGAATTCCAAAGCACGTTGGTGATGTTTCCTAGTCTTACGAAAGAGATACATGTCGTCATTTTTTCCTTCGCTCTCTGTTGCGTCGGCATCCTCAAGCATGAATCGTTTGAACTCGACAATCACGCTATCGATAAAGGCTGCTTTGTCACCATCATCTGTCGCGGTATAGACACGATCGTCTAGCGCCTCATCTGGAAAATCTGACCTGGTGGAACATGTGTGTAACATATCGAGATCGGCGAAGACCGCTTGCCTCAAAACAGCCGTATGTTGATACGTGGTCAACATTCCTCCAAAGTCTTCCACGAATGATCGCAGCTCGTCAGTATCTGATGAATAGCTTTCCAAAAGGCACCGTATCGCATAAGCAAAAGGCGTATAACCTTCAGGCGAACACTGACAAGTGCAGCTATCTGTGTATTCAATGGCCAAAGGGTCCTTGGTGAGGTATCCCTTCAAATTCTTCCTGTTGTTGATGATGATCTCGGCTAGAATATAACTAGAACGCTCTGATCTGTCGTTTTCGCAAATTACAGTCCAGAAGTTTGGGCAGTGGTTATATAGCCACATCACATACTGCGACGATGTACAGTCCAAGACCTGCCATACGTCTGGACCGAACGCACTAAATGCCTGCTTGCTTAGTGATGGATGTGTCCAGGCGTCGTCAATATCGGTGAATCCCGTATGCCGAAAAATAGATGCATCTTCAGGGCGCGTGATATCAAGCCATATGGGTCTGAAGATGGGCTTTTCACCACCCTTGCAGCCTACTTGTGCTGGCAGAATTCTTTGCAAGGTTGTCGGTTTGGCATTAGCTTGTCTCTGTAAAGATTCTTCAGGCCTGATAGATCGGATGTCGGATTGCGTTGGTGACGAATGCCTGATTTCTGAGAGCAGCCATGTTCTTGGAGCGGACTCTTCGAATTCTTGCTGACACATTTTCACCTGTCTTGCAATCAAAAGCTTGCAATGTGTGGAAGCACTGATGAACAAATTAAGCGATTGAGCCATGCCAAAAATATTGCGCTTAGAAAAGTCATAGTATGGTCTGATAGGGTATTTCGCTTCCAACAGGATCCTCACTGCCTCGGTGCAGGGGCAAACAGACCCGTCGGTAGTTCCACGACTGTTGCAGATGCTTTTGCTTCTCCGAATCGACCTACCCAGAGGACTGATCATGCCTGATGCTATTCGGCATGGCTGAACAAGTTGTTCTGGGGTTGCTCGTTTGACCAACAGTCGTAAAATTTCCGGCTTCTCGATGGCCACATAACAAGGAGTCTCACCATAGAAGCTGACTTCTCCCATACATTCTGGACTCCTATTGATTAGATCTTCAACTTCTCTGACGTTGTTCCGTAGAATCGCAAGGGTCAGTGGCCCAAACAATGCTATTTGGGTTTATCTTTAGCACATATCATGTATCATTTATTTTCACACCGTACCTTCGGCAATCCTTTGACTCACACCATCGTACGTAGCGATGTCTATGCGGCCAAAACTACCGAACCTCAGTTCTGGAGGCCTGGGAGCTGGTATCTCCGCATCGTCTACACACAACTGGGCAAGAATAGAGGATGGAAGCACAAATTCGTCGGCGGCTATGTGTAGGGCGAGACTATAGTTTTTGTCAATACTACGGTCGTGATAGCAAAAAGCTGACATACCGACCGTCTGACCCAACGGCCGACACTGGGGTACCTGCTGCGATAAGAAAGTCGAACAAGGACTTCAAACTCGGATGTGCACGCTGCTGCTGGGTTAAGATTCGGAAGTTACCGGAGTGCATCTATTCATGTTAGTTCCTACGCAATGCCACAGGCTGAGAACTAACAGTCAAGGTCAAGTGATGAAGTAAGGAATAGCCTTTCGAGTTAATATCCGTTGGCCTAGCCCTCCCGGAGCGGAAGATTGATCGAAGTTTTCGGGTAATTGACTCGAACAAGAGCCCCGGATAACTTTCCATTGCCCATCGGGCTCCAAGGCGGCTTTCAACCAGCAAGCTGATGACTCTAAAAGCTGGAGAGCTACCTTCATCAACCATAGCAAAGTAATTGATAGAGGGGCTGATGCTGAAACCACCTGCTCCAGTAGTCGTGCGCAATGTCAACTCAACAGCTCTCCCTATCAATCCAGTGAGTCCTGTAAATCTCAAGGTTCTTTCTCGCCAATAATCATGGGCTTCGACGTAGAAATCACAGTTTCTGAAGTGATTTTGGTGGGAAACAATTTCATCTTTGAAAGACAGCGATCCCATTCGGCACGTTCTTTGTGTACGTAGCCGCCTTGCCCTACAAGAACAGGCGGAGGCAGTGGAAGCTAGCTCGTATAATGCGCTTGGCCGAGAGGCAAGTCTGTAAACAGCTTGTGCAGGCTTTTGATCATCTATACTGAGTCTGGACAGGAGCTCAGCAGTTTGAACATGGAGTTGTGACGCTGCAGACTCCGCTTGTTGGAAAGATGCTCGGATCTCATCCATCTGCGCCTTGAAATGTGATTTGATTATCAAGTCAATCTGAAGAGCCACGGAATCGATAGAACTCTGGACGAAGGCGAGCTGTGGTTGAATGGTAGAAATAGGACCAGTGAGGTGGGATATTGTAGCAGCCAACGTTGAGACCTCAAGCTCTGTTCTCTGAACGCTGGCAGCGTTTAGAGCCATAGCACTAGAAGCTACAGCTTGCAGCTCTCTGGTCAACTGTTAGTGTAAGTCTTGAAGACTTTGGTAGTCACGTACAAGTGCAAGCCTTTGACAGCCAGGTTGAGTGGAGTGCAAAGACTATCCAAAGCATTTTCCAATTGTGTTAGTTGAGCCTGCCGTAGAGGATATGAAAGTTTTCGATAGGTGCCCTTCATTTTGTCTTTGACTGTAGGTTTGGGCGGGCTGGATGCGCCAAGCTTGTCTCCAAATTCCTTAAGGTCCTTCAAACAGTCTTCACAATTAGCCAAGCATCGGATAGCATAAGTCGCAGCCTTCGAGGTGGAGAGATCCAGTTGATCACTGTTCAAAAACCCGTCTAGTAAGCGGAAACTGGCCTCTAGAGACTCCAGTAGGCGTTTCAGTCGAGCAAGAGCACTATTGTGATCTTTGAGCCCGCCCAGGTAGCTCACAAGACTAGCACATGTCTTGAGACCGAGAGGGATGATTGCTAGAGCTAACTCGGCCATGGTGCTCTCTCAAGGGCGTGTTTTGGTGGAGGGCAATATGGGATGGGAGAGATAAGAAAGGCGACGGCAACATGCTGGGCTAAATGCAGGAGTGAGAACAGGCCACCAATGATATCCCACTGCGTCCAGCACCTGCTGCAGAACATTCACAATCACGAACGTCGTCAGAGGCTGAAAATCGCTGTTCTATTGGCTACTTAGTTCCTGCGGCTGAGACAAGGCAGAACAGCGCGATAATGAAGTGCCTTGGCTGCAATTATCGCTACAGCCGATTGTTACTTTGATTTAATCGCGCACCAGGTGCATGGACTCTCAGGTCCTCAGAAACATCAATTATCATTCTGTTGGCCATGGCTGACGCAATGCGTTTCTTTCTGCACTGCACACACAACCAACATGTTGTTGGCCCTCGAGTGGCTCCACGCCGAAGCACAGGTCATGTTTCAAGTAAAATAGCGCTCGAATCACTTATTTCAGGCCACCGACCACTGAACCAAACCTCCACTGCCCTTCCCTCGCTCTTCTCAATTTCATTGTCAACGTGAATCATCACGATGAGAATTTCTGAGGGTTCTCCATATCCTCCAAGCGAATCTGACATTTCCGACATCGTACGCGATGTCGAGAAAGAAGATGCCATCGAAAAACTCTCACTTCTCCCCAATCCTCCCCTTCGAGTTCGATGCATAACGCCATCTGGCTTTCGAGATGTCGCAGAAGAGCCTGGACTACCGAAGCCGACTTTTCAACATTGCGCGTACTATAAGCTACCACCGGATATCAGACGATACATTCTGATACTGGCTTTCGGCAATCGTCGTCTCCATATGGACTTCTCTTATGACTATCCCGACATGACTTCAGACCTCATTCAGCCGTTGGATAAGAACCATTGTGGTATCGTCATGGAGAACATGTATGGAGACAAGCTACGAGTCGTCGATGATACGAAGCCAAGATCATGGATTTGGTGGGGATCCGTTTGCCATCGACTCCCTCCAGACCTCAATATATCGCAAACAGGTCCAATGACCCATGGAGGTCCTGATGGTCCTTGGGCTGATACCTGTCGTGTCGGTGAAGCTCGTCACTGCGACTCATGGCCAGGTTCATTGCCTGCAAAATGTCGCATCGGTGTGATGGGATGGCTCCAATCTTGTCGCCAAAAGTAAGTCCTTGAAAGTCTTTCTGCAGCCAAAACCATCGCGATTAACAATACCGCAGCTATGCCGAAGCTATCGACATACTTTACTCTAAGAACACAATCATCATGGCCAACGAAGCAATGATAACGCATCTTCCTCAACTCCTGTTACCGCAGCGCCTCGCATCCATTACCTCAATTGAAATCAGCTGGAACTTGAAGTCTCAATACGAAAGCGGGTTTTCGAATGCCATTGATGAGGCCGATTTGAAGCACATATGTGCATTACTATCCTCCCATTTCCCGCAGCTACGTCGCCTTTATTTGTCTCTCGAGCGTTCAAGGCGTCGTGGATCAGGCTGGGGCTCTGACGGTTGGCCAACTATCAGCCTTCATCTGGACAACCTTGTCCGAATGATGCCGTCTCTGACAGAACATGCCATTTCGCTGCCTGATGTACCATTCGATTCTATCTTGTACGACGCAAAAGAAATTGATTTCGGATCGTATTCAGAAATATGCAATTCTTATAATCAGATCTGGCGATCTACTGACGGCGAAATGGATGTCATCCGCCTTCCACATGTCGATAGTTATCCCAGAGCACCGTATCATATAGACACCTCGACCTCCAAGGGCAACGGTTACTGGATACTCAATGGAAGCAACTGGCCAGAGAAAGAGAAGCTCATCATCGTTCCTCCAATAATGGGACTCATGGAAGAATTTATGGGCCTCGGACCTCATGATTTCGATGACTTTGAGTTTGCTTACCCTTTGGAAGACATGTGATGGTCCAGATTGCGCTCTGAAATGCATTGGAACAGGGATAGAGCGACTTCAAGTGTGAAATTCGTTACAATATACATGCGCAATGCCAACACTCATCCTCGTCAGAAAGTTCAGGCAGCAAAATAAAACAGGCACCAGAAAAAGCGACAATCCTCTAGGCAGCCGACTGGGACCTTGTATAAAGGACGCTGAAACCACTTTGACAGACCATTAAATTTCCCTAATGTCGGCCTTGTACTCTACACAATGACCGTAACCGAAGTTGGCTGCATGGGCGTCAAGCCCAACATGAACATCATGGACCATACCACCCCAGAGGGGAAGATACTGACCGACGCTTGGAAGACTGTCATCAGCAAGCCTGGCGGTCCTCAAAGAGTTTACTGGGGCTTGGAGTCAGTTGATATATCGAAGGTCTGGGGCTTTTTCGACTTTGGGTCGGTTGAGCAACATCGTCAATTTGCTGAGGAGTAAGTTCTGCACATTAATCTAGAGTAAAGGAACTAACTAGTTTAGATATGGCGCAGATGCAGTCAAAGATATTCCCAAGATCTGCACGTATGGAGAGTTCTCAAAACATATCAAAATGGTTCCGTCCTCCGATGTTCTTGGGTCTCCTCTCACAGAGGTTATACTGGCATACTTCCCCCAAGACATCTCAGACGAGAAGAAAGAAAGTCTCTCGTCCAAGATTCAGGAGATTCTCAGACAGGCCTTTCCTGATGATTTTCAAGTAGCTCACGCCTGGGGCGTGGAGAATGATTTTCCAGCAAGAAGTGAAGAAGGACAGACAAGATCAGTTCTTATGGGTTTTGTTGGATTTTCCCATTCTGAGACTTTGGGAGATCATCAGAAGACAGATAGTTGGAAAGAGGCACTATCGAATATTGAAGGGCTGGAGGGCTGTACTAGTATTTATAGCTTTGCGATCAGCTGCCAGCATCTGGAAAGGGTCTGAGATGTACAGACTTACAAGTATGAGACAGGAACTTACATATATAGTCAATTTTGTCCAGAATAGGTATCTATCAGTTGCTATAAATCCAGAGTGTTCACTTGCCATCCTTTCGGCAAATAATATATCTTCCACAAATCCACAATTCGGAGTTTTGGTCATATTCTCTTTATATCTGATAATTAAGCTGAGATTCACAACTCCATCGGATCCAACCGTGGTTTGCTTTCAGACTGCAGAAATGTCCACTTCTGTCCGTCTTATCTCCATCCCCATCCTCCATCAACAACGGATCCAAAATCCACAACCCCTGAAACCTATACCCAAAACGGTATGACTTAGCGAAAACACCTCCCAAATCTTTCATCACCACCGTCAGAACCCAGCCAAGTCTTCACATGCACCACGGTATGGCTGATAAAGCCACCAGTCCAAGTGGTGTTCTCGAACAAGAACACAATGCTCCTAGCGGACCCCTATCGTTACATCGCAAAGAACTTGATCGTCTCGATCCGAATCGCCCGGCATGTTTCCAAAATCTCCCATCAGAGCTAGGCTTCATCTTTGCAGTCGTGGGTTCGATAGCTATTAGCGAGTACTTTGTTTCTGGTTTCAATATCATTTTACCCTCGTTGACAGATGCATCGAATGAGGGTAGGACGTGGCCTGCTGCTGTCATCAATCTCACCACCGCTATTTTGATCCTTCCTTTCGCCAGACTCGCTGAGATTCACAGCGCAAGGCTCATCTTCCTTTGCGGCCATGCTTGGTTGATTTTCTGGTCCATCATTGCTGCTTTCAGTCAGGATTCTACGATGCTCATAGCCTGTCGAGCAATGCAGTGTTTGGGTCCCTCGGCTTTCTTGTCGTCTAGTGTCGTTATCATGTCGCGCATTTATCGCCCTGGTCTACGAAACACTCTTACTTTCAGCATTCTTGGCGCCTCTTTCTGTATCGGTTTCTACTCTGGTATCTTCTTTAGCGCGTTGTCTGCCCAGGTCCTTGGCTGGAAATGGTATTTCTTCTTTGGTGCATTCTTTGGTGTGGGTGTCTTCATCGCTGGCTTCTTGACTATTCCAAAGAGCCATGGAAACTCGCGGTCTGACTTTGAGATGGACTGGCTGGGTACGGGTACTGTTGTACCGGGTCTTGCGTTGATGGTTTATGCATTGACTAACGGACGAAACGGGCCTCGGGCTAATTTAGCCTTGACCTTGGGTATCATTTGTCTTGCGCTGTTTGTTTACGTTGAGGGATGGAGGGCCAGTCAACCTCTTGTGTCAGCAGAGGTTTTCAAGACGAATTACATGAGCCGATTGGTCGTTGCACTCTTCGTGTCCTGTGGATCGTTCAGTCTGGTTCTTTTCTACGCTAGGTTCCAGTAAGTTCTCCCTGTCCACCAAACATGGTCTCAGCTAACATGTTTCGTAGCATCGAATCAGTCCTGTATACTGGACCTTTACTGACCACAGCTTGGTTCATTCCTCTCACAGCTGGAGGTTTCATTCTTGCTCTCGTCGGCGGCTTTGCTCTTCATATCCTCAACGGACGACGACTCCTGCTCATTTTATGCCTTGGTTTCCTCGGCTCCTTGATTCTATTTTCAATCATCCCTGACAGCGGGATATCAAACTCATTCCTCTACTGGACATTCGTCTTCCCCGCCATGATACTTGGAATAGCTGGTGTAGACATTACCTTTAACATCCACAACTTCATTATCGCAACATCCCTACCTGATCATCTTCAGGCAGTGGGAGGTGCGCTAATCACCAGCCTGCTCTACCTAGGTATGGCATTTTGGCTGGGTGTTGTTGAGATGGCAACATCGGTACAACAGGAGAAGCGTGCCGGCAATCTTGATGGGACAAGTCAATGTCAGATTGGATTCTGGACTGGTACTGGGCTGGCTTTAATTTTCATCACGGTGAAATTGCAGTCCGCTAAGGCTGATTTGACGGCTGATGATAAGGCATAGAGACAATGGGAGAGGGATGTTAGACAGGACCTCGAGTAATATGCCTCGGGTTTGGCTTCTGGATATTTATGACTGAATCTGGAGCTGCAAAAATTGTTTTTGGAGGATTAGAATACCCTCGAGTAATAACTATACAGATTATCGATTCTTGATTGCATTCCCCTACCTAGATAGTAAAGTCAAGGACTTTTATGTCTTGTGAGCGCAGAGCAGAGTTGGAAACTTGGACAGAATTCTCTATGCCAAAACGATCACAGACTCCAGAGGTGTATCCTTCAATACTCGCATGTTCTTCTAATCTCTCAAACTTGGGCACAATTTCGATTTCTCTATTTTAGTAACACCATGGAGGTACGAAGAATGTGTCCTCTAGCTCTGACTTCACTACTACGGACACATCTAAGCGTCTGCGGATAGCCCATTCCGTGCCTCAGCTTTACATGATTTAATTAACTCTATCCTCAGTCAAGCTCCAGACCAGTCTTCCGCAGTCTCGCATGATGTCCGTCCGTAGATAAGTCGGTCCTACCAAGGTTACATCTAAAGTTCTTTATCCTTAAGTTTAATTACAACTCTGAAACCGACGACAGGGAAGACCCAGCCGCACACGCATCCAGACCGCTCACCACCCCAAGATCACCAACCCTTCACCAAACCCCGGCTTGAAATTAATAGTAAAAAAATGTCACCGCTTCTCAAACAGTCGATCCGGCTCGTCGTCGCCCCCTCGAATTTCAACGTTGGGGTTTGCGGGGGAATTACCTTGACCGATGGGGGCGGGGTGATCTACCGCTAAGAATGGGGAAATACAGCTCCACGGGAACTCTGAGCCGCGGATAATCTACAGTCCACGAATGAGAAGCCGCCCGCTGGGAACAAGCTTATTCAGAGGGCCAGTGTAGACGACGCGTTGTTAGCGAATACAATACGTCCAATCTGGGGTTTGCTAACTTTTTTGACATGAGACGAGGGCCATTAAACTAAGTTAGCTAAGGTTTGCAGTTCAGACCCGCTTGAGATGCTGGGGGTCAGTGTATTCGGGAGTACCTCCGAAATGATCATCCACTCTCTGTATATAAAACCTCTAAACATCCTTATGTTTCCTCTCTTCCAATCCTCAAGCCATCCCATCATCTGCACCTTTCACAATGAAGGTCTCGAGCTTCTTCTCAACCCTCTCCCTCTTCGCGGGCGTTCTCGCCGAGGCCATCGACCTCCCCGCCGGTGTTCCTCGCAGCATTGAAGAGTTCCGCGCCAAGCATCCCTATGAGCTCCCCGTCAAGAGAAGTCATCGCAAGGTCTATACTATCAGACATAGTAAGAACGATCACGATGATGTGTCTTCAGAGTTCTACAAGGGCTTGAAGAAGGCGAACAAGGGAGGTACGCTGTATCTCCCCAAGGGCCAGACCTTTGTCATTGGAAAGCCCCTTGATCTTACCTTTTTGAATGATATCCATGTTCATCTTGAGGGTGAGATTAAGTTTACCAATGATACGGAGTATTGGCAGAAGAATGCTTATAAGCATCCTTTCCAGGTATGTTTGAAACTTCGTGATGAATGAGTTGAGACTAATGGTTGTAGAACTCGATCATGTTCTGGAAGTGGGGTGGCAAGAATATCAAGCTCTACGGAAAGGGTGTTCTGAACGGTAACGGTCAGCGATGGTGGAACGGTATGTCTCCTCTCAGCTTGATCAAATTCATACTAAAAATATGCAGAGTTTGCTGGCAAGGAGATTCTCGACACTACCAACGCTTATCTCCGACCCATTCTGTTCTATGCTCAGAACGCCACCAACCTGGACATCCAGGGTGTTCACTTCAAGGACTCTCCCTGCTGGACCAACTTTGTCGTCACCTGTAAGAAACTCTTCCTATGTCTTGATGGTCGCCTACTGACATCATCCAGCCAAGGACATCTCCTTCAAGGACGTCATCTGCACTGCTCGCTCCACCAACGCCACTGCTCTTCCCAAGAACACTGACTTCTTTGACTCCCTGAACGTCGAGAACCTCAATGTTGAGCGTGCTTGGGTTGACATTGGTGACGATTGCTTCTCCCCCAAGAGCAACGCCACCAACGTCCACGTAGACACCATGTACTGCAACGGTAAGCTCACTTCACTCCTTGCATCACAAACCCTTTACTAACAACACCAGGTACCCACGGCCAGTCCATCGGCTCTCTCGGCCAGTACAAGGGTGAGATGTCCTTCGTCAAGGACGTCGTCATCGAAAACGTCTGGATGCTCAACGGCCAGCACGGCGCCCGTCTCAAGACCTGGGCCGGCCCCGACATCGGCTACGGCTTCATCGACAACGTGACATTCCGCAACTTCTGGGGCGGCAACAACGAGTACACCGCCTTCATCGACTCGTGCTACTTCAACATCAACGCTACCACCTGCGCCCAGTACCCCTCTCGCATGAACATCACCAACGTTCTCTTCGACAACTTTACCGGTTACAGCTCCGGCAAGTATGGTAATGCTGTTGCTAGGTTGACTTGCTCGACTAGCAAGGATGCTGTATGTGAGAACATCAAGTTCAAGGACTTTAACATCAAGACTCCTTGTGGTGGAGACCCTGTGTTCTTGTGTGATGGTGTCAAGGATATTGGTGTGGATTGTGTTAGTGCTACGAGTGCGGCGGGTAAGGCTGCTTTGGCGAATAAGTGTGTTGCGCCTCAGGCTTCCGCGAGCCCTTTCAAGGTTAGAAAGTTCAACGGTTAAAAGATGAGCGGTTCGGGGTATTTAGTTGTACGATGAATGAGATATCAGCGGCTTTTGGCCATTGACTTTGACCATGAAATTTTTATGACCAAGTGTGACATTATCCGTGGCCAAGCTCGTAGAAAGCCAGAAATATTTCTTTACGAGAAGTAAAGGATATTGTATCTTGTGCGAGTCGATCCTTACAACGGACCTACAGTGTGACAGAACTCACAGGACACATTGCCAGACTTTTCTGTAGCACAAGATGACGGAACGTCAATCCTGTGATGCTGTGAAAGATCCAATTATTGTTTTGCATATTACCAAGCTAATAAGAAACATAGTTGTCTCAAACCATACGATACTTGACGTTTCCGAAGTTCAAAACCGACGTTCTTGAACGACAATGAAACACTGTTAGTACCCCGATTTTACAGTTGCTCAGAGAGAAGGATAAATCTAGAATACCAGGAATCCCTTCACTGTATTGAGTAGTCCTCAATCCAGTGATCTCTGTCACCATCGTTGTTCACGGCGGGACAATTGTGGATGATCCAGGGTAGGCAGGTCACCAGTTGCGTCTGATCACAATGAGGATGCTGATTGGGTTGCGATAAGAACTGCCGGCAAGTGGGGCCCCTCAACGCTCCGCTCCCCGCGTACCGAGCGTGCTTGCCCAGTGCGAAAGACTCGCTAGACTCGGTTGCTGGGCTGTCACTTTCCAATTGACGCGTGAGGACGCGTGCACCCTGTCCCCTCCTAAATTACTTGACGCGACTACCAAGTTAATCTAAGAACGACATGGCCCTCCCAATCTGAAGCCGTCCATCCACCATCCTCAACTTCATACAATCACGTACTTATTCTTTTTCGTCCAGACTTTTCTTGTTGTGTCAATTGTTACTGAATGTTTGCCTGAAGATACATACTCGTCATCGAATACTGTCCACCGTCTCTTTGACCTGATTCACGCCTGTCGAGGGCCCTGCCTAGCACATTTAATCGCTACGCACTGCTGAGGCCATTCACCATCATGACGAGTCAGCGATCAACTGCGGCCCGAACGCCCGCTAAAGCGACCAAACCTGCTGCCACTACTTCTTCAGCCAAGCAGCGTTCAATCGTTTCTTTCTTCCAAAAAGCACCGCCCTCTTCCCCCGCCGCTCCCGCATCATCTCCTCTCGCGAAAGCCTCGCCCACGACCAAGCAATCCTCGTGCTTGAAAGAAACAACGAAGGCAAATTCTTTGCCAAAGACAACTCCGCTCTCCAAGTCCAAGCCCAAGCCGACTGTCGCTATCAAGCAAACAACCCCCGTGCCCGATAGTGACGCTATTGAGCCCCTGAGCTCCCAGGAGAATCTCGATTCGACCATGAAGGTAAAGAATGCCCTGAGATGCGCGGCGACACGAGCTCACATGGACCGACAGAAGCCCTCCAACAAAATGAACCACGACGCTCTCGCCAGCAGTCCGACTCGAAAGGTGAGAAGCTCGCAATGCAAGATACTAGCCAGATCAGCCACTGATGCTCCCAAAGGTCAAAAAGGTTGTTAGTTACGCCGAGTCCTCAGAGGAAGACGAGCCCTTCCAGTTTGGCGGGCCCTCAAGCTCGCGTCGAAGGACGAGAGTACGACAGGTTGTTAGGGATGAGGACGATTACGAAGAACAAGAAGAGGAAGAGGCTGAGGCGAACGAGAGTGGTACGCCTTCCCGTGCCTGATTCACTGTTCAGTTCTAACGATTGCAGATACTATGGATGACTTTATCGCATCAGACTCAGACGAAGACACCTCTCGTTCCAAGAAGCGAAAGCGGCCCTCAAAGCCCGCTGCTCCCCGAAAACGATCCAACAAGTCATCGCCCATACCCGAACCCGAAATAGATATCAAGGATAGCATTCTTGAAGAGGATGAGCTGATGGATGATGTGGGAGGCGCTACGGCCTCACAATGGAGCTACGACGCTGCCTCTACCGATAAGCAACCGGTCGTCAAGCCCGCTGAAAGAGTGGCCATAAGGGACCCCAAGTATAAGGAGAAGGCATACACCAAAGATCCTGATCAAAGGTATCCTTGGCTTGCCAATATTATGGATAAAGACAAGCGAAAGCCCGACCATCCTGAGTATGACAAGCGAACAATTTACATCCCCCCTGCTGCCTGGCACAAGTTCTCTCCGTTCGAGACTCAATACTGGAAGATCAAGCAGAACCTTTGGGACACAATTGTCTTCTTCAAGAAGGGCAAGTTCTACGAATTATACGAGAATGATGCGACTGTGGGGCATCAGGAGTTCGACTTCAAGATGACAGACCGGGTCAACATGCGCATGGTCGGAGTGCCTGAGAGTTCGCTTGATCACTGGGTAAACCAGTTTATCGCCAAACAATACAAGGTTGCTCGCGTTGATCAGATGGAGACAAACTTGGGCAAAGAGATGCGTGAGCGACAGGATAAGAGCAAGAAGGCCGACAAGGTTATCACCCGTGAGCTTGCTTGCATCCTTACAGCCGGAACACTTGTCGACGGTAGCATGTTGCAGGATGACATGGCGTCCTACTGTGTCGCTATCAAGGAATCTGTGGTTGACGGTCTCCCTGCTTTCGGCATCGCCTTTGCTGACACGGCTACTGGACGCTTCTACCTTTCTACCTTTGTGGATGATGTGGATTTGACCAAGTTTGAGACCCTCATCGCTCAAACCGGCCCACGAGAACTGCTTCTTGAGAAGTCCCGCTTGTCTACCAAGGCACTGCGTATCCTCAAGAACAATACTAGCCCCACCACCATCTGGACACATCTCAAGCCGGGTGACGAGTTCTGGGAGGCGGATAAGACCCGTCGCGAACTCGACTGTGGAGGCTACTTCAAGAGAGAAGATGCTGATGAAGAGGTTTGGCCCGAGATTCTCCAGTCATTGCGGGATGACGATTTGGCCATGTCGGCAACTGGTGCCTTGATCTCATACTTGCGCTTCCTCAAGCTTGAGAGACCTCTGCTATCGCAGGGCAATTTCGAGCTCTACAACCCCATTCAGAAGAATGGAACACTAATCCTGGATGGCCAAACGCTCATCAACCTCGAGGTGTTCTCCAACTCAGTCAATGGCGGTTCCGAGGGTACGTTGTTCAGCCTACTTAACAAGTGCGTCACGCCCTTTGGAAAACGTCTCTTCCGATCATGGGTCGCGCACCCGCTCTGCAACATTGATCGCATCAATGAACGTCTTGATGCTGTCGAGATGCTCAATGCTGATCAGACAGTCCGTGAACAATTCGCCTCGCAGCTTGTCAAGATGCCCGACTTGGAGCGACTCATCTCCCGAATCCACGCCGGGGCGTGCAAACCCGAGGACTTTGTCAAGGTCCTAGAAGGCTTTGAGCAGATAGAGTACACCATGAGCCTTCTGGGATCCTACAAGGGTGGCAATGGCCTTGTTGACCGCCTGATCTCGTCAATGCCCAATCTCGATGAGCCTTTGAGTTATTGGAGATCAGCATTTGATCGTACCAAGGCGCGTGACGAGAAGCTACTCATTCCCGAGCGTGGCATTGAAGAAGATTTCGACGAGAGTTCCGATCGCATCGAGGAGATTAAGCAACAACTCGAGGATCTCTTGGCCGAGAAGAAGAAGGAGTTCAAGTGCAAGCTCCTTAAGTTTACAGACGTTGGTAAAGAGATCTACCAGTTGGAGGCTCCCAAGAGCGTCAAGGTTCCTTCGACTTTCCGCCAGATGTCAGCGACAAAGGACGTCAAGCGTTGGTACTTCCCTGAACTATCTCAACTTGTGCGAGAGCTTCAAGAAGCGGAAGAGACACACTCACAGCTTGTACGAGAAGTTGCGTCGCGATTCTTCCAGAAGTTCGATGTTGACTATGAGACCTGGCTGCAAGCCATCAAAATTATCTCGCAGCTGGATTGTCTTGTCAGCTTAGCCAAGGCATCCGCATCGCTCGGCCAGCCAAGTTGCCGTCCGGAGTTTGTGGATGAGGAGCGCAGCACTGTTGACTTCCAGGACCTGCGACATCCTTGTATGATGAACACAGTTGATGACTTCATCCCCAACGATATTAAGCTTGGTGGTGACCAAGCCAAGATCAACTTGTTGACTGGAGCCAACGCTGCCGGCAAATCCACTGTCCTTCGTATGGTAAGTTCTTTCTTTTCCACATACTATTGCACATTACTAACAACTACAGTCTTGTGTCGCCGTTATCATGGCTCAGATCGGATGCTACGTCCCTGCCACTTTCGCACGCCTCACCCCCGTCGATCGCATCATGTCTCGTCTCGGCGCCAACGACAACATCTTCGCCGCTCAATCGACCTTCTTTGTTGAGTTGTCCGAGACCAAGAAGATTCTCTCCGAAGCCACACCCCGATCGCTGGTCATTCTGGATGAACTTGGTCGTGGAACAAGCTCTTACGATGGTGTCGCTGTCGCTCAAGCTGTTCTTCACCACGTCGCTACTCACATCGGCTGTGTCGGCTACTTTGCCACTCACTACCACTCTCTCGCGACAGAGTTTGAGAACCATCCTGAGATCCGAGCACGAAGGATGCAGATCCACGTTGATGACGAGGAGCGTCGCGTTACCTTCCTGTACAAACTGGAAGATGGTGTCGCTGAGGGTAGTTTCGGTATGCACTGCGCCGCCATGTGCGGCATCTCATCGCGCGTCATCGACCGCGCAGAAGTCGCTGCCAAAGAATGGGAACACACCAGCCGTCTCAAAGACAGTCTTGAGAAGGCCAAAACAGGCTGTTACATCCCCCTTGGTATTCTCAGTGACATCGGTGCACTGCTCGGCGACAAGGGCGAGATGGGAGACGCAGGAGTGGATGTTCTTCTCAATGCTATCGAAGCATTATAATATGACAAAACTAAGGCGGAACGGACAGGGTTCTAGAGGAATTGGTGATATCTTGCAAGGCGTGTATGGCGTCGACTTTCACATGTATTCGGACTGACGACCTCTGATAGAGTTGTCACAAGGGGATAAATAGGCGTTGCAATGGAGTTTTATTCAAGACAGACAGACATGCGAGATCAATGTGCTTCGGGGTGTTGCAGACAGTATAATGGGAGGCAATTGCGATAGCAATGAAGAGATCTAGATACATAGCAAAAGATACAATATTCCGATTGTCCATCCCATATAACCCAGCGAACAAACTCAATACAATATGACGCCAATACCAAATCTTGACTAAACAACAAAGCCCATACTTAATCCATCAGTCCAACATACAAAACATTCATCATATCTCACTCAACAGAACGAAGCCAGTCTAACTCGAATACCATCCTCTCAAACAAATCACCTATCCGGATCACTGCTATCATACTCAGGCTCCGGAGCTGGAGTCGCAGCCTTTGAACCCGCCGCCCTTTTAGGAGCGGTCTTCGCGGCAGGTTTCCTAGCAGGCTTTGGTGCAGATTCCGGCGCTGGAGTCGCTGTCTTTGAACGAGTCGCCCTCTTAGGTGCAGCTTTCGGGGGAGCTTTCGGGGCCTTTGGGGCAGATTTCGGCGCGGCTTTAGGAGCCTTTGGAGCAGATGCCGCAACCGCAACGGAAGAAGCCCTCGAAACAGCCGCCGAAGGAGCTGTTGAAGCGGCAGCGTCTCTCTGCATCCGAAGTCGACTCGATTCACGAGAGGGTTGACTACTAGGGTTTTTTCCACGTCTGGGAATGGTCCCTGTGATAATGTCAGCCTCGTTCATAACAAGAGTGGTAAGGGATAAGATGGAACTTACCAAGCTTGGGCTTCTTCGCAGCAGGTTGTTCCTCAGTCTCCTCCTCAATAGAAGCAATCGGCCTCTCAGGTCTCTTCAACGCCGGCGTAGCATCAATAGTGAGATTACTAAGGTTCTCCGGAAAAGTCCCACGCATCGACACATCAGTGTCAGTCTCACTCTGGTTAATATACAAGGAATCAGGGACTTCTACTCCAGTGTACATCTTGCGTCGCTTCCGTCCACCCTTGGTGTTATCCCACGGCAGGCCGGGCGCTTCCCATCTCCCAGGGAAAGGAGGGTCGCCCTCGTAGGGAGGCCAGGGAATGTCCCACCATACACTGTTTTCTGGGTTATTGGGGTCGGATCGCCAGATTGATATGTAATGGTCGGCTGGGTTGGTGGGATAGAGTGTGCGTGCGTATGTTGGGTAGCGACGGCGGAAGGATTTCTTGATGTCTCCGAGGGTCTCGGGAATGTCGGAGCCTTTGATCCAGCCGCTGCGGTTGGGGAGACGTTCAGTTGAACCTGGGGCGTTGCGGATGCGACAGCACAGCAACTTGTTAGTATGAGCCTGTTGTGTGTTAGTATACAAGTTAGAATGGCAGGGATCGATCGATACGAACCTTGACATCTGTATCGCGAGTCTTGCTTCGCTTCTTAGGCATCTTGCGGAGACACTTGGAGCAGTACATATCCTCATCGGGGTCAAAGTTGGGATCTTCAGGACCGAGCTTCTTCACCCAGTCTGGAGACTTCGCTCGACGACGAAAAGACTTTCCTCCTTTCTTATTTGGTTCCTCGTCGTAGTCATTGGTCTCATACCCATCATCTTCATACTGGCTATCCTTCTCTCCCTTACGGCGAGTCTTTCTGGTCTTCTTGCTCCGGGTTCGTCCCGAGGCACTGCCCTGGGCCTCGCTGCCTCGTGCTTCAGTGGAGGAAGCTGTTGCCTCAGGCGGCTCTTCCTGAGCCTTGGTATGTCCTCGCCGACCACGAGAAACTGTAGAAGGGGCTTCGCTGTGGCTCTCAGCTGCCGACTCGATATCCTGTGTTGTAGCCTTGCGTTTCCCAAGCGCTTTCTTCGAAGGGGGTTTTGGGGCAGGCTTTGGGGGAGCAGGCTTCTTGGTCACCACCACAGCGCCAGTTGATTTGTTGGACTCACCCACAACCTCATCTTCTGAAAGGACCTCAGTTACTCGCGGACCCGGGCTTGAGGATCTGCTCTTCGAGGCATTCCGAGCAGCCTGACCTCGAGCACGAGAACGACCAGAAGGGTGTCGTTTGCTAGAACTGCCACCGTTCTCATCGCCGTGGTCACTGTCGCTGTCACTGTCATCCTTGCTCTCATCATCGGCATCAGCATCAACATCGCCCATGTCTTCGTCATCGCCCTCGTCATCAGAGACTTGCCCTGTATGCCATTTCTCAATATGACGATCATACTCCTCGAAAGTCATATTCCCAATGACCATACCGCAGTCTCCGAAGTATTCACACTTCCTGACGACAGTATCCTGTGGGACCGGTAGCCCTTCGAGGTAAGTCTCTGGTTCGATCACCACAACAGTTTCTACCTCTCCCCTCAACGGGCTTCCGGTGTTATTATGATAGACCATCTCCGGACGTTCCAAAACCGGTTGCAGATGTTCCCATAGTTCGTAGACATGGCAGTCCAAGTGCTTCGTACAGTCTGTGACCCCGCGATACTTTTTTATTTCATTGCCTTCCTCATCTGTGCCTTCGACTACGAAGAACGGCAGTTCGCAGAATGGACACTTCGGAGCCTCATTGACCCCATGGCCTACCGTGATGTGGTCATATAGGCCATAAGAACCGAGTCGGCTGACGTCAGCTTTGCAGCCTCGGATGCCACAAACTCGGGGAGGGTCAATGACAATTACTGGTCCAGTCATGTCATACCAGGCAAGGGGGTTTGTGAGCGTTCGCGGAGGATGAAGACGTTTATATCTATTCATTGCTTCCCGTGAGTTTCTCGCTTCTTCAGGTTCCCTCTGAATACGGGGAGGATGGGAGATCATTTCTCTTGTTCGTGTCTCTGCTGTTGGTGGCCTGGGTGCCCTACCACCGAAGGGGAGGTTTGGTGGCACTGGACGAGCTGAGCGCATAAGCTCTTCATAACGACGTTGCTCTTCATCATAACGACGTTGCTCTTCATAGCGACGTTGAAATTCAGGGTCCGGTACTGTATTAGGTACCATACGAGCCATAGGAGCTGGGATGCGGCCCGGGGGGGTTGTACTAATTGCAACGAAAGGATCAGCGAAAGGATTGTCAACTTGTCCCAAAGAGAACGGCTGATTAGACTGGGGTTGAGATGCCTGAGGGGGATTAACCGCAGGTCGCTGAGGGGGCATCGATGGGCGAGGTACTGCAGGCGCCGTCCTGGGGGTAGGCTTATCCACGATACCCAAGACATCCTTCAGGTCCTTAGTATGCTTCTCCCGCATATGCTTATTCCTCTGAGCCTTGTCCCACCATTCAAACATTGGCTCGTCGCACCAAGGACACATTCGCGACTTATGAGCTTCCCGAGTGTGTTTCTTCCTGGCCTCATGATCATCAGCCCGGCAGGTGAAGTCACAGTCCTCATAGATGCACCGCATGGTGCGCTTGAGGAGCAGGTTGCGAGTTTCCCAGAGGGTGCGTTGGAGCTTGGCTTGCTCGGTCGGTGTGAGGACGGCTTTGGAGATCATGGGGATATTGCCAGAATCGTCGGTGCGAAGCAACGGCTCTGCAGGCGCTCCAGTCAAAGGGATGCCAATCGTAACTGGCTCAGACCCAGCTCTGAGGTCACCATAGATACTGGGTTGAGTGGTCCATGTGCGTTGTCGGGCCTGTCGTGGCGCGTTCTCATCCAAGTCCCATGGCGAGCTATTGGGAGGACCAGGACGGGAGGCAGCGGCGTGTCCAGTCCCGTTACCACCTTCACTGCCATCGCCATCATCATCACTCCCCGCGTCATCGTCCCCTCTACTTGATTTGTCACCGCTGTGATCACTGGGGGTTGTTATACCCTCCATTTGTTCCGAGGCGTCTCCAGCCTCCGAAACATCTCTAGAGGGCGCTTCACCTCCTGAATAATCATAAATATTCGTCTCTTCTGTAGCTGCTTCCGTAGCTGCTTCTGAAGCTGCTTCTGAACTTTCTGATCTGTAAACCCGGCGACGGTCCGGGGAATAAGGTTTGTTGGCCCAGTCAGGTCGATCGGTTGCCAAGACACCGACATCACACTCCTGCTCCTCCTTCTCCTCCTCCTCAGCTTCAGATTCGCCATGAAGTGTTGGGGCCTGGGGCAATACGAGCTTCGGAGCCGAAATTTCTACATGAGGCAGTGTATGGCTAACGAATGCATTACTTCTGAGGGATGACCGTGGTTTGACGGGCTCCTCCTCGTCTTTAGAGCTCAGGGGGCCGAGACTTGCAGGAGACGAGGGGTAATTGGCGGTAGGGTCGGCTATATTATCGTTGATGTCCTTGATTTCAAGGGTGTCACCACCTAGCCGAGGGCGGGAGACATAGAATTCGGAGTCAAGCCCACGAACGCCCCAGATGTTGTACTCCGATATGCATTCCTCCCAGTCAACATCTGATTTGCTGACAAACTCGACTGTTATGGCTGGGGATGTAATGGACTCTCTCACACGATACCACTCATCGTCAGATGAGTCAGGGCGGATGAGGTACGATGGCGTGTCTCGATCCTCACGGTTGTTGGCGCCGGCACAGAAGGTCTCTTTGAGTAACATGAGGTCTTGACCCATGAGTCTCATGTACTTGGTCTGGGATACCAGCTGATCTATAGCAGTAAAGAGCTGTTGGACTGTGGATGTCAGAGGTGGCAACTCGATAGAGATGTCTTGTCCGTCGTGCCAAGCAGGGAACAGACGACAGTGCCCAGGGCGAAAATGAGGATGAATGGTGAAAAACCAGGCCGACAGATTTTGGATCTTCTCGGCAACAGCGATTCCAACGGCATCCTTTCTCCAACCAAAATTACGAGGTTTCAGGGCAACCTTCAAGCCCTTGATGCCCTGCCCATAGTTGTTCGTTGGGTCACCTTCAAGAACATACACTGACTCAAGCTTTCTGTGCGACTCAATGTCAAAAGCCTCTGAGGAAATCTCGCCGATCGGGTGGTAGACATTCTCATACGCGTCACCAAAAGTTTTGTCATCATCTAACAAGTGAGGATTAGGGCTTGGGTAATAGTTGGGAAGGATGAGAGGCACCACATTGGGGTCGAGCCAGTTGCACTCAATCATCCAGCAAGCGCCAGGATTGTTCAGCGGGTGGAGAAGCTCTAAAGCCGATTGCGGCAGACTCATGGCACCGTAAACAATGGGTACTGTCGATGAGGCGTCTGGCTTGTTCCTGTCGTAGAGACGGAACAAGGCATGGTTGTACTCGGGGCACCCCGCGTTTTTGTTGCCCATGGGTCGGCCAAAGAGGATATCCGTGGCGGCCCTGAAGTGAGCATTGTACTGTTGAGATGCATAGTTGCTAGCAACGAAGCGTGAGGTATCAATCTTGGGAAATGGGATATAGGCATAACTGATGGCTTCCTCCTCGGGTCCGTTGGGAAAAGTCCCAAGAGCTCGCCCAATCCTGACGGTGTCTGTCTCCAATTGCGACATGGAAGGTTCCCAATCATTGACTGTGTTGCCTGATTCCTTCCGGGCATGGTCAATAAACAGAGTACAGCAATCCTTATGTGTCTTGTCTTTCGAGCCGTGGGCAAAGTGACCCTCTAGGAAGTGCATTGCTCTGCTGCCACCCGATAAGGGTAACCTGTCATGAATGACTTGCCGCTGGCCGGTCTCCTTATAGATAACATGGAGGTCGAAGATATACTGCTTCTCCCTAATATCATCAGGATGATTATGCAGCAGTTGTCGTAGAACGAGTGCAAATGATCGCCACTTGCGAGGACGAAATGGCAAGCGCCCATAGTGGCTATAAATATAAGTCCATGGTTCTTCAGCGGTTGCTGGAGTCTCAGTTGAGGGGACGTAGTCACAAGCGACGTGATCATTGCGTTGAGGTCCATCACCTCCACGAAGACTCAAAATCGGGTCGTTTGTCTTTGGGGCCGGGACGGGCCAACTGAAGGCTTCCTTGGCTTGAAGTTGTTAGTCGTGTACTGGAGATCTTGAAGAGGTTCGTAATAGCTTACCTTTCAGGCTATCCTTTCCCCAGTTGCGACGATCGTGGGCTGTAAGGAAATGCATCGGTGGTTTGATGTTGTACATCGGAACATCCTTCCCCATACCCATAGCCATAGATAGCTCTTTGAGAATGTCCTCCATCGGCGCAATTGGCAAACCAAAGTACATCATCGTGAGCTTTGTTGCCAAAGAGTCCTCATAGCCCTTGAAGCGATCTTTGAGAAGAGCCTCGTACCGCTTTGTATTGGCAGCTTGCAATTCCTTCACGTCTGAGCGATCAGATGGCATCAACATGCGACTCTCATTGTATGTGAAGTTTTCTCGAACGATATCTCTGATGGGAGTATCCGACTTTAGTCTCTCCGTGAAGAATTTGTGCTTCTCCACCCAATGTGAATCGCTTGGACTGACTAGAAGATCGAGGCGTGCCGCGGTAATGTCAGAAGATACGTAATCGAGGGAGGACTCATCCTGGCCCGCAGACGATTCAATGCCAGTCATTTCCTCCATCTTCGTGAACAACCATACACTATCACAAGATGGGATACTCGTCGAAGGCGGACTGCGATGATTACGCTCTATGTGTATAATGAAAGACCAAATAAAGATGCGGAGATAAAGGGTATCAACAAATGAGTGTAAGTGAGAGTATTCTGGGAGCTCAGTTGGTGTGGAAAGAACAAGGAAAAGGGCATAAAGAGAAAGAGATCATTCCGGTTAAAAATTCTGGAGGGTCGCAGAGGGTGTTAAATCGCACACCTGGTGCAAGAAGACCCTTTGAGGTGAACCTCGTCCTGTGGTCGCAACGGCCTGGGTGCAATACCATTGTTCTCGGACTAGCATCTCGCACGTACCAGAAGTGGTTTGCCGTGGTGTTGGTAACAAAGAGACATGTCTTCTCTTTGACAAGTTGATGGGTGGTCTGTGATGAGGATCACCTTTCCTCGGCGTTACCGTTCATCCTTTGAGCTTAGCTGATCTTGTTTTCGAGGGTTGGTCAAAGGTCGACATCTTGCGCTGCACTACAACTACTGTATCAAGAATAATTTCGTTTTTATGAACGTTTTCTTGAAGTCTGTCGCATCGCGTATGCGCATTGAGACGAGTAGCCGTTGGAAACAAAACGTGTTGGTGGCCTAACGGCCAATTGCCCTGCCACACAAAACGTCAACCCAAAAAGGTCGACAATAATACCTATTGACACAAAATTAGCAACAGACAGGCCAAAGCTCCAAGCACCTCTCGAGCGGAGTGCAATCAAGCCTCCTTCAATCAGAATGGTGTGTGCCTGTTCTTTGTCCCCAGCCGGACTTGGTAGGTCCGAAAAGAGGGGAGGCTCAATCAATGTAAACAAAGAAGCTGGAGACACACGGTTGTGTGGAAATAGCAACTGGCAATCTGTTATGTGAGCTTCTTTGTTCAATCGCAAATAACGAGGAATCACGAGAGGGCGATCGAGGGTTGTGAATGAAGTCGTTCATTATGGTATTGTAAGATGCTTTCCTTTGTCCTTTCGGTCTGGGTATGAGATGTTGCAACACCAACTTGATGGACCGATGTGTCCGGATTCATCCAGCATGCTGCTTCACAAGTTCCTCGAGCTTGTCTTGGAAGTCGGCGAAGTAGTTGATGGCCTGGATAATCTTACCTTCACTCGTACCAAAGCCACTTCTAGTGAAAGCCATTCTCCATGAGCTTTCATCTCTAACCAGGTCATTGTAGTCTTTCGTCTCCCAGTTCTTCTGTGTAGGGCCTTGCGCAAAGTATTCGCCCAGTTTTCCATTCCAAGTCGACAAGTCAGTTGAAGCAAGACCATTGAGCAAATTCGGTGAAATCGTGACATGTTGGATTCCGGCAAGCTGCATCACTTCGTCCACAGATGTGAGTGATGCCGCCAACACTTGGGTGCGGAATGAATGGTTAATGTAGTAGGCTTGTGCTTCGCGACAAAAGTCAAAGGCTTTATATTCGTCAACGTATCTGCGATTGTTAGAATGACGAGGGACCTTTGCGAGTCACACTTACCCAGCTTCGAAATGAACCTTGAGCTCATTGACATATGGCGCAATGTAGGTACACTGGGCTTCGGCAGCCAACGCCGCTTGCTCCATGCAAAACATGGTGGTCGCAAGAGTCGCGATTCCTTTCATCTCCAGTGTTCGACATGCCTGGAGACCTTCCCAAGTTGCGGGGATCTTGATGCACACCCTCTTCTCGTCAAAGTCCGGCGCGAGGTGTTTAAAGATATTGACGATACCTGTATAAGGTGGTTAGTGAGCTTAACAAAGATACGAAACGAAAGACTTACGGTAGGCGTCACTAATGGTGCCGTTGGTTGAGTAGGACAGCTTTGGGTTGGTCTGAATGTGCACATAGCCTGTAACATAAGGTACGATCAATAGTTGAAGTTTCACCATCTTGTCGGGTCAGTAAAGCTCCATCGCTTGGGTTTCCTGCTGTCATACCAAGATCTGTACAACAAACTCCTCAAATGTCGCGGACCCTTGCACTTCCTTCAGCACCCCACGGGCACTTTGAATGGCTTCTTTGATCAGCGCATCGTGATGCAAAAGGGGTTCACCAGCAAGCGGTCTTGAGATCTCCGAGAATGCGATTGCCTGAAGGTCAGCACTACAGGTGACACAGGCATGAAGGGCTGGCTTACCTGGTTAGATGTGCAATCCACAAAGGGCCCCAGCTCATGAGCGACTACTATTGAGTTAGTAATTGAAGCCTGCGACATGATTGTGGCTCGTACCATTCGAATCTAGAGTATCGCAGTCAACCCGACTGGTCTGGCGAAGAGCGTCCAACAATGTCGTCATGTCAGCGATGTATCAATGCGAATGAGCTGCTCTCTCTGAAGATTTCCATAGAGAATAAGGAGTCAATTGTGATTTAAATAATGCACTCTTCAATTTTGACAATATCTTTGCTTTATCATCAAACTCATCAATGGAGTCGTTCTGCTCAAGTCAAGGTCACCAAGCCGAGCTGACCCCCACCAGTATTAGAGCATGACGGAAACTTTGGCGGCCATTCGCTCGGCTTGGCTACCCGAAACGCTTGTTTCTCGAATGTCATTCGGCTGCAATTACCACGACGAGAAGGGCGAGGCAAGAGGGGTTTCCCTTCTCCAGGCAGCACTATTCCCGTATCCCAATTCACTCGAATTGATGGGGTCAAAACTTTCTTCGCCAATGTAGAGACGATGCTTTGATCATGTGGTGGAAACGCGTGGGTCGAAGTGGCTCTTCCATTGTGAACTTGTTGTGGAGGGAGGCGATTGAGTTGCTACCGGCACTTGTCGGTTATTCCACTCAGAAACGGTCCCAAGAATCTATGAGGCTTGAGATTGACCTTCAAAAGATCAAACCTTGATGAGATACAAGGAATTCGATGACTTTGATTGGGTTTAGCGGCGTTCAATAAGAATTCATGGATTTCGAATGACAGCAAGCAACAGGTCGCGGGGTTCTTCTCCAATTGCTTCTGCACGTGATAAATCACGTTTTCTTCCCCAGGATTCCCCAATCGGGTTATCCACCATTGCATCAAGAATCTGCTGCAGCATCACCAGTCGAACCACTTCCAGTTCAGCTCCCCCGTTCACCGTTCAACCCGGCGTGCCCAGCACCGATATGAACCCAATCGCAACCTCCACGCCATAATGCGACCACCACGATGTCTCCTCCCCGCCGCGGAGAAGATCCTCCTCAACGCAGCCGCACCCGCTAGCCGACGATGCATGTCCTCCGCCGCAGCCTTCCAACCGCCCAGAATACTCGCTCCGGCTCCGTGGAAGGGCTCTTCGTTTTTCCTCTCGAATAGATTGTTTGATAGATCGACATGTCTCGATTTTGTAATACTACGGCGTGCCAATGGCATTAGATCCACGTCGGCTTCGACGGCTACGATATCTTCTACGAATACTGCGCAGACGGAGCCGGAACAGGAATTAGCACCGCATCGGAGACGACAGGCTCAACGGAGGGAGAAAGCTGCTGCTGAAGCTGCGGCCGCTGCAGCTCGAGGTGAAAAACCACTTCCTCCAGATGCCTCATCCCTCCTGGCTTCGCACGCCGCTTCGCAAACGAGTTCTTTCCGCCGCTACCTCTCCGCATGTCTCTCCCTCTCGAAACCCCGATTAACAATGCTTGTCGTCCTTACCGCCATGGCTACATATGCTTTATACCCCGTTCCCGAAATGCTGTCGCCGAGTACGACCGAGACACCGAGTTTGAGTCCTTTAACATTATTATTCCTCACGATCGGTACGACGCTATGTTCTTCTAGCGCCAATGCTCTAAACATGCTTTATGAGCCTTCGACGGATGCCAAGATGACTCGAACTCGAAACCGACCCCTCGTGCGAAAACTCATCTCTCAGAGGGCTGCGGTTCTGTTCGCAGTCTTGGCTGGAGCTTTGGGTACAGGCGCCTTGTACTTTGGTGTCAACCCCACTGTTTCCGGACTTGGATTCGCCAATATTGTTATCTACGCTGGAATGTACACACCCCTCAAGGCTGTGACCGTTTTTAATACCTGGATCGGTGCGGTGGTCGGTGGTATTACCCCTCTGATGGGCTGGGCTGCGGCTGCTGGCGAGACTGCTACAAAGGACGGTTCATGGCGTGAGCTTCTATTCTCCCCCGACGGTTCATCCATTGGTGGTTGGGTCATGGCTGGTTTTCTCTTCGCATGGCAATTCCCCCACTTCATGGCGCTCAGCTGGCCCATTCGTGAAGAGTACAAAAAGGCCGGTCTTCGAATGTTAGCATGGACAAATCCCGCACGAAACGGCCGAGTCGCTCTCCGATACAGCTTCGCTTTTATTCCTCTCTGCGTATCTCTATGCGCCGCAGGAGTAACAGAGTGGTCCTTTGCCGTAACGAGCTTACCTATAAATGCCTGGCTTATCAAGGAAGCTGTGCGCTTCTGGCGATTTGAGGGTCACCAGGGCAGTGCGAGAAGTCTTTTCTGGGCGAGTGTATGGCATCTTCCTGGGATAATGATCCTCGCTTTGTTACACAAGAAGGGAATGTGGAGTAGAGTTTGGAGGAGTGTCTTTGGCGAAGAGGAGGGAGAGTGGGAGGAGGAAGAACTGGACGAGATGATGAGCATGGCTGCGGAGAGCGCCAATGGCCAGTTGCAGCACGATAAGCCTGTGCGGTGACGTGTAGGATAACGAATGAATATGTAACAACAATTGTATCTATGAAGGGAAATAGATTTGTCGCATTGGCTTTATCAACAGTAAGAAACTCACTCATATATCACCATTGCAGATTCTGTTAATAGCAAGACATCAAAGACGAAACATTTCTTCATAGCGAATGCGTAAATAGATTGCAAAGACAATGCGCTGCTAGATCCTCATGCACCTCATGTCGTGGTATCTCTATCTCTAGTTATACAAAGGAAATGTGCCATGATCATTCCCACTCCTCCTAACCACCATTTTAACAAACACAGACACAGAGAGAACACTAATAAAAACATTAAGCAAGTAACTCCCATAGAGCAAAATATCCTGCGTTATCGTCGTTATAACTGCCTTGAAAGCGCCAAACACCGCGTAAGCCCTTGCTGCTCGCCATGCAGTATGCTGGATTATAAGGATTGACAAAAAGAATCGGACGGCGAGGTTAGGTAGATACCTCCGATGAGGCTTTGTTGAAAGGTCGTGAAACAATGTGTAAAAGAGAGAAGGGGGTTGAGGCTTAAACACCTCTTCCTGGACGGTTAATAAGATTCCCAATGCCCATATCCGAACTCTGCGGTCGCTGCGTCATGTACTGCGGGCTGTTCCCCTGGCTGTGACCATGATGGCCGTAGGGATGGCCCGCACTCGCCTGGGAGCTCACGCTCGAGGAGTAACCGTGGCCGCCGTAGCCTGGCGCATAGGCTCCGAGGTTGTACTGGACGGCAGCGGCCATGTGGTGAGGCTGGAGCTGCTGGAAGGACGTGTTGGCCGAGGCCACGACGGACGAGGCGGTGGTCTCGGGGCTGCTATAGGATGCGTCTAGTTCGTCAACCGGTGTCAGGCCCATGCCGGAGATGCCGCTGTCGTCGTCATACCCTGAGAGAGCGCCGGACTCGAGACGGTCGCGGCGGGCTGCGGCGCGGGCTGCGCTTTGCAGATTCTTGAGGCCATTCGACATGCACTAAGAGTATGTTAGTAGATGTTTTCACCGTATTGTTAAAGATGATAACGTACCTTGGCTTCGACTACGTTCCACTTCTCGCCTGTTCGAGCTGCGAGACCACTCCAGATCTCCTTTCTCATAGCCATGTACTCCTTAGCCAGACGCTGGAGCTTGAGGTTGTCCCAATCATCAGCACCCTTGCGTTCCAGCAGTCTCTCATGACGCTTGCGGCAGGCATTGGGGGTCTTGGAGGGAAAGTAATTCGATTGGATCTGTTGCCAGTTCAGACCTTGCATCCTCGCAGTGAGGAGTTGCTGGTCATCGGCAGCTCCCCAAGCACCCGAGCTGGGTCTAGTCTGAACAGGAGCAGGGACAGAAACAGGCGGCGCGGATGTTGTAGCGTAGGGTTCGTATGTAGGTTGTTGAGGTTGTGACTGAAGGGGCATAGAAGAAGAAGCAGTTGTTCCCATGCCGTAGTAGTTGGGCATGGTCATGCGCTGCTGGTTGTACATAGGAGAGGGGGCGAGAGAGACTGGGATACCCGCGTTGTAGCGGTTCTGAGATGAGCTCGAAGCTCGAGAGTGTTTCGGCATCATGGAGAAAGAGTAGTAGTAGTAGTAGTAGTGGGGGTGTAGAAACGAGAAGTGAGGGGATTCACAAGGTGAATCCTGTAACAAGATTACGGATTAAGCGTAGAAAAGAGGAATAGGTCCGGGTCAACCGGCCTGGTAATGCTTGATCGGTCTTGAAGATGACGGCCCAAAAAGAAAACGGATCCCTCGTCCAAGCGAGAAGTCCAAGTGTAGTAGTAGAGAGGGTCAAAGGAAAACTAAAGCACGACGGGGTCAAGAAGCGACAGATGAGATAGCGCCAAGATAGAACCACAACGAGAGAAGAAAGGAAAGATCGAAACCTAGGAAAGATGGAAAAGTGATGTTTTGTCTGAAGAATGGAGAACAGGTCCTTAGAAGGCCGGATATGAAGCAGCTTTAAGGTCTCGGGGAGAGGACAAAGACCAATCTCAAGGTGGGCGGCTCTGGGACTGAAACAAGATCCAGAGACAATGAAACAGCACACTCGTGTCTGAAAGAAGCAGTTTCTCATGAATGGGTTGCTGATATTGGCTCAGCAGAGCGGCTGTTTGGAAGAGCCATGGGCGGTTAAGACAGTGGGCGGTTACAGTCGAGATGGAGATATCTTGGTGGAGAGAGTGCGTTCATCCGTACTACCAAGTTTGAGCAAGCGCCGTATGTCCCAGGACACAAACAGGAAGATTGTTTAAGCCAGAAAGCTAAAAGCAGGAACACAGATCTCGAGAACCACCCGATTTGCATATGTGGATGATCCATGAGGGCGCCTGGGGAAATTACTACGGGGTTTCTGCATGGTGTGAGCGCAACACAAGCGCGGGAAGGGAAAGAAGCGTAAAACAGGGATGCGCATCATAGTTGCACCGGCAGATGAAACAAAGAAACACAAGCTGAGCGAAAAAGGCAGAGACAGAGAGAGACAGACGATACAAAGGGCTTGGTGTTGAGAAGACTCCAGAAATAAGGTAGTGTGGATATGGAGGGGCCGTGTAATTGGCCACGGGTGTTGGAGGCGCGCGTTTAAAGATATTAGGCGACGCCTGTAGTGGTTTAGTGTGTCTATTTTGGGAGGTCTGGGGTTGTCTGATTGGGAGAGATGTACTGCCGCTTGGAGATTGGGAGAGGAAGTACAAGAATGGATGAAGAGCGCTTGGGAGGGCCTTGAAAAGAGGTCGCTGGGCGTGGACAGAGGCAGATGGCATGTTTCAGGTTGTTCTACAACAGATGACATTGTTGTCATTCTGCGTGTTGAAGCATGATAAGATAAGATGATTCTAGTCCCGGTAAATGGGCTTGTCGTCTTTCACTTCATCCGTGTTAGTCGTTTCCCACGATGTTTAGCACCGTAGATTCCACTAAGACAAGCGCCGCTAGCTCCAGACTGCACCTAAGACTGTTCAAAGCATTCATCTGGTGCAAAGTGATTCACAAAGATCTGCATCCATGATCTGACGGTTTTCTTTTCTTTACCTGTCTCACCTTGATTGAAACTATTCGATTGCTGGGGAAATAAAATTGGTGGCTGATATTTATAGGGGGCAGAATGCTGAAAGCTATCTGACTCAGTTGGGGTCGTAGGTAGCCTGTCCCGCCGCCAGGAGGCAGCTATGGCTGGCCTAATGAAGGGGACTTCCACTCATCTATCAACTTTGACTTCTCCAAAAAGATTGTCATCACAACCGCGAGCGCGCAATGAATTTTGCGACGCGTCGGACTCTTCGCCGCTCGCAAACCGTCGATCATGATGAGCTCGCCGATTCAAAAATTGGGCTTGTCGCGATGCTTCCCTCCACTCAGCCAAAGCGTCGGGGACGACCGCCCAAGTCATCAACATCCGTATTATGCAGAAAGCCCAAGCCTCGTGGACGGCCTCGCAGCACTGCTTCTCACATAATGTCTGATGAGCGCATCGCATTGAGATTGGACTGGCGAATGCGCAAATCCACGATGGGCAAACGAGTCGGCGATGCCGCTCGGTCAGTCTACCGTCTGTCGCGCCAGTGGCCGTGGGACTTTGTCGCAGGCTTCGCTCCGAAGAGCTGGGGTATCGAGATTCTGGAGACTATGAGAAGGCTTTTTAGGACTATCTACCGAGGCTTTCCGGATCATCGGAACGACTTTCAGTTTGTCAAGAATTATCTGCGCGAATGCGCAATGAGGCGCGATCGACGGCGCCCGCATTTGAAGAACTGCGATGTTGTGGAGGCATGCGATTATTTCGCTGATAACGATAATGCCAGACGCGATGTTGTTCACACAACGCACACAACAGTGACGCGATTGAAGCGCTCAATCAGTCCGGTCGTGCAAGAAGATGAGGATGGATGGCTAGACTACACAGGCATTGACCATTTTGGCGACGAGGATGATGATGATGATGGGTATGTCGACATTGCTACACCTGCAAAGCGATCAAGAACGCCCTCGTCACCTTCACTGAGCCCGAAGCGAGCACGAACGGCGGAGCCTACCGAGCCTCGCCAACAGACCATCACAGACATCGGCAATTCCTTACAGTCACTGCACGCCCAAAAGCATAAAGAGCTCGAAGAAGTGACCAATTCGCTGGACGAGGTTGCAACTTCAATCCAAGCAAGTGAAGCCACACAAATAAACCACATCAACGCAAAAGTCGACAGACTATGCTCCAAAATGAAAGCCTACGAGTCAGAACGGGAAAAGATCCTCAAAGCCCGAACCTTTGTGGAACAGCACCACGAAGAAATGATGATGAAAGAAGACGATCTCGCAAAGTCACTGCAGCAGTACACGTCACAGCTCGAAGAATGCGATAAATTAATAGCGCAGGCAAACGCCGACGTTTTAGAAGAGCTGGGTCAGATTGAGGAGAGGGATGTTGACCTGGAGGATGAGGAGAAGAGGTTGGAGGCGCGTGTGAAGGAGGTTCTAGAGGAGGTTAGACATTGCAGTGTTGTCGAGACGTTGGTGAGGTTGGGGCCTGGTGGGATGGCGAAGTTGTTGGGGAGACTGGAGGGGAATGGCGTTGAGTTGGTCCAGATGGCGGAGAGTATCATGAATGAGGCTGAGGAATAGCATAACTACTGGTAGGTTTTATGCTGATCGTTCTGTGCATCTTGTGCTAAGGTTGATGGCCACAAGTCTTCGCTTATCGCGGCATCTCCAAAAATGCGGCACGCTCCCGGTTTTGTCTGCACAGTGGTGTAGACACTGTATCGAACATTCAGCCCTCAAGATACTCCACAACGTCATCTACTTTTCTCTTATCTCCCCCTATTCTCGTCATCTTTTGGGGTGCATCGCTCAGACCTCTTCTCCTATCACTTTCTCCTTTCTTTTTGCCAGACCGCTAGTGTCACTGATCAACTGATCATCTGATCTTCCTCCAATAGATGCAAGTCAGCCTCACACTGTGCGGCTGGGCATGTCTCGGGAAGCAAATAAAACACGGACACCAACGCGCTAGCAGCCCGCGTAGTTTGAGTGCGTTTTCCTACACTGTTTGGGCCTTGGACCTGGTCATTTGTCTCAAACCCCAGCGTCATGAGAGAATGCCATTGGTGAGGACAAAGTCTAGAATGCTATATTGACGTCATAGTTAGCTGATCGGTAGGGTTGTGAGGGTTGCAGCCATTATCACGACCTCCTCTTTGACGCGTCTCGACAATGGTGGAGCTATATAGAAAGATGGTATAACCCCAACCAACGCGAGAGTATAAATACTCCAACAACTGGCTATCGAAAATGCCCCTCAGAGTAAGTCATCTATAGCTGCATCTTCGTCACATGCAACAGAATGTCTAATGCAATGGCCAGTGATTTTTTCCCGTCGTCGCCGTATAGGCAGACCCTACGGCAGTAAGGATTCATATGCGCCACGCATCAAGAGAGGACTGAAATCTACATCTGACCCCAAACCTCTCGGATGAGGAGATCAGGATGAAGCTTGTCAAGAAAGCCCCTCCTCCAGATCCTCGCATGACCCTCGCAAGAGACATCGAGATCCTCACGGGGCAGTGGCCATGGCAGTGGACGAGTGAAACGTTCGAGCCCAAGAAGTGGACTGTCGCCATGATGAGGGACCTGCGGGATCTGATCAAGGGGTATCAGGGCAGGTACAATCTGAACTTCGATGTTTGTCATGGTCTCAAAGTCACTCTGCTTCGCTCCACAAGGGAGCGGGACAAGAACAATCCAAAGCTCAGCAGAGTGATCTGAGCAATGCCCTCAAGCATTTTGGTCTCGAGACCAGGAAAGAAAAGAAGCAACAGCAAGTGTCTGTTCCCTGCGAGAATACCGCCGCGGCGCCAGTCGCGGTTGAGGATACGCCGCCGGAGACACCAAGTGTTGTGTCACCGGCTTCTCCGGCGCCGTCTTCCTCATCGGTCGTGTCCGAGTACGCGTCGGCGTCCTCTCCTGTTTCGAGGGCGTCGAGTGTCACGACGGTCACGGCGGATTCTCCAAGGGCTACGCGTGCGGAGTCATCATGTCCAACCGTCCGCGAAGATCAAGTAGACGCGACGATGCAAGATGACTCCATGTTTGTGGAAAAAGTTTCAGATTTCCCTGAATACAGGAGCTCCAGCGCCGATAAGGGAGAGGACTGCAAGTCCCCTAAATCAAAGCCATCGTCTCAACCTGGAGGCATGGAGTCTGAATCCTCGGTGCAACCTCAACCTGAGGAGGCAGCTGAAACTGTTGAACGGCCTGAAGCTCACGTCACAGAGTCTGTAGAGACAGAGATGCAGATCGACTCTGACGAGCCCGTCCACGAACCTGTTTCTGAAAACGCTACAGAATCAAACTCGAACTCGGTAAGTATAACATCTTTGAAAACTTATAGTCAACGCGTACTTACTTATCTTCATAGCCACAGCCACAATCAACTCCTTCACTCCCTTCAACCCCAGAGGATATCATCAAAAGTCTAGAACTCCTCGAACTCCAAGAAAAATCCGAAGGAGAAAGACTCACACCCCTCCTCACAACCTCCAAAACCAAAGTCCAGGCCACAGAGTCCGCCATGGCAGCTACACAAGGCCCCAACAGAAAACTCCAAGCCCTGTGCGAAAACCTCAAGATCTTCCAAGCAAGAGAGGCAGAAATCATCGAGAGCCTGGAAATTCTAAAAAAGACCCTTGAACAGCAAAACGTTCATCCAGAGTCTGATGAGTACAGACGAACTCTGCTTTATCCCAACTCAAAACTGCAGCACTGCGAGACTACGATACTTAATGTGCAGAAGGAAATTTCGGAGGAATTTCACAAGGCGACGGATAGAGAGATTGAGATTAGGGGACAGCTTGAGAAGGAGTATGCTGAGTTTCAGGAACTGCAGGAGAAGGAGAGGGGAATCTGTCGCAAGGTGCAGTATTACAGCTTGATAGCCTCGCTTCTGAGGCTTGGTCCTCTGGGACTGGATAGCTTGCTGTTTAAGCTGCGGTACAGTGGTGTTGATATGGTTGGTGAAGTCAACAAGGTCAGTTTCCTCGATCCGTTAAGAGATGAACGGTTTAACTAACTGAGATTATAGAACCCGTCGAATGCCGTGCAGGATCACGTCATGACCTAAATCTATCATAGTCAGACGATCTGACGATAATGAAAAGCGTGTATAGGCGCAATGGAGCGCATATTGTGTTAATGTATTGGAGCTTCTCTTCTATACGGTCATGGTCAGGGGTTTGAGTGTGTTTGGGTGTTACCGAATGGAGCGAGCGTTGCAAGACCTCATGGCTGAAAAGCTAACCGGTACCAATTGTGTTTTGGAAAATACCATTCTTAATTTCTCTTTCTTCTTACACTACTGAGAGTTTATGTGTGTTAAGCTGTGAAGTGAAATATTGTTGGTGTGTAATACGCGATTCCTTCAGCTACCTGCGCCATTAGGCAATCTCGACCTAGAAACTTTTTGGTTCTTCTAATTCCCAACCAATCAGAGCCATTCCTGTGCCTGATCACAGAGGGACTTGCTGGTGTTGTTGTGCAAGGGATCATGTTCACTCGTTATGAGGTTGACGATGTTTCATGGCGGTTATGAAAGGGATGACGTAGCGAAGTTGATGAAACTCAGACGTTGAAACGCGTTTCAGGCAGCCTAGAGATTTGCGGGTCAACTGTTAAAAGTCCTTGGCGCTTCTGTGGCTCAAAGGCTCAAAGGAACAGTAGAATGCTTAAAACGTCACAGAATATTATAGATCGTTGTAATTAGGCAACTATGTATTGATCAGATCTTATAACCAATCTTCCACTTTGAATAACTCGCTCTGCAAAGAGCCTATCGTGAGCTGCGTTGAAGAGCTGGTTGGGTCTGGTTCGCCATCAGGCCTAGGGTAGGCATCAACGCAAATGACTCCGCCAAGACAACAAAACACCATCTCCAAGAAGCAGACCAATTAATCGCATCGCATCCCAGTCTTGTTCAACTGCAATGATAAGGCTGACCAAATTCTTCAACACCCCTCATCTGCCTAAACTCCACTTACAGGCAGCTTGTGAGGGGTCACCATAGCAAAACACCCCCCTTCGACTGCGATTAACAAGGATGCAATGCAAGTTACCGGAACGGCTTTGATGGTTCTGTAAAAAGAGGCAAACCGTGGGCCACTGACCTTGGTGATCTACTGCTGTAGGGACAGTTAGTGGTGAGGCACAGTGGCTGTTATGCAGGTCCGTTGGTCAGCTGCATTAACGGCTGCCTCTTTGGATGGAACGGCAAAGGGTGACAGAAACCCAAGTCTGGAGGAGTGAATACGCTCATGTTGACTTATATAAACATTATATAAAATAAGTAAAGTCAAGTCACGTTAAAAAAGAAAGAAGAGGGTATTTCCTGTGCTTACTATTCGTTAAAAAATATGAGGAATGACCCCAAACTTGTAAAAGCTTTGACAAACCTTGAGATGGATCGGCGGTTTCTTTTGTCACCTCAGGGGTCAATTGATCGTGATGCATCGCCTTATGCAGGTGAGACTTGTTGGCCAACGCCTACGTCAAAAGAGGCAGTGAATAAAATGCGCCGAATAGTAAGTGAATGACTGAGTAAATGACGAAAAAAGGCAGCCAGAGCGAATATATAATCACCCTCATTCCCTCTCTCCCCTCAACCCATCCTCAGCATCATCCATCATGGCCACCAACACCACGTCCACATCCCCCAGCACAAAGAGCATCCTCGCCCTAGGCTCAGTCAGCAGCCTAGTAGAATCCCTCTTCCCCGGCGGCACAACCCTTCCCTCCGTCGCTTTCCTCCTCTACCTCACACCCTACCTCTTCCAAGCCGTCGGCAGCGCCGCAAAGTCCCAGTTCATCTCGAGTGTCGAGATTAAAGCGCATGATGAGATTTTTAACTATGTCATGAGCTGGGTTGCGAGGCATAAGCTCTCGCGCAATAATCATCGTCTTCTTGCGTCGAGTACCCTTGATCATGAGCCCTTTTCGCTGATCCCGTCGCCGAGTAATCAGGGTGATGGGGATGATGATGTTGACGATGTTGATCCGACTGCTAGTCTTGATGAATTGAGGTCCAAGATTTCGCTGTATAATGCGAGGCCTTTGCATTGGACACCATCTGTGGGCACGCATTTCTTCATGCATGAGAATCGCCTCATCTCCTTCACGAGATCTGTGGAAAGCCAGGAATCGTCCCCGTTTTCACGACGACCGGAGAAGATTGAGCTTTCATGTCTCGGCCGAAATGCCGATGTGCTCAAGCGCATTATATACAATGCGCGCATCGAATACCTCGAGAAACAACGAGGCCGCACAAGCATCTACCGAGCCGTCAAGTCATTCGGAGACGAACTCTCTTGGACAAAGTGTATGTCCAAACCAACACGGCCTATGTCGACTATTGCGCTCGACGAGGCCATCAAGCAGAGCCTCATCAAGGATCTTTCGCGATACTTGAACCCTCGCACTAAGAATTGGTACGCCACGAGGGGTATTCCCTACCGACGAGGCTACCTCTTCTCAGGCCCGCCCGGCACAGGAAAGACGAGTTTGACGCTTGCTGCTGCTGGGCTGATGGGTCTCAACATCTACATGATCAGTCTCAGCTCGCCCAATCTCTCGGAGGATAGTCTCGCAACGCTCTTCCGTGACCTACCCAGGACCTGCCTTGTTTTGTTGGAGGATATTGATGCAGCGGGCTTGACGGACAAGCGCAAGAAGCAGGAGACCCAAACAAATAATGGGCCGCCGAAGCCTATGCGTGAACCTATCTCTTTGTCAGGCCTGCTCAACGTTATTGACGGTGTAGGCGCACAGGAAGGTCGCGTCCTAGTCATGACATCAAATCACACCGAAAACATTGACCCTGCCCTGTTGCGCCCCGGAAGAGTCGATTTCTCTGTTGAGTTTGGCCTCGCTTCTTCCGAGACGATCACCCAGCTGTTTAGACTGATGTACGGAACATCCCACGATGAGGTCGGATCAATTGAACAAGCTACGGAACTCTCGGAGAAGTCAGTGGACACAACAAGGTCGGTAGCTGCGTTGGCGGAGGAATTCACAAGGCTAGTTCCCTCGCTGGTATTTAGTCCGGCGGCCATCCAGGGGTATCTACTCATGCACGAGGATCCGATTGGGGCTGTTGATGCTGCCGGGAAGTGGGTTGAGGAGCAGCAGAGGCTAATGGAGAAGGCTAGGAATGATGCTATTGAGGCTGAGAGCAAGGGAGAAAAGAAGGAGAGTCTCGTGAATGGTACGGAGGAGACCATGGGAGAGGAGAAATAGGACTCAAGATGTAAGCTTCTGGTCTAACGTGAGATGACTTCTCAAAGGCCCGTTAGATTTGGGTAAGTTCAGTACATACGACTTCTTCTAGCACACATGATAAAGACCAAGAATACACCGAGAAAGCAAGGTCACACCCACATGGCGAAAAGAACATGAATTGGCATCTATTGTTCTATATCCAGGCCATACGATCTATCCAAGTCTACAGCTTCCAGCGCAGCAGAGTAAACGAGTGCTTGGGGAACGTAAACAAGCCCTCGCCATTCCACTTAGACTCCTTGATGCCAACCTCCTCCTTCTCAGCAGTGTTAACAACCTTGACGTCCTTTCCACTAACGGTATGAACCTCCACCTCCTTACCACCCGTCAATCCCCTCAACTCCGTCTCGAAGTCCTTCTCCTCATGGATATTCACAACAGCGAGGTTAACAACACCATCCCTATCAAGCGCAGCACTGACATCCAACCACGGCGTCTCAATAGCACCGCGAATCCACTCCGGATGCGTAGGCCCCTGATACTCTCCCGCACGAACATTAACAGCAATGGTAGAACCGCGCATGTACTTGCTGTACAGAAGCAAAGACCACCAGGTTGGTTGCTTGAGGAGTCCGTCTTTGGTGGTCATCAGGGGAGAAATGACGTTTACGCTCTGGGCGATGTTGGCCATGCCCATGTGCTTGGACTGACGGACGAAGACGTTGAGCCAGATTGCTACGGCGAGGGCATCGGAGAGGTTGTATTTCTCTTCGGCGCCTTCTTCGCCGGGCGCGCGCACGGGATCCCATACGTTCCACTCGTCGAAGCAGATCTTTTGGCGGCGGACGGAGGGGGGGACTTTGTTCTCGATGCGAGCGAGGTCAATGAGACCGGCTGTGATCTCGATGGCACGCTCAGCAGAACGAGGGGCTACACCATCAGCATCTCTGTTGGGCAGACTAGTAAGGGGAGAACTTACCGGTAGCGTTCTTGTAGTGATCCTCACTAGCAGTGTAAATGTGAATGCTATGCTGATCAATAAGACTAGCAGTCGTGCTTCCGCCCAGACCGTGAATGTCAAACTTGATACACTCCTTGATGACATATGCGTCCCAAGAGCTGTGGCCTGTTTCACCACACAGAATGAGCTCGACGTTGGGGTCGAGAAGCTTAATGGCTTTGGCCCATTGGTAGGCTTTCTTGGCGTAGTCTTCCTTTGTCATTTGTCCGACTTGCCAAGGGCCATACATCTCGTTTCCGAGAGCCCAGTATTTGACCTGAGTATGTTAGTGATGAGAGAGAGGAAGAGGGAGAGAGGATCGGGTACGTTGTAGGGCTTCTCGCGGCCGTTTTGGCGACGGAGGTTGGCGTAGTATGTTGGTCTGTCGGAGTTGCAGTACTCAACCCATGCGAGAGCTGAGGAAGTCAGTATTTGGGGTTGAGAAAGTGATGGTGCGACTGACCTTCATCGAGAGTACCTAAACTCAATTAGTAACTGTTTCTTTGAAGCGCAAATAAGACTTACCAGTTCCAAAGTTGAGGGCAAAGTAAGGCTCAGTGCCTACAACCTCACACCACTTAAGAAACTCATCTGTGCCAAACTCATTCGTCTCCGTTCCAATCCACGCAAGTTCAGGTCTATTCCATCAGTCTCTCAAACCCTCAACTCCTCATGCAAGAGGCACTCACCTAGCAGGTCTCTTCTCCCTAGGCCCAACACCATCAAGCCAATGATACGTAGCAACAAAGTTACCACCAGGATATCTCACAACAGGACAGTTGAGCTCCTTGAAGGCCTCAATGACATCCTTTCGGAACCCATTCTCATCCGACAGGGGATTTCCGGGGTCGTAG